GGTGGTCCAGCTCCGCAGCGAATAAGCCTGTACGGTTACCCAACTCCAGAATCGAGAGAGCCACATTCTTGTACGAGGACCATGCGCTGTTGGACACCTTAAAGAACATGAACCTGAATACACAGGAAATGGCGGACGCAAAAGGCGCTTTGGATGAAGGTCCCAGCAAGAAGGCTCACGAGAATGGAGAAAACGGAGAGCCGGCTTCTGCGACCGAAACGAACGGCGCTGAATCGAGCAATTCGACCAGACGGACAGGAGCGATCAGACGAGAGATTGAAGTCGGCACCGAGCGATTCATGGCAGATGGCAATGGCACATTGGAGAAGATCGCCGACGCCATACATAGAACGATATCGGCTATCGATGAGGTTGGCAAACGAAGTGACCTCTGGGATCAATTGATCGTTTGCGGTAATGGATCAAAGCTAAGAGGTCAGTCAGCGATTCGGAAAGCACCTTCATTTTATCCCACTGACACACATCTAGGCTTCAAGGAATCTCTACTGCAGACCATCCAAACCAAGTACCTAGTCTCGCCTTCGTCAGCCACCATCTTCACATCAGAAATCCCATCGAATGTCTCAACACCTGCCGGAACCGGAGCTAATACCCCACAGCCTCAACTGGGCCCACACGGAGGCTCTCAAGTCAACCCGCTTTTACTTGCAGCCACCACAGCACAGACCCACAATATGATTCCCCACGGTGGTATACCTGGCATGTCCCAAAACACTCACTCATCCCACGGGCAGACCCCCACATCCATCAAGTTTGTTAAGCCACCAGAGTACTTTCCCGAGTTCAAGGATGTCGGGTTTGATGAATCAGCCTTCTTGGGCGCCCAAGTCGCTGCAAAGGTCATCTTCGTAGTCGATCAGGGCCAGTCTAAGGGATACATGACCCGTCCCGACTACAACGACCAGGGTCCGCAAGGTATCCATGACTATAGCCTATGATTATTGTCATACCACACCCTGGATAGCGGTTGTGACTGATGGCATTATGTTACGTTTGGTCGGGATGATTATGGAGTTTAGGAGGTTACGGATATCCCGGCGTTGCCAAAAAGGAAGTTGGGGTTAGGAATTGGAGCCAAGGCGAATGCAGTAATAGGCCAGCGGCGCATCGCGGTTAGCATGTGTCCGAACAGTCTGTACAATACATTGAACCTGACATATTCTTCTCTGGCAATGCCTCCTTCCGAGTACAGTTTTGTTTTTCGTGAAGCTGGTCAATGTCGGAGTACGCCGACAGCCTCTAAACAGAGGGTCCGGTCCGCTCCACGTGCGAGACATTAGCGAGCGGCTAACCGCATCTAGCCGTTCCTTCGTCTGGGAACTGATAAAGAGCCTTCGGTCCTGCCAACTTACATAGATGGGCGAGAAGTCTGTCATTGTTTGCTCTCACGAACCTTACAAGCGTGACGGGAGTCAATTTGTAGTGTACAAATCTCGATATCATCGTCCATCGCCCACAAAGTTACACAGCCATCTACTCTCGATACAGGTACCTAGCTCAGGTCCATCTCGATATATCTACCAAACATCTCTGTCTGTTGCTCAAGACGACTTGACAGGAAGAAGGGTGAAACTGGATCTCCGCAACACGTCGCCATGGCCGCCTCAGCCCCCATCGAAAAAACAATATACGTTGGCCCCTTTGTCCACAGCACATCCCTCAGCACACTCGAAATCCAATCACATGGTGCAATCGGCGTCGACACATCTGGCATAATCCAGTTTGTAGAGAGAAACTTCACCTCCCTGCCAGACCTTCTTGTATCGTCTTCCTATTCGGACTGGCAAAATGCCAAAATCGTTTCAATATCCGGTGAAACAGGCTTCTTCTTCCCCGGCTTCATAGACACCCACGTACACGCGCCCCAACATCCGAACACGGGCCTATTCGGCAAAACGACACTGCTTGATTGGTTGCAAAAGTACACGTTTCCCATGGAATCATCTTTTGCTGACGTAGCAGTCGCGCAGCGCGTGTATCGGAATTTTGTGTCTAGGACGCTGTCACACGGGACTACGACAGCGGCGTACTTTGCCACTATTCACGTACCTGCAACCAACACTCTGGCCGACATATGTCTGAAGAGGGGTCAGAGGGCGCTGGTAGGCCGAGTATGCATGAATAGCGATTTAAGCCCAGAGTACTACCGCGACGAGAGTGCGGAGGCGAGTTACGACAAAAGTAAAGCTAGCATCGAGTACATACGCAGCATCGACCCCGACGGCGACATTGTAAAACCAATCATCACGCCGCGATTTGCGCCGTCGTGTACAAAAGAGTGTCTGAGCAACATGGGCAGGCTAGCACAAGAAACAGGTGCGCATGTGCAGACGCACATTTCGGAGAACAAGGGCGAGATTGAGTTGGTGAAGGCTTTGTTCCCAGAGGAAAATTCGTATACACATGTTTACGATACGCATGCGCTGCTTACTGATAAGACAATCTTGGCACACGCGGTTCATCTCTCGCAGGAGGAGCGCGACTTGATTCTAGAGAGAAAGAGCAAGATTAGTCACTGTCCGGCGTCGAATACGGCGATTACGTCGGGTTGCGCGCCTATTCGCTCTTTGCTTGACGAGGGCCACACGGTTGGTTTAGGTACGGATGTCAGCGGCGGGTTCTCCCCTTCCATCCTGGAAAATGTACGTCAGGCTATTTGGGTCTCGCGTCATTTTTGCATTCAGACGGATTGCGATGCGGCAAAGCTGTCTACAGAGGAAGCTTTGTACCTCGCTACTCGAGGTGGTGCCGCGGTTGTAGGCCTAGAGGATAAAGTAGGAGGGTTCGAAGTGGGCAAAGAGTGGGATGCGCAGATGATCAATCTCGGTTCGGTCAACGAGGACGGTTGCGATGATGGTGCGTTTCAGGCAGGTCTTGTAGATGTCTTTGGTTGGGAGAGCTGGCCGGATAAGGTAGAGAAGTGGGTGTATAGCGGGGATGACCGGAATACGGTTGCAGTGTGGGTTAGGGGTCGGCTGGTACATAAGACGAGGGGTTATGCAGGGGAGCAGTGAGCGATGCCGCTTTTGAGCGGGGGTCATCTACGTTGTAAATACGATACAATGGCATTTTATCTAGAGAAGCGTTGAAGAATACACTGGATTTTCTGGCATCAATTTGATCAAGCAAGAGCTACACAGCTAGCATTCACCCGACCAGTCATGATTAGTAAGTATCACGCTTAGGTAAGCGATAGTGGCACCAACGAGCTGGCATGACTTGATTCTACTTTTTACAACACAAACACTCGCATTTCAGCTTCTTCACTCTTTGCCCGCCTTGTTCTCCAACTTTGTAGCGTCCTCCATGTATTTCACTGACTGTTTTTTCTGTTCCTCCTTCATACCTGCCTCCACGTCCCTCTGACGCTGCTCGGCCGTCACATCTCCAAAGAGTACATCTATCTCCTCCAAAGTCTTCCCCTTCGTTTCCTTGATGAAGAACGTAGCAAAAATACCCATTGCCAGACAGAAGATTCCAAACATCAAAAAGGTTCTCCATTTGATGTGGTTCACGGCTTCTGGGGTTATTTTTGTGATGACGAAGTTGAAAAGCCATTGCGTCGCCGCTCCCATACCGACACCATACGATCGAAGACGTGTAGGGAAGATTTCGGAGAGATACACCCAAGGGACTGGCCCCCAACTAGCAGAATATCCGATCACGTAGAGGTAGATCATGGCGACCATGGCGATTGATGCGGGCGAAACAGTGCCGCTATCAGGGTTCGGTGGGTGAGTGACGAGCACGGCTCCAATGATGAACATCATCGTTGCCATCCATGCCGCCCCTGCTATGAGCGACTTCTTTCGGCCAATGAAGTCGATGCCGATGATCAGGAAGATACCAGTCGTGATGACCTTGACAGTTCCGTAGATGCCTGTCGCGAACAACGAAGCATTAGATTTGGAAACGCCGACAGTCTGGAAGATTTGCGGTGCGTAGTAGCCTGCTCAATGTTAGACAAGCATTGTCAAATTCTCAAGGCGCTGTTATTTACCAATCGAGTTTGTCCCGCTGAATTGTTGCCAGAACATGAGCACGAAGGCGGTGACAAAGCGGTAACGGTTGCCGGGCAGAAGACACTCTTTCCAAGTAATGCCTTCTGTCATATTCAGCTCTTCTTCAACCGCAGCGCGGATCTCAGCCAGTTCACGCTGTAGCTCGGGGCTGTCAGGCTCTTCGCATCGTATGAAGGCGAGAGATCGGACAGCTTCATCGTGGCGGCCTTTCGACATCAACCAACGCGGAGATTCGTTCAAGAAGAACAGACCAATCAACATGAAGCCGCCTGGGATGATTTGGATTGCCACAGGTACTCTCCACTGCTTAGTCGATACTGGCATGTGGAGCGCGACGCCGTAGTCCAACCAGTACGCGAAGGTGCTCCCGATGACCAGAAATTCTTGGAACAGACCCGCGATACGTCCTCGTACAGCTGGGGGCGCGTTCTCCGATACAAAGATCGGTGTGATGGATGACATGCCTCCGATGCCGAGACCAGCAATGACACGGCCGGCGTAGATCATGCCGATCTCATGGTGAGCAGCAGTTTGAATCGCAGCGCCGATGAGGAAGATGACAGAGAAGCCCATGAGAGACAGTCGCCTGCCGAAACGCTCATTGATAAAGGCGGCTGCGATAGCACCAAAGAAGCATCCCGCTGTCAATAGCGATACGACATTGGACGAAACCGAAGCGTTCTTGGAGTTGGAGAATCCAGATGAGTCGGTCGGTAACCCAAAGTCTTTCTTAAAAGCCTTGAGGGCAAGCACGCTGCCCATAACTCCGGTATCATAACCTGTCGCTATGTCAGTATCTGTCCAAGACTTAATAGTCTCCATACCTACCAAAGAGCAGTGAGCCCATGTAGGCAACGCTCGTGAGCAGGTATACCCTACGGTTCTTGAAAAATTGCGACGGCATCGTAGCTATGTTGTCGCAACGCCCTAGATTGTCTGGCAAGCTTGTCAAGAGGACAAGACAGGTTTATGAATGCCGGCCATTATGGGGCCTGGAAGGCAAAGTCGGCAATCGTAACCCCGGAGTTTACCTCGCTAAAGTCTGGAGAGACTCCAACCGACCCCATATTCCTCCACATTCCGCCGTGGGCAGGCTGGCGTCCACAGACCCAATTTTTTTTTCCTTTCTTCCCACACTAACTCTTTACTCCTAAGATGACGATCACGGTAACTTTATTGCACGAATTTATTTACCTGTTGTCATCAGAGTTCCAATGGTAGTTTCAGCGGTCTTCCCAACTTGTAGTCACAGCATAGGGCCGAAGGCTACAAAGACAAGCTTCCCCAAGGCATGGCTTGTGACAGCGGTCTAAAGGCTTGGTGGTGCACGCGCTAGCTTGGCGCTTTCTTCTCAATGGTGGCTTTTCTCAACACCAACGGAATAATGAAGATCTCCAACGCTGAGCTTGCCTTATCTAGTACTCCCCCACAAACTTAGCGCTTGCAAGCAAGCTTTCCATTGTTGCTTGCTTTTTTGCCAACCTTTCCAAAGATTCAGATTATCAAAACGTTGCTGTAGGAGCCACTTCACATGCACAAAATGACGTCACGTTGCCTCAAGACTGAATGTGTGTATGTGAAGTGGACGTATGGATTGGATAGCCTGGGTATCTTCAACGTACTTTCACATCGTCTACGCAGAGTTTTCCACATCATGACATGTCCGAAACTCCCTAAACTGGCCTGTAGTGGATGTCTGACTTGTGTCTGTTCACCATGTAGGAGTGCGCCGTGGAATAGAACGCTTATTTTGTAACCTAAGCAGTTTTTCATGCTACTCAAAATCTCCCGTTTCGGAAGTGGAGGCTCTGGAGTCTGAATATCTAGACGAGGGATCAAGTTCATCGTTTAGTACATTTGCGTACCAGAAAGATTTCCTGTGTATTTACTGTTGATGTTCTATTTAGGAACGATGCACAGGTCAGTCGACAGATTTTTTTTCAAGTCACTCCGTACGAGAGGTCACCATGGAGTTCACCTGCATACATCTGCATGAACCATGTATCTAATCGCACTCATAAATCCACCACCTCACGCACCCAGTGTGGCCAGTACTCCCGCCTTAGTCTGTCGAAGTCTTTCAAGTGCTGGCCTAACGCTTCCGCCATACCCTGCACCTCCGCACTGCCATTTCTCTTCAACACCTCGAGCCTGGCAAGAGCATTTTCGTGGCTTTTTTTGATGCGGTCTTGCAGCCCCTCTCCATACTCCTCCTGCAAACCCTTCTGCAATCTTGCTAGCTCCGCCTTCAACCGCACCAACTCTTCTCGTGCCCGCACCTCACCATCTGGCTTTTTCTCTTCCAAAATAACCACTTCATTCTCCAGGTTGGCATCACAGTACCCCGTAGCCTCCCTGAACTCGCAATCCCCCAGAATTTTTCTCCACTAGACCAATCCATGCCCTCAGGTCCGCGCTCACATTGATGATGCCCGGCTGATGGATGCCCATACCCATCCCTGACTCGGCAAGAGCGCGCGACAGCAGCGTCAGCAAAAGCTCCCCGGTATTGGCCTCTTCGGGTGTGCAGACGAAGGAGACGGGCTCGACCTGTTCACAGGCTCGCTATTCTCCGCTGGAGTCATACTGAGGTACAGACTAGGCGCAGCGTTGCGAGTTTGATCATTGCCACTTGAAACTATACTATATCTTTGTGCATCGGGAACAGCCCAGGATACAATGATATTGGAATCCTGGAAGCTACCGTCAGAATTCGTGTGCTGATGGGGCCCCATGGATTCAGTGCCATGGCTTCGTCCAAACGTTGGACTTGAGGTCCGAGAAAGGTTTGAATTGTGGCCTGCATATTCTATCTGCACTCCAATACTGCACTCTGCCGTCGTATCGCTGCTGTTGGTGGCCGGTGTAGGTGGAGTTTCGGAGCTGAAAGATTAGTAAGGAAGGAACATAACTGGCAGGAAGCATACCTCTCCTCCCCATCGCTACATGCCTTAGTCTTGCCTGGTGGCTTTCTGCGGCACTCAAGAAGTAGTCGTATCACTCGGTCCATTTTGGTTGTTGTCGTGAGGAAAGTGAGCTCAGGTGCCCAACGACATCTATCTCGTAAAATTCTTATGGTTACCCAAGTTCTATAACATGAGGAAAAAGCTCTTACAGATACTGCATTGTGAAAATCCTTTTTTAAGCATGGATATTACTTACTTTATATATACTAGCTGGGGAATATCATATATCTCTCAAGTGCTACTTCTGCTGTTATGCTGGCATATAAGCACAAACTGCGAAGAACCCCCTAAGACATAGAGTAATCAAATGATTCAGAAAGCAATAAGTTTATTGTATGGCTAATATCTATCTGGGCCAGCCTGGGTGTACAGTCCTCTCTCCGCATGATTGCCTGATGCTTATCTTGTAGGTTCACTGAACCTAACAGAAGAAAGAGCATCAAGCTTTTAGCTAGTGTGAGATTACTGGTATCAGGGTCTTATCCCCTTTTCTTCATTGCCTGATTTTTTATCCATAGGTCATTGGACCTAAGATGACAAAGCATCAAGCTCTGAGGCAGTGCGTGATCACTGGTCTCAGGATCCCATCTATCTTCACTCACCATCCTCTTCCTCTTTCTTGATACGCCGTGCGGGTACTTCCGCTGGCGAAGGAGCATCGACACTCGGATCCTTTTTGATAGCATTAAGGGCAGGAGCAGACTCCGCAACAATCAATCGGATCGGCATGATTGATTCCTATCTAGGTTAAAGGCTGCCTAATGAAGTAATTCTTTAACCTATATAGGAATCAATCATGTCAATCGATTGATTGTTGCGGAGTCTGGGCAGGAGGGCGAGAGCTGGCAGACTCGGCATGCGCGGCGTCGCGTCGCCTCAATTTGTCTTTGAGGGACGAGATCTCTTCTTCATAGTCTCGGGCTCGGATCTGCAGCTGCTTGTGTCTCGCCTCGAGGCTATCCTTCTCTCGCTCAATCACCACTCGCTCCCGCTCTTTCGCCCGAATCTCGTCCAGGGCGGCTCGATGAGCCTTCTCGGCATTTAGGCGCAACACCATCTCATCAGCATGCTTCTTTTGATGTTTATGCTGGAGCATCTCTGCAGCCCCCAACTTATGCTTGAGCGCATTGACGGCCCCCAGATGGTGCCGGCGTTGAGACCCAGCCTTGACATGTTCATCGTCGCCCTTGCGCTTTACGCCTTGCGCCAACGTCACTAGGTCTTCGTTGATCGAAGGCGGGTTGGTTAGAAACCAAGGATCCAACAACGCAAGCTGCTCGCGTTGTGATGGCGAGGGCCGCAACTGGACGTATTCGGGCGCACCTGGCTGGTGGTGGTCGCTCCACGATTTTTTGCTGGCCCAGATGCGGTCGCAAGGCTTGCCCCAGTGAGCGTGGCTTTTGCAAATGTCGCACTTCCCCAGGCAATCCACAAATTCGGGATGATTGTCCCTCACCCGCCCGCACCGCAAGCACATGGGGAATCTTGGTCTTGAACCGCGATGTCCCAACAGCGTCTGGTCGGTATAGGGTGCAGGCGGAGGCCTGAACTTCTCAGGATCCAGCACCGGCCTGCTCTTTGCTGATGGTGTAGCAGCCGGCGTAGGTGTCGCAGTCGGTGCAGGTGCAGTCGCAAGCGCGCGAGATCCTCCATACCCCCCATATCCGCCCTGCCCTCCGTACACACCAGGCTGTCCGTATCCTACTTGACCCCCAAATCTAGGCTGCCCGTACGCAAATCCACCTCCGTATGTGCCAAACGGATATCCACCCATGGCAGGTGGGCCCATAGGCATGCCTGCCATGCCATGAACCGCATATCCACTACCCATGGCCGGCAGTGCAGGACTATCTGGATTCATGATAAGTTTGTATCTTTCGGGTATGATACATGTTCACTTAGTCTGCATTCCGCCTTGCCAACCACCGCGGCCCCCTCGTCCACCTCGTCCGTCCCGTGCACCCCAATTGCCATGGGCGTTACGCCCACTAGGTGGTGCTGGTGAAGGCACGGTGTGGCTGTTGTGTATATGATGGTGTGAGCCGCAGTGAAGAATTCTTCTTCACAGCAAACGCTAGTGCCAAGACTTTACCACGTGCGACGTGCAGGTCGACCAATACCGCGCATCTCATTGCTCATCATCCATAACAAGCCACCGAATACAAGCTACCATTCCGGTGGAGCTGTACGTCTATCAAAGTAAGAGAGAGCCCTGAAGCATGTCTTCTCGCTCACTGAGGTCACTGTTTTTGCTATCCTCTACACAGCCTACAGACTGATTTAAGCATGCTAGAATGGAGACATGAAATAACGTTCAAAGACTATTGGAAATTGAGATCTTTTGAAGTAGATGCACGGTAAATGAACGACACCTACACTGCTTCATCGCGGACCCTCCAGCGCGCAATTGTAAGGCTCGTGACTTCCCGTTTCGAACTTGAGAGCCTTAACAACTCGATGGCCAATCCACCTTCTCTATTTTAAACACCCGCGTCCTGGCACTTAGATCAAGAAGAAGCATCGGTGGCGTTTTTGTGAGTACTGGAGTCGAGATATGTTCTCCTTGAGTAGGCCGGTTGGGTGTTGGCCAAGAAGCATAGCTACCAGTTCTGTCATGCAGTTGTCCACAAGGATGAACCAATGTACACACAGCGCCATTTTCCAGATGTTCGGCTAAAGATGCTGTTGTTTAGAAGAGTTCGGAGCTGTTTGCTGCCGGTTGTCCACCGCTCCTTCCTCCAGGGTCCAGTGGCAAGCTTCTCTTGTATTCGCCAAACGCGCTCATAACAACACGTTTGAACAGTCACAGTCTCTCGAGGCACTCCCCGCTACTCTCGACAACAACTCTTCGAGCCAGGTCTACCTAGGTCCAGGGCCTGCGCGTACGAGACAACATGAGTACCGACACCAGAGCCACTGGCCTGCTCAGTGACCTCCAGAAGCTAGACGAAGCGGGCCGTGACTGAATCCTGCACCTCTTGTCGGCAGAAGATGTGATCCTGGTTCTCAAAGCTTCTCTCCACGAGCATGATGGGCACAATGCGAGGCATAAAGCTATCTCAATGGCCAGCTCTTACACCACCGAAAGGCTCGTTGACTGATTTTATGAGTATAGACCATGCACCAAGTCAAGACAGTACACCAGCCATGCATGTTGAAGTACCGACTCGTACTGCGCCTTTCGATCCAAATCTCGTCATAGCAGATGTGAACCATGCCACAACCGGACTCGATACAACAGCACGCCCTACGGTGAAGCGGGAACGTATTATCAACCTGGAGAGCGATGATGAAGAGAAGAAGAAGAAGAAGAAGAAGAAGAAGAAGAAGAAGAAAACAGCTACACAAGTGGCATTGGGCAGAAGAGATCACGTAGGGCGATAGTGCTGCCTAAACTCGCCGCCTTTCCCAAACATCTACCTACTTAAGTCAGAATATCCCTCCCAATTGGTATCGTGGTCAGAGAGATCGACTGCCTTCCAGCCCAAGTTCGTGCTGAACTGGAACGCCGCTTCAAGGACATGCGGGACCTTAACGAACACAGAGCCAAGGTATATCGTTCCATTCTCCGAAATCCCCGAGATTATATGGGAAGGGACCGTTGTATCCGCGGTCTTGTAATCCACCAGAAATCACGCGGGCACCTGAACTACACCAATGGAGGGAGGCTCGGAGAGACTGCCGACGACAGGTGCATAAAACTCGGCAACCCATGTGCTCATGTCATCGAACAAGATGAAAACATCGCGATCTGTGTGGTACCATTGCCCGGAGCCTTCAGAGATGGTAAGACATGGGATGAGATCGGATACTGGGTGCTTCAGAAACCAACATAGTTCACTGCAACTACAAGATGTTAGTAGAGGAAGCGGCAATACGTGTGGCTATAGCCTGATGGCAGATGCTGAAGAAGAGACAATCATGCATATCATACCACCATGCCACGTCTTTTGCAGATTACAACGGGTTTAAAATACCAGGTACATGAACAAGGACGTTGTCGGAGAACCTGAAAGAAGAAACGGCTGGAAAGATGGTATAGTAATCGGGAATCACTCACTTGTTCTTTGATCTGTACCTTCGGCCAGAAGCCCTCATGAACCACCATGATACAGCCTACCAGATCTTGTCGCGGCCTCCTTTTCGTATCAAATTGTCACCAGTGAACTTGGAAGCCACTGGAACACGCGAGATCTCAAGCAGCGTCCGTCACAACCCACTCGCCACTCCAGATACCATCTGTATTACAGCCAGGGCACGTTGCATGATCACATCCTGTCGGTTTGGTGAAGTCGTACTCCTCCCATGTGATATCCTCTTCCTCATCGCTCTCCGCCATATCCGCATCTTCCTCGTGCTTGATGTCCATCTGCACACCCGGCATCGCAGCAGGAACCGGTACCTGTTCCACACTATCCACGGGAATATTCTCTGCTTTGACAGCCTCATCCTCTTCCTCATATCCGCTCTCCTTTCCACTAACCGCAACGCCAACTTTCTTGAACTTGTTTACCCCTGCGCCTGCAGCACTTCCCCCGCCAATCTTGGTGAACCGACTACCGACCCCAGGCTTCTTGTTTGCGTTGTCGACATCGATGGTGCGCATCTCGAGGCCTTGCTTTGGCTTGCTCGCTTCAGTGTCGTTGCTGGCTGTGAGCTTCTTCATGTCGGCGAGACGCTGGCGGTGATTGTGGTCATAGGAGCGAAGGTGGTTCTCATATTCGATCTGGCGGGAGTAGTCTTTGCTGCAGATGGTGCATTTAAACAGGCGTACTGCCGTTGGGAGGGGGTTGTTTCGCTGAATGCGCATTAGTGGCTGAACGATGCAATGAAATATGATGGAGGGTTGTAGAAGACCTACTGGTGGCATTATTGCGATTCAAGAGGGTAGCCTCCACTGTCTAGTGTTTTAACAATGTACGCCACGATGTAAGATAGTAATAATATTACCAGGTTGATGGTATAATTTATAGTCGCAAAGGCGTGTAAACTGATCGCGTTGATGATCGAAACATTGGTGTTGCGGCTCCACGCCTCGGCCCAGCACAGACCCCCACACCTTCACCGAATCAACGTCATCTCAGTGCTCAGCAACGTAGCATTTCTCCAAACTTCTTCTCGCGAACGCACACAACGCTGCGCACAGGATGGAGTCCAATCCAGATTTACCGCCCATTGACGACGATGAGGCGGGCGTTATGGGTCTCACAGAAGTCGATCCTTCACCTGTCGAAGACACACCCGCGGAGTACAAAGCAAACAGCTATTTCCCCGACCAGGAACGGCCAGAAGGAGGGGAAACAAAAGAGATGCAGGGCATACGACGGATGAACACACTTGGATTACGGTTAGGCGATCGTGGACCAGCTTGGTGGCGTACGTCTTCCCAAAACTTCACAATCAACATTTCAAATGGCAAACTCCTAACACAACCTCTCCAGTCCTCCGCATACAAAAATATTCCTCATACACATTCACCGCCTTCGCCGCCCTGCACATAACAAACGTCTCCATAATACCCTTCGCAACCCGATCCGTTCCAGAGAGCAATCGCTACCTGCTCCTCACACGTCCCTACTACCAATCCACACTCACTGAACCCCTCCTCGTCGGCCTCCCACTCCTCGCACACGTCACATCAGGAATTGCTCTGCGGCTATGGCGAAGACGGCAAGCATTGAAGCGCTACGGTGCCGAGACACGGACAGACAAGCGCACGATTCCTTGGCCCGTACTAAGTGGGACGAGTGCGTTGGGCTATGCGCTGGTCCCCTTCGCAGGGTTCCACATCTGGACTACGCGCATATTACCGCTGTATGCGCATGGAGACTCGTCACTGATTAGTTTGAGTTATATTTCTCATGGCTTTGTGTTGCAGCCCTTTGTCTCGTTTGCCGGTTTCACGGCCATGGTAGGTGTGGGTGTCTGGCATTTTGTTTGGGGTGGAGCCAAGTGGTTGGGGTGGGCACCAAGTCAAGTCAGCTATAATGAGGAGGATCGAGAGTTGGTGAGGAAGAAGAGGTGGTATGTTATCAACGGAATGAGTGCTGCGATTGCAGGACTTTGGCTGGCTGGCAGTCTAGGGGTTGTGGGCAGGGATGGCAAGATGGGAGGGTGGGTCGGCAAGGAGTATGATGAGTTGTACAAATATCTGCCTTCGTTTGTACGTTGGTGAGAAGAAAGCATAGGGAAGGTGGGGTTTGTGTGTTGTTGTTGTTGTTGTTGTTGTTGTTGTTGTTGTTGTTGTTGTTGTTGTTGTATATACCCTTAGAACCGATAGACGATCCCCCAAGTCACTGTAAGTACTGGTACCATACATCTCCGGCTATCTTCGGCCTGGCAGCCCACGTAGATTCTCCCCTAAAGTGGTCGTAGCACATACCTTGTCTCCACCATACCAACTGACAAACAGTCTCATCCCTCCGACATCGTACTTGAGTCGCTGTTTCTCCGTCGTAAAGTTCAGCACCACAAGCGCCGGCTTCCCCACTCCCCTCTACGGCTTGCCAGTCGAAAATCCACTATTCGGCGTACCATTCCACTGAAATAGTAACCGCGCATGGTCCCTTGCGGTGAGCTGGAGTCCGTGTTCAAGTCTCTCTTCGCGCGTAGAATCCACTCCTGTATCCGCCAGGTGTACAGCTTTGGTCCAGGAATTCTGTGATTAGACATTGTTGTAGTCTTCTGAGATATCCTAAGCTTTTGGGGCATCGATCACACCGATTTCTTGGTCCTGGTACAAGAATAAAGAGCAGGGACTTTATGCAGCCTTGAGAAGAGCAGAATGGCGGGTGGTAACAACTTCATTCAGATCGTTACACCAGTAAACTACAGGAAACTTATCAGAAATTCTGACAACCGGCAAACCCCGTCCCACCTCTATCCTGAAGGGCGTCCCGGCGATCAGCGCCAACTCCACCCAATCGCCCATCACACCCCACGCTCATGAAAACCTCGGCCTCAGCCGGCGCCGGCGAGCAATGGCGCCCTCGATATCGCCATCGATCACCGTTTCCAGCCCCCCACCAATCCCGCACACAAAGGTGAGCTCATCGCTCAGTTAGTTGTACCTCGTATCCCTCTTGGATACCGAGACCTCGGGCTGCTTGTGTGGCAGCGGAGGAGGTACTCCGTGCTCGCACAGGTAGGTGATGGTGCGCGACAACTGGGTGGATTTCGTGTAGGTGTCGTCCACCCAACGCCATAGCGAAACGAAAAGCGCCAAAAAGGCCAAGGACAGAGTCCAAAAGATGGTGGCCAAGAGGGAATCGACCTCCTCGTGGCGGCGGCGGTATGTCTCGTGCCAGTCGGTGAAGCCCGACCCAGGCACGTCTGGGTCGAACCTGTCGCGTGTGAAGATGTCCAGCAGGCGACCAGATGTGTTCTCGTAGAAGGGGTTGTTGAAGGCCGCAAGCAGCCAGAAAGTGACGAAGATGTAGATGTTGTGGGCTTTTCCAAAGCCGGCCGGGAAGGCGAATCGACGTAAAAGGACATGGCCTAGGGCCCATGAGAAGAAGATTCCGACAGCAATGCGTAGCTCCTGAGAGCTTGCGGCAATGGTGACGGCGAGCACCATGCCCAGGAACAAACGCAGCTTGTTCATCGTTGACAGCATAGTTATGGTGGCTGTTGGAAAGGAGGACAGAATGATGAGAGATAGAGAAACTGCTTTTTCTGGTGATGCAAATGAAGAGACTTTGGCATTTGCTGAAGGTAAGAAGGGAGGGGAGAAGTTAACTACTTATACCATGAGATACCAATGTGCAAGCATCCAACAAGCAATAGAACGACTTGATACAGTAGGACAAGTATTCGTCTTCACCTCCTTCAAGCCTACGATACAAACACGACAATAAGAAACAAGACATCTAGGTCTTTCACCGAAAGCCGTCGACGCTGATTGAATCAAAATGAAAGACAACAATAAGAGACGCTCACATAGCGAGCTGCCTTCACCTTCACTCCAAAACGCTAAATACTCCAAAGCAACCCTAATCTTCATCAAACATTACGCGCCAAATGCATAAGGCACACCAGGCCTAGCACATACTCTAAATAAGCGGCGGACGACGACGACGACCCCTAGAGAGAGTCCTCCCTCTACCAATATCGTCCTCATCATGATCTTCCACGAGCGCCTTATGCTGAAGTCGCCAGTCCTCCAGCACATCTTCAGGAGCATCCGGATCGAACCAACCGTCCCTAGCATCAAACACATCTCCGTTTCTAAGGCTCTCTGCAATGACTCGCCTGAGCTCAAGCGTCTCTGGAGTGACCCGGGTGACTGGAGGCGCGGCCCGCCAGTGGTGCGGGATCGGTCCTGCTACACTGTTGAAGCTGGCCTCGTAGTCTGATGCTGCCTCGGCATCTGTAGAGGCTCCCATGCTGGCGTTGTTACTGTCCTTGGTGGAGCTGGGTGGTACAGGAGCTGCAGCTGGGGTTGCGGGTCGGTCACTGAGGCGGGGTCGGCTGGGGGTTTGGTGACGGTTCACCCAAGTTCGAGACTGAGTGAAGATGCTTGCTGGTCGTGCAACTGGATTTGCACGTCCACTGGCGTCTGCTGGTGGTGCCAATGGCGCTGCTGCTGCAGTTGCGGATGGCTTTCGCTTCAAGATGTTGCATAGTTTGCCGATCCACTTCTTGATGAAGCCGGACCTTTCGGTTCCTGGCGCGGGGTTCACTACAGGTCGTGAAGTCTTCTTCGACACTGGGTCAGGAAGCATAGGCGGGACTATGTTCCCGCTGGGCAGGTTGTCTGTGGACAGGGTACTTGTTGGTCTCTGCGCGTCTTCGTTTAGCTGTCCGTCGCCAAATCGTTGTCTTTGGCTGCGAAACGGGAATGGCGAGCTTGAACGTGTTGGAGAGGGCGTCTCTTGCGTCAGTTGCTTGTTTACGGAGTCGTTTCGTGGTTTTGGGGTGTTTTGTTCTGAGGTCTGCTCCCCCTCGCCGCTGCTTGAGCAGTGACGCTGTCTAAGCGTCTTGTCGCGCTACATGTGAAGTTAGCATAGAACGCATTTGCTTAGGATTAGTGAAGCAAAATGAATAGTGCAGAGGGGAGCTCGGTCACTGGTATGAACACAAAGCTACCGGGTCACTTGTGTACCTAGAATATGGATATGGACAGATGTCATACTTACCCAGACCATGATGCCGATAGTGAGAGTACGATGCGCAGAATGGCAAGTTGAGAACTAAGATTGGAAGGTATACAAGAAATGGGAAAATTACGTGGCTTCAAAGAAAGTGCGGACGAGGGTATCATGTCCACTGACGGACGTGCAGTGCTTGTATTTGGTACATTTGAGTGTGTTGAGACATCGGTACCGTGTTCAGAGTCATATTCATCATTTGGATACCTAGTGATATAAGGGTCCATTGAGCCGAGATCACGATAACGGGCCACGTAATGAAAGTGCATCCAAGTATTGGTAACCGCTGCGTTGCCAATGTACGTGGTCTGTCCTCCCATGTGTCCGTACCAACGAAGACAACCTTGGTGACCTTCAATCAGCTTTCAGATGCATACCGCAAGCCTCGGCATAGTCGTTGATGTCCTCGATGACTACTGTATATAGTTGTCTGCGTTCATTGACCGATGCGACGGCCTTTTGTTGACGTTCTTCAAATTCTTGTTTGCATTTGTGGATCTTCGCATTGATCGACCACGCTTCTTCTCTGATCGAAGCTGTTTCGGCGATAACCATATCCGAAATCCTGGACCATTGTGGCTTCCCGGTGTCTAGATCATGAAGGGCGACAAGTATGTCTGTGAATCGACGAAGTTGGCAGCCGCGCTCTAGTACGACACCCTCAAGGGCAGAGACTTCCCGTTCGTGATCGTCTTCCGCCATTTCGGCCTCCTCCTTGTGCTGTTCCTCAAGTTCAGCAATGGAATCATTGCAAAGTTTCACATGGCAGTGCATCCAAATTTTCAAGTCATCCTGGTCCTCGTTGATAACGTTGATGCAGGTGGGATCCGCCGTGTAGAGCTTCAAACGCGTCATTAGTACATATAAGTTTGGCCGTGTGGAGAACTTGCAGCAACATCTTCAACTTGCAGGCAACCATGTGTATGGCCGGCGTCGCAAATTTCTTCCAACTTTCCGTTCGTTGGCACTGTTGTCTCGCTCATCTTGCTTTTATGAATGGCATCTTTGGTAGCACTGGAAGATACCGTGCGCTTGGGGGTGGCTTTTCGATGCGGATTCTCGTTGTCCTTCTGGTTTCGAGGTGTTGGTTTAGATGAACGGACAGAGACATCATCGAAACGACCCTCAACTTGCTCCTCTGTAGTCGTAGATACCACATCGCTCCCTGAATACTCGGCGATGCGATGAAGCAGTTCAATCTGCTTTCTATGTCTAGAAAGCATGGCCTCAGTCTCCGTGCTCTCAGCCTTCTTCTTCTCTCGCAGGTCTATCTTTCCAGCCTTGGCTACTGTGAAAGCTTCTCTGATCAGCATGCGCTCTTTCGCATGCTCTTTTAGCAAGGCGTTGTGAACCGGAATGACGCTTTGGTTTCTAGGCAGTCGGAAGAACAGTCGCTCCCTCGTCTTGAAGATAGTATTGTGGTGCTGGGTGCGCTCCCGTGCTTCGTCGATTATCGCTCTCTCAGCTTTGTGAGTTTCTTTGGCCTCCCGACTCTTGTCGATAGTGGTGTTCATGGTTTCCTCAAGGTTGTGAATGGCGCAGGCGATCAGCTTCGCAAGCTCGTCTTTGTTCTCCATCTGAGATTGGGTCGCGGTTGGGATGCCCTGGCACAAATGTGAACAACGAATCTCTCTGGGAAGGCTGAGCTTGCATACTTGGTCTTTCGCAACCTTGGAAACGTTCGGCTCAGTAATGTTGCGCCTCTCCAGGTTCACAAAAGACACTGTAGAGGCCATGATGGTGTTGCTCGAGGTTCGATCCCAGCTGCGTTATAGTCGTATAGTCCAGTTGCACCCAGCAGAGTTGAAAAGCGTGTATCATCTTGTATCCGTTTGTAGCTACTAGCGCGGGGCCCTTAGTCGTCCGATGAGTGCAGGTGCATGGTGAAAGTGAGCGGTGATATACTCTCCGCTGAGAAGCGCGCGTGCGTGGAAGTTCTCATTCAGGGGGTGGAGTTAATCTTATGCGTTTGTTTGAGAGTGGTGGCCGCGTGTGGCTTGATGCGCCAGTTTGGGTTGACTGTATTGTACATGTATGCTCTTTAGTGACGTGCATGGCGTGTGTATGGTCGGTGAAGTCTTGCGATGTGGGCTGGTATCGATATGATGAAATCAATTTGCTTCCTAAGCTCATTCGCGCAATGAACCGTGTAAGGACATGCGTGGCTTCCTAATGTTATTTGCAGCAGATACACGTGGTGACAATCAAGAAGAGAAAGAACTCTCAAGTTGAGCAACAGCCACTCTCACCGGGGTCTCAAACCAAGTACTCAAGACATGAGGTTTCCAAAAGAATAAATAAAACACCCATGGCGGTTGCTCGGTCTGCTTAAATAGCAGGCAAACCTTGGAAAGGTGAGAGACCGGACGAATATGAATCAAATTCTCACCTCAACATACTCTTGCAAGAATGATAGCTATGTCAATACGTATTAGCCCTTCGAAGATTTCTCTGGGTGCATGACGCCGATATGTATGCTGCAAGCCCAATAAAGCGATGATGTAAACAAATCAACAAGCCGGCCCGGAAGCCGCAATGATGTGACTGAGTCATCGAACTTTAACTATGGAAGCACTCGGGCTCAACACATTCGTAAAGTCTTACGCAGCGTACAGTATTGCAAGTGTGGTATTACTCGCCGTGTCCTCGTTGCCGCCTATCGAGTTGAACCCTGTGATTCTTGCCTGGCTATCCATGATCTATTCTTCGTCAAAACAAAAAGGAAGCAGCTTTTTTGCGGGGTAGTTCGTCAACAGAACGCGTCTTGCAAGCATCAGGGATACTCAAGGTAGCTTGGACTAGTTGTTCCCCTACACCCTCAAAAAGCACGAACGTGAGGGTTTGTGGGGATGGCACACACAGGAAGAAGAAATATCGCTGAGCGCATACACATAACATGATCCATGGGCGAGCGGCGCACACGGGCGAGCGGCGCACCCCACCAACTTTACTCACCTTACTGATCTTAATCTACAATGGCTCAACGCAGCGCTACTCAATTACTATCAAATGAAGCAGATATTCAGCTTGCTATCTCATCTATTAATGCGCACCAGATCCAAGGTACCCGTACTGCTGCAGTAGTCTACAACGTAGCCGAAACAACGCTCCGCCGCCGACGCGCTGGTATACCTGCCCGACGCGATTGCCCGCCCAACTCAAGGAAGCTTACCCAGAGAGAAGAGGAGGTGATTATCAGCTATATACTTCAGCTAGATCTGCGTGGATTTGCGCCTACCTACACAGCTGTACGTGATATGGCTGATAAGCTGCTGGCTGCGCGTGGTGGAGAGCAGGTTGGAGTCAACTGGCCATCTACCTTTGTTAAGCGTACAGACAGTCTTCGGACGTGTTTCAACCAAGCGTACGATAGGCAGAGAGCTCTTTGTGAGGATGCAACATTAATAAAGAGGTGGTTTAAGCTTATAGAAGAGACAAAGGCTGAGCTAGGTATCTGCGATGAGGACGTCTACAACTTTGATGAAGCTGGCTTTATGATGGGCAAGATTACAACGCAGCTAGTTATAACAGGAGCAGAGAGGAGAGGCAGGCCGAAGAGTATTCAGCCAGGCAATCGCGAGTGGGTAACGCTGATCGCTGCTATCAGCGCTGCTGGCTGGTCAGTCCCACCGTTCCTCATCTTCGCTGGCCAGTACCACCTATCAGCCTGGTATAAGGAAGCTGAGATCCCACGCGACTGGGCGATCGCAGTCAGCGATAATGGCTGGACGAATAATGAGCTTGGAGTTGAGTGGCTAAAGCACTTCAACGCTCACACGCAGGCTCGTAGTGTAGGCGCGCGTCGCCTGCTTATTATTGATGGCCATAAGAGCCACCAATCTCTAGAGTTCCAGGAGCTCTGCAAGGAGAACAATATCCATACGCTCTGTATGCCTCCTCACTCATATCACCTACTCCAGCCACTTGATGTTGGCTGCTTCTCGCCATTGAAGCGCGCGTACAGCCGTGAGGTGGAGAGCCTCATGCGCAACCACATCAACCACATCACCAAGCTAGAGTTTCTGCCAGCGTTCAAGGCAGCATTTGATCAAGCGTTCACGCCAGCCAATATCTGCTCAGCCTTCCGCGGCGCAGGCCTTGTTCCTCTACAACCAGAGGCTGTTCTATCAAAGGTAGATGTACAACTGCGTACACCTACTCCTCCAGCAGCTCTGCCAGAGGCTCCCTGGGTAGCTCAAACGCCGAGCAACGTACGTGAGCTTGAGGCTCAGTCAAGCCTAATACGTGAGCGCGTGCGCCAGCACAAGAGCTCATCACCAGCTTCAATTATTATGGCGATTGACCAGCTAAAGAAGGGCGCCGAGGTGATGATGCTCTCTGCTGAGCTGATGCGCGATCGGATCTCTAGTCTTGAGAAGGCCAACAGCGCAGCCTCAGAGCGTAGGCGGCGCTCTAAAAGGCGTATACAGAAGCATGGAGTACTCACAAAGGGAGCTGGAGAGGATATACTGGCTCAAAATGAGGCTGACCAGCAGATTGCTCATGAAGAGCGTCAAGGAGGAGCGCGATCAGGCCTTAGCCAGCGGGCTCAAAGGCGCTGCACTAGGTGCAAGGAGACTGGGCACAACTCGCGCACATGCAAGACTGATACTATTAATATAGAGTAATCTACTGTATTAATATCTAGCAATAATATTATCGCGTTGTTGAGATGCATCGCTTTAAAGTTGCAAAAGTTGGTGGGGTGCGCCGCTCGCCCGTGTGCGCCGCTCGCCCATGGATCATGTTATACATTGAAGCAAGGTCGCTAGCTAAATAGATATCCCCCCACATGCCCTCTATGACAATCCATCATATCCAATAAAAGGCCCATGCATCATAGCGGGTAAAGCATAAAGTCAGTTTCGCTGTAGATTCAAACAGCATGCCAGAAGGGTATCCAAACCGTAGTTTCCAAAAGAAACCAATTGCAAAAAACAAACAAGCAAGCTGCAAGCCAAGTTGCACCCGTCGTTTCCATAATCATAATAATTCGTAACTAAAAAGCTCCCTGCCAAAACGGTCAGGAACGGTTCTATTCGCGCAATAAGCCGCCAATGCCGAGACCTACTCCTTGATCAACGCGTCCGCGCTTTGGTGGACTTGTTTGAAGGTCGGTGGTAGACGCTACGCGCCCTCGCTTCAACTCGCCAGCGCGGCTGAGGCCATGGCCTTTCTTGACTTGTCCGAAGATTTTGCTTTGAATTAGATTCGATTGTGGTGCTGGGGCAGACATCATGCCCTTTGTTGGGGGCGGTCTTTGAAGGAGATTTCTTGCCATTTGGCTGGCTTGGGATTCAGGCACTTCATCTTCCTCTCTGTCAGTGAAAGCTTCCTCATCATCAATGCTAGACGCCGTGATGGTCGAGTTGCTGCTTTGGCGTCTGGTGTTCGAGGGCTTCTGCTGATGCTGGTAATGCGCTGGGGGTGCTGATTGAGGTATGCTGGTTGGCACAAACGCTGGTGGTGTGCGAGGTACCTGGGTACGTGGGTAGGCAACTCGACGGTTGGGCGTCTGAGGTATTGATGACAAGGACTGTGCGCCTCGCTGATGACCAAAGCGTGACTTGGGTGCGTGTATCCTGTTCGGGGTCGAAGGAGCAGTGGCAACCTCTTGGCTCAGCATCTTGTCGGCTAGCAGAAGAGCTTCAAAGTTGTTTTGACTTCTGCTGTCTTGAGAAAGAGGGGCTGGAACACGACCAACGCGAGTTCTGGGAGTAGGTTGGAGGGGGGTTCCAAAGTTGGATCGCGGCGAGGATTGCTCGATTTGCTCAAGAAGGGGAGCAATATGATCGCGGTTCTTGCGAATGCGTGTCTTGAGCCGGTCGTTCTCGTCCAAGACGCTAGCAAGCTCGCCTTCTCGGTGCTCCGTCAGGCGTTTCTGCTGTTCAAGCATATCGCGAAGCTCCTCGTTTTCGCTCTGCAACATTTGGTTCTGGCGACTCATGTCAGAGAGTAACATGGCATTGGCTGCATGTGCCGACTCCTGGTAGTTCTGTTCAGGGACTGCAATAGTGTTTTTGCGCTTCTCTTCGGCTTGCTGGAGGACGTCTAATTCTCGGTGGGTCATGGCTAGCTCAACAGCCATGCGGCTTGCGGCCTCCTGGCTCTCCATTACAGCCATGTTGTACTGTAGCTTGTAGTGGGCTGCTGAAAGCCGCATGTCGCGTAATGCATTGGACAGACTGTTGACCATGGACCGCAGTTCCTCAGCGGAAGCAGCATTGACCTGATCCTGCGGGTACAAGCCTGCTCCCATGTCTGTCAAGGCAGACGGCTGGTCTGGCAGCTTACTGGTAGGCGGCGGAGAAGTAAGCTGTGGGGTGGGGGGAGTAGGCGTCCGCATTGCAGCGCGTATGCCTGGGATCTGCGAAGACGGTGGAGGTGTCATGGAGGAAGTTGTTCGAGGTGCGGGGGAGATGAACTTGACACGGTCTGGGGACGCGAGTTTTGACATGCTCAAGGCCGCGGCCGACTCAGCAGGCGATGGGGAGCGCAGCTTGGGCGTTTCAGGAGGCGCATATTCGGTAGTAGGCACCAATGTGTCCTGCGACGGTTGGTATTGCGGTGCGTGGGACTCCATGCTGCCCGAGGCGCGATCGGCCTAGCGACGCACCACACTTGGAGAGGGTGTGCTGGAAGGGTGTTGGCGGGGTAGACGTGCGTTTTGTCCCGTCCAAGTCTGAGACGCGGGAAAAGACGGTGTCAAAGAAGCTGGGAGTACGGCGCGGGTGGTGGGGATGTTGGTGTGTATGACAATGCTCGGCGACGAAGATGCAAACAGCGGTGGCCGGTGTGCGCGTGTCGACGCGCGTTTGCACAAGAAGAGTCGTGAATGGGCTGCGACTACAACAAGTTCCCAAGGGAGATAAAGATGCGTTGGCAACAGACGATGCGCGCGGAACAAGCGTGACAGCGGAGAAGATGCTTGAGTAGCGGGTAGACCTGTCGAGGTTTGTGGGCCCGTCCGTCGTTCCTGCCACGGCGGGCACCAGCGCTAACCCCAATACGGGCGCGCGATGATGAAACTCTAAACATTCGGGGTTGCGATGGGTAACAGCAACGGCCACCCCCCGCGCTCAGACACGCAGCCGCTCCGAGCGCGGAGATTTGGCCTCGTGCAAAAGCAACCTGTCAGGAAACAAGTCGTCTTCCGTAAGCGGAGCACTCAGGGCCCTTTTTCTTGGTTGGGCGTGTGTTTCGCTTTGCTCGTTTGCATGAACGCCTCCCTAGCCATTAGGCGTAGCATTGTATAGCGCGCACGACCATGGAATCATCACCCGTCTCACGCCCGTCAGGCATCCCCCGACCAGCGCCATCCCGACTCCCGGTGCTTAGACCCTCAGGCAGTGTCTCGCAATTGCGGGCGCCAGCTTCGACCGAACAGCTGCGCAAGAAGCCGTCCAACTCGGCCATATCCAACATATCCAACGACCAACCCCTGCGGAGGAAACCGTCGCTCCAGTCTATATCGCGACCGACAGCATCGACACTACAGAAGAAGACATCGAGGGCATCGCTCGCCCGCTCCAACACCACCGCGTCGACCGCCTCGCAGCCAACGTCTGCCAACTCAAGCTCTGGTAGAGCTCCCCTGGCATCCAACCCTCGCCGGGCGAGCGGGATCCCCAGCTTTGGCCATCCACGTCATTCCATCACCTCTACCATCTCCTCGACTTCGAGCGACGCATCCGTTATTAGACGACCCTTTGCGCGCCCCCCATCTCGTCAGGCAAACGAGCAGTCAAGGCCAACCTCTTCATCTACCCCAGGCGAAGACGATACACTCGGTAGCCTAAATGACTTCAGGTCAGCATCAAGGGCGTCCTCGCGAGCCAGTTCAAGGGCAGGCTTCAACGAGGACGATCCTGAGGCAGACTACGCAGTCAAAGATGATGCGATATCCAAGGACATAGCGAGGAAGAAAAGTAGACAGTCGCTCTCAGAAAGAACCATAGAAAGTCTATCACAGCTGCCGTCGTCACCAGCACCTAAGAAAGGTAGACGCAGGTCGAGTTTCTTCAATGCCGACAACAGCATGCCCCCTCCGCTGCGACCAGCCTCCGCAACGTCGAACGGCAGTAGACCCTCGACAAGTGATGGCGCCCCACAAGCAGCACCAGCTACACCGAGGAGGCTTGGTGGCCCATCCAACAGACTGTCAATGACAGCTCCCGGCCAGCGAAGCGCCAGTGCAAGCGTCACTACATCTACTGTAACGCCCAGTAGAACAAACTCCGTGTCACGTTCCGTATCGACGGTTAAGAAGCAGCCATCATCATCGACATTGTCTACTACCCAGAACCTGCAGAACACGCCCAAAGCTCGACCGCTATCAACAAGCAAAAGCCTTGCTACGCGAACACCGAAGCCCAAACCATCACTAGGCAATGTTTTTGGTCAGGCTATTTCACCTCCTGGAACTGCAGTCGCCTCGCCAAATCGTGATACCCCTGTGAAGAAGACACCAGACACTGTCCGAAGGGTTCCCAGCTCTTCCGTCGCGCTGCGCGATCACATTGCGAAAGCCAAGGCTGCAAAGAAGCCCGACGTTACCGAATCGCCCCCCAAACCCGCAAGTTCTTCCAACGCACTGCGGGAACAAATCGCAAAGGCAAGAGCAGCTGCTAAACAGGCAAAGACCGAGCCGGTGAGGAACAACACTCCGCCTACAGATGTCATCGTGCCTGATCCTGCCGAAATTGCAACTTTTGACTTTGGGCTCGAAGATGATCCTTTCAACCAGAACCCAAAGGGTGGCAAGTCTGTATTGCGACGACGTATCGATAGCGCTCGTTCGGACGGGCGCCTGAACATTGCGGCAATGGGATTGAAGGAGATCCCAGACGATGTCCTCTCCATGTACATTTACGATCCCAACGATACAAAGGTTGCCTGGGGCGAGGTCGTCGATCTTAGCACCATCTTAGCTGCTGATAACGAGCTGGAGATTCTTCCAGACAGCATGTTTCCGGATGTCACAGTCGAAGACATGGTGGATTCTGACGAGGCTGGGCCTCAGTTTGGGGGAGTCCAGAACCTTGATTTCCACGGCAACCTGCTTCGAGAGCTGCCAGTCGGCATGAGGCGACTCACCCAGCTATCAAAATTGAACTTGGTATGTACTTGTGAACCCTCACTGCGGCTTATGATGATTATGATGCGCGTGTGGTGTACACTGCTAACACACCCCAGTCAAGAAACAAGCTATCTATGGATATGCTGGATGTTATTGCTCAGATACCAACACTGCGGGAACTGAAGCTGGGAGAGAACGATCTCCAAGGAGACCTTTCTCCAGCCCTTTGCAACCTTACTGGTTTAGAGGTCCTCGAGCTACAATCCAACAAACTGACTAGCATACCGATAGACATTGAGCGCATGGCTCAACTACGAACGCTTAATGTTTCTGACAACCAGCTGCGTTCTATTCCCCGTCAGGTCTTTTCATCGACCCTCATTGAACTTCACGCATCGAAGAACCGCCTCGGGGGCACACTATTCAGCATAGATTCTGTATCAGCCCTACAGGAGTTACATGTGGCACAGAATTCACTTACTTCTTTATGCGACGGCGATGCAATGGACTTGCCTGCCCTCAAGGTTCTCAACGTTTCCACGAACCGACTTACGTCTCTACCCACTGTCTCGACCTGGGTTAGTCTAATCACGCTTCTAGTAGGCGAGAACAAGCTTTCGGCCTTGCCGGAAGGCTTCGTCACTCTACACCAGCTCCGTACTGCGGACTTTACAGGAAACGACATTACACAGCTAGATGAGAAAATAGCTCTTATGGAGAGTCTGGATCATCTCACAGTCGCTGCGAACCCACTGCGTGATCGCAAGTTCCTCACCATGGGCACAGATGAGATGAAGCGTGACTTGGCTGCTCGACTGCCAGCTGATGAAGCTCTAGCCAATATCGACGAAGACCTCGATAACGCAGTTGAAGAGACTCAGACCCAATGGCAACTCACTCCTTCAGGCACCTTGGATCTCGCCGACAAGGACATGAGTGAACTGGAAATAGATGATGCCACATTGGAGGTCTTCGCAGAGGGACTCCGTCAACTACACCTGCAGCGAAACAAGTTCGAGGCCATTCCGTCCATCGTAGTGAAGTTTGACCATCTCACTCTGTTGGATCTCTCCAGGAACAACATCGAAGTCGCACTATCCGCTCCGCTCGATCTTCCACAACTCCGAGATCTTCGCCTCGCCAGCAACAAGATTACCTCTCTAACGCCGCTGACGACATACCTTACCGCACCTAATCTTGTCACTCTTGATGTTTCGATCAACCGCCTTTCTGGAATCCTCCCAATACTTCATGTGTCGTTTCCCTCGCTCACGACTCTGCTTGCTTCGGACAACAAGATTTCCGAAGTATCCGTCGATAGCTTGACCAATCTGAGGATCGTGAATCTAGGCAACAACGACATTGAGCGTCTAGAGCCACGCATCGGCCTGCTCCAAGGCACCTTGACGGGCCTGGAGGTCGAAGGGAACAAGTTCAGGGTTCCCAACCGACAGGTGCTCCAAAAGGGAACAGATGCTGTTCTGACATGGCTCAAAGACAAGATTCCAAGGGAGAGTTGGAAGAGCGCTGATAGTGCAGGGACTGAGTTTTTCGACGCTAATGATGGGAGCTTTTAATCCTTCGTTTTGGTGTATTAGGGGTTCTGTTCTGGGGGCAATTGTTGTGTGACGGAAGCACAGATTTGGGTTCAGGTGGATTGGTTGAGTTTCCACCTTTTCTAAGATACATTTTTACGCTTTTTGTAATTCATTCTTGTATAGTAAACGCCCGATATCAATGGGTAAATAGGGATCTGTTCATATCATCTTCTCATTGTGACTAGTTCTCCATGCGAGTGTTAATTAGATGTTACATCTCCAGAAACTTGAGACAGAAAACCGACCTCAAAACCACTTCCAATCAGGTGTTATGTGCTGTCATTTCGTACGCATGTCGGCGTGATATTCAGTAAGATGAGTCGGTGATTGTTCGGTGACATCGGCCATTCCTACTAGGGGCAACGCTAACCCCCGGCGCAACGTTTTGCCGGTCACTCGGCTCGCGCACGAGAGCGAAAATTGATCGCGAACTTCGACGTTTCTCCCTGACAGCCGTACGATAACTAACCACCAGGTCCGCCATCGAGGTACGTCAAGAACCCATGCATCGCGCATTCGAATCATTAAACAATCGGCGCTGCGATTGATTCAGAAAAGGACGACGAGGGCTGACAAGCTTGCGATAGACAATCCGACACAATGGCGATCAAGCACAACCAGCAGATCCAGAAGAACCATTTCCACAAGGACTGGTGAGTATACTAGGTACATATTCTTCATATTGAGTAGTGCTGACTTTGACAGGCAACGCTACGTCCGCGTGCACTTCGACCAGGTAATTCCCCTCTCACCTTGCTGAGAGTTGTGGCGCCTGTGTTTAGATTCTGACACTGCAAATAGCCTGGCAAGAAGAAGTCCAGACGCAATGCGCGTGTTGCCAAGGCTGCAAAGGTCGCCCCCAGGCCTGTTGACAAGCTGAGGCCCGTCGTTCGCTGCCCGACTGTCAAGTACAACCGCCGTGTCCGCCCCGGCCGTGGTTTCTCTCTCGTTGAGTTGAAGGGTACATATCTTCTCGTACTTTCTCGAACAGCACGTACTGACAGTAATCAGCCGCCGGTATCCCCCGCAAGTTCGCCCGCACCATCGGTATCTCGGTCGACCCTCGCCGCCAGAACCTCTCCGAGGAGGGCCTCAAGGCCAACGTCGAGCGCCTCCAAGAGTACAGGAAGCGTCTCATCCTCTTCCCCCGCCGCAACGGCAAGACCAAGCAGGGTGATGCTTCCGCCGAGGACGTCAAGGCCGCTAAGAGCGCTGACAACCTCGTCCGCACCACCTCCGCTGCCCTGCCCATCAAGAACGTCGTCGAATTCGAGGAGGGCCCCATTGGCAACTACGAGGCTACCGAGAACGCCTACAGGAAGCTCCGTGACGCCCGCTCTGAGGCCCGCCTCGTCGGTGTCCGGGAGAAGCGCGCCAAGGCCAAGCTGAGAGCTGACTCCAGAGAATAAACTTCTCGCTGAAGTGAATGTTTGGTTCTTTGCTATGGCTTATGACGGTACAAAAGTCAAGATTACGATTCGGCAATGGGTTTTCCCAGCGTGGGCATCCCCAGCATGGGCGGCGTCATGGTTAGGTCTGTCAAAAATGACAGCATGTGAATGATACCTAGTTTTCCAAATGCAAGCCGTGCCTCCCATGTTTCTTAGTGTCGTAAGACATCATTCTGTCGTTTTCCTCGTCCGAGTCGTTTGCTTTCTGCCGGAGCCTGCACTCATTCTCACAAATATTACAAAAACAGGATGACACATGACCATAATTGCTTACCCATCTCGTAGAGATTAGTCATTGTTCTACCATCACTACATGTATACATTTTACCCTGGCCAGCTCAGGTGATGATATATTATCAAGTGCTGCTAGCTAACATACAACAAACCACTCGTTTACCGACGACAGAACGACGCACGCGTTACCCAAGTGTACTTCCCATCGTCATCGACGAACTTGATCATGTATCTCGCCTGTTGGCTCTATTACAACTCTTTCTCTTCCAAATCAACGTCGCCAAACACCGTGCAGTCATCTTCAGCACCAATAACACCACCCCTTCCTTTCCACCCACGTTGACGTTGCACGACATCCAGCCCCCTGGCTTCCCCACAACATGCCATGTACTTACAGCGCAGATCCCCATGCTCCGGTATCACATGCAGCCTCACACATTGTGTCGAAGAATTAATGCAGCAATATCGAGCGTTTTAGCCGAATGGCGGATACCTATATTAGTCCCGCAACTGCCGATCGTTCGGGCATATTGGCCACGAGGAGGTAGCAATAAGAGTGGGATCAACCAGGTTTTCGATTCTGATGTAGCGCTCGGTGGTTGTACACTGTAATATATGAATGGGGGACTTGTTGGGAGAGGTAGGTGTGGGGAGTCGGCAGTTGGGGTCGTTGGAGGTAGGAAAGATGGAAAGGGACATGTGGAGATGGACAAATGGAGGGTGTGCTGATGGGATAGATGAATTAGGGTGGGTATGAGGGTTTCTTGGGATCGGAGGGTTGTGTGTGTGGTAAGGCTTGGAAGATGTGCCGTCGGAGGTATTTCTTTGGGGAGGGTACTTCTTCTCCGCTGTCGTTTTTCTTTCTGCAGCAGCTCAACTTCTTCTGCTATATCGCTCAGTACTCTATTGTTCATCTTTTCCTGTCGTATACAATGTATCTTGCACCTCTCCTCTTTGCGGCCCTCGCGCAGGCAGCGCCCCAGTTCGGTGGCTCCCAGGGCTTCACCATGCTCCGCTTTGGCTGTGCGCAGTCAGTCGTTGATCGAATCGATCCGCTGGTGAACCCAGGCGTGGCACCCTCACCGCATATGCATCAAGTGGTTGGTGGTAACGCCTTCAACATCTCCATGCAGTCCACGGACATCTCGAAGTTGGCGACTTGCACTACATGTGGGTACTCTGAGGATGTAAGTTGATGAGACCCAAGAGGATTTATGGACAAATGGAGCAGCACTGACATTTTAAACGATAGTTGAGCAACTACTGGACGGCAAACATGTACTTCAAGGCCAGGAACGGAACGTACAAGCGTGTTCCTCAGGTTCCTAACAGGTCAGTTGGTCTTTGGCTTCGTATTGTTGATGTTAGTACTTACAATATGTCAGGGACCTCTTCAACGACAAGTACACTGGGAAGACTACCGGTGGCTTCGTCGTTTACTATGTTTCCGGTGGCAAGAACGACGTGACGGCCTTCAAGCCTGTAAGTCGACTCACGTGTCTTCAACATCGCACTACTTGCTGATACCAACGCAAAGGGCTTCCGTATGCTTGTAGGCGATGCGGCAAATCGCGTATCGAAGGGCCGGAAGTCTCAGACTTGCTTCCGTTGCTATAGCGGGCCCAACTTTGGCGGAGATAATGCTGCGCCCTGCCAGGACGCCACGTATGTTTCCAATTGGATAACTTTCCGATATCGCTGCTGACTCCCATAGTTTGGATACCGAGGGCTTTCCTACCAAGCCTTGCCCTGGTGGCATCCGCAGCAACATCCTCTACCCAACGTAAGCAACCATGTACAACAGTGTGCTTAGTGCGACCCAACTGACACATGTCTAGATGCTGGGATGGCAAGAACCTCGACTCGCCCGACCACAAATCCCACGTTGCGTACCCCACGAACGGCCCAGCTATCTTCTCCGGCACCAGTACCGGTGGCGCATGCCCATCAACACACCCCGTCAAGATCCCACAGATCATGCTCGAGGTTTGTTACCTACCCCCCTGGCTCCTCTTCATCGCGACTAACCTCATTACAGATTGTCTGGGACACCACCAAGTTCAACAACAAAGCTGAGTGGCCTACCGATGGCTCGCAGCCCTTCTATCTCAGCCAAGGTGACAACACGGGTTATGGCCAGCACGGCGATTATGTCTTTGGCTGGAAAGACGATTCGCTCCAGAAGGCGATGAATGATGCAAAGGGTTGCATGGGTGCCAACTGCGGTAGCTTGAAGACGCAACAGCCTGCTGATGGAAACAAGTGCGTTGTTCCGAATCGGGTCAAGGAAGAGCGTGATGGCTGGATGACGTCCTTGCCTGGTATGGACGGTATGCCTATGTAGACTTTTTCCAGCGGGGTAGGGTGTCGTTGTGCGTGATAGGTAACGTTTTGTAGACCGACTGCTTTAGATGTTCCAAGATAACACGTCTTATCTCAGTTGAATTCATTGTTTTGCAATTACTATCCTTAGTACAGGCCCGTACCAGGACAATTGAAGATCCCAAAGGAACGCGGCATGTCGAAAATTAGGCGAGAAAGACTGACCTGATCGTGACTGCCACAGATAGTTGTGATGACCATCACAACTCATGAGCGATTCTATGGTCCAGGTAGTACTATGTAATCGCATCCACAGCTAGCTGTAGATGGGGTGCGCAGTATTCTTCAAACGGGCGGAGATAGTTTGTATATAAGGGGAGGAGAGTGGCGCGAACAGAAGGGGAAAGCGCTACCACAGCCCTACCAGGTACCTACGCATCTACGTATCTGGATGGGGTTGTTTTTGGCTCTACTATACATATTAGAATAATTTGTAGGGATGGTATGTAATACTAAATCTGTATACACTAGAATATCTAACTGAAAACCAGCAGGATAGAGAAATAAGACATTGTAAGTCGTGACAGCGCCAATATAACGCTCGCTGATCAGATGAGCTAGCTCTTCAGTGGCTCCCAAGTCGACATATCGCGACCTTCGTGGAAATGTTTAGAGACATGACCCATCCGCGGATGGGTCGTTTTGAACATAAGGTTACAAAAGCCACACCAAAGGGACTTGGGGTCACGGAGTGATGGCTCCATCTCCCTTGACCAACACTCCGGAGCCTTGAAGCTCTTCCGCATAGAATCAGAAGTGTCAGCAAGATGGGTTCCCAAAACATGCTGTTTGAGGTAGTCTTTGCGGGTGAAAGTGCGTTCGGTAATGGCCTTGCCTAGACAAGCTGTGATTGCGTGTCCATGAGGTTCGGCGATTGCATCCATAAACACGGAGCAGAAAGTACAACCATAGTGTTGCGTGGATGCCCCTGTAAGCATACAGGTCCATACTCGCTCACTATAGCCATGTACAGATGTTTCGTGCCTCTTCCAACTACCAGCATTTTGAACACCTCGAGGCATTCCGTACATGGATACTTCATGCCAAGGCCAGGCAGAATGCTCATTGAAGCCGCATCGAATTCAATGCCAGTTCGGCCCTGTTGATGCCTTTGGTTACGGTGCCGACGACCTTTGCGCTTGTTTAATGTAACTTCATGGGTATTGGATATGGCTCGAAGCACTTGATGGCGAGAGTCTTCTCTGGGGCTTTCGTATGTCTGTGTAACAGTCGGATTGTAGCCGAGGGGTGTAGAAGGACCTGCCATGGACGACAGAGAATACAGGCTATCGCAACTTGGAAGCGACATATCGTAATCGCTATCTTTGAGAACGGGTTGCACATAGCTTGAATTCTTGAATGGCTCTTTTCCGGAACCTGCATGAACAGTAGTTTCATTGTTATGCTTCTTGGAATGACCCTCAAGTACTAAGCCCATGGTCAGTAAGTCCATCATATTCTGACTGCATGAACTCACAATGTTTCTCGCGGGCTCGGATATTGCGCAAACAGAATCCCAGTTGTACTCGAGATAGTCCAGACATAGAAGCTAGCTCATCCTTCTCTGCTGGTGTAGGGTATGGATTGGAAGCGTGATCATGAAGCCATTGTCGGCAAAGTTGTAGCCACCTTTTACGTTCATCCCTGTGGGGGATATCATGAGATTCGCTGCATAGCTGTGATGCGGCCTGCCCAAGATCGCGTTGGGGTTCCAAATGAGCTGTATCTCTAACTCCGTGATTGTGCGCTGATAAATCAAGACGTTGGTAGCCGTTACGTTGATCACAATCCAAGTTATCGAAAGTGGTGTTGGTCGAGTCATGGCCTGGCAAGAATTCTGTCCAATCGAGATTGTTTTCCTGCACCGAGCCATTGATGTGGGTGCCGAGAGATAGCGACGACGGTTGCGCGTGAATGTAGGGATATTCACATGTTCGATCGAGTGCAAGGTCACTCAGGCGAACCTAGTCGGGACGATGGGGCTCTTGATCGGTGCGGTTGAAATTCTTTAAGCAGTCGCTGACCTGCAGAAGGAGATTTATGATTTTAAGGCGATCATTGGATTGAAATTGTTCGCTTTCGTGATCGTTATGGTTGTGGGTATCATCATCTGTTTCGTAGAAAGGATACCTGGAAGCGTTAGCGTATTTGTAAAGCTAGTTGACATTTGGCACGACACAATCCAGCGTTGCCCAGATACAATGAAGAATAACGTCATCTCAGTCGAAAAAGGCTGATTTGCAATATATTACCTTCGCGAACATATGGTTTCTGGCAATAAATGGGATGACTGGTGAGACGGTTGACCACTGGATGCCTCGTGTTGCTGGTCCTTGCTCAGCGGTTGGTTCGCCATCACCGCTAAACCGTTTTGAGTTGAGCCGACTGTAAAAATACTCAAAAGTCAACGACAAAACGTTCAAAACAAAATTACAAAAGTGGGAAACAACTGAGACAACCTGGGAAGGCTATTAAGCTGTTTTTGAGCTCTGACATGAGTTGTAAGGCGACGCGAACAGAAGAGACGGTCCGGTCCCGCTATGCCAGAACGGGCATTTAAAACGAACATGTATGCGGGTGCATCGTGCATCACGTGAAGAGTGAAATCAATGCTAACTATCGAATTTTCACAACGCCATATCGTTGTTACAGCAATATCAATAGTAGCCAAGATACTACTCCAGAGTTACCTCATACTTGGTAGAATTCAGTAAGCAACACTGAAGCTTTCACATCTGACACGTGATTTATGTCCCACGCGAACATATCGATCTGCGACAGTGCCTCACGCAACAAGGTGAACATACGCCAGCTATGGCCAACTTTCATTGTTAAACATCATGGAAATCAGCAAGACAGTAGAATCATAGGTGGGAGTTTATTTCATATTCAACTCATTTCGCTACAAAAGCACTCATCGTATGTACAGCGTCTAAGCCTTGATCTCGCTAAGGATATCATCCGCGGCCTTCTCCGCAACCATGTACGTCGACACAGCAGTGAAGGTACCAGGAATATGTGGGAAAACACTGGCATCTACAACCCTCAATCCAGTGACGCCACGGACCTGGAACTTTGAGTTGAGAACAGCCATCTTGTCGTCATCAGCACCAATGGGGCATGTCGACGAGGCGTGGTGACCCCAAGCAGTGTCCTTGGCGTACTGTGCAATCTTCTCGGGGGTGTTGACGTCCGCACCGGGGAGGACCTCTTTGATGGGGACGAGTTGGCGCTTGAAGGAGTCACGGGCAAGGTTGACGGCCTCGGTGAGCGAGGTGAGATCCTTCTCATACTCACCGACACCGGTGTCGAAGTAGTTGTAGGTGATGTCCGGTACATCGAGAGGGTCAGCAGAGCGAAGAGTGACGGTTCCGGCGGTGTTGCGGGGGTGAGCCTTGAGAATGGCCCAGGTGAACCAGTCGTGCTCGGAGGTGGCGTTGTAGGCGTAGCCGGGGAAGTATCCACGGAAGTTGACGGGGCCACCGAAGGCGAAGATATCGTACTCGTCGCGCTCAGAGACACTGGACTTGTAGAACATGGTAGCGCCGAGACCAGGAGAGGAGTAAATGCCGCGGTTGCCGAGAATAGATTTTTCCCAGCGTTCCAGGCAAGGGTCAGGTGAGGCGGTGTTGAAGGTGCAGCCATTGAGAGCAGAGAAGTCCGAGGGTGCTTTTCCTTGGACATTTATCTCGTAGTGGTCCTGGAGGTTGGTACCAACACCAGGGAGGTCGGCAACAACGGGGATGTTGAATTTCTTTAGCTCATCAGAAGGACCGACACCGCTAAGCTTGAGGAGCTGAGGCGAGTTGTATGTTCCTCCAGCAACGATGACTTCGCGAGAAGCAGTGGCAGAACCGGGAGTTCCATTAGCGCCGCTGGACTTGGGGCTAGCCTTGTAGAGGTATTGGCCGTCAAGAAACTCAACACCGGTGGCACGGGGAGGAGTAACTGTCTGGTCGAATGTGACCTTGGTAACATGGCAGTTGAGTCTGACATCGAGAGGGTATCTCTTGCTGCCGTCGGCGTTCTTAGCATCACGAACTGCAACGACGAACTCGCGAGATCCAACACGTTTGCCATCTGTGGTAGAGATAGGGATCTGGTAGAGAGCGGGCTGCTTGTCACGGCTCTCGGTGTCGGCGTTGGCATCACCAGCAATGAGGGTACCGAGGTTTACAATGGCGTTGGTGGCGTTGCTAAGAGCGAATGCGGCACCGCCAATCACACTCAAAAGTTGAGGGTCAGAGGTGACGATGTCAATGGGTGCGTAATCGGTGCCAAGCCAGCCATCCTTGCCGTGGCCTTTACCGTTGAGCAGACCGTCGAGCAAAAGGTAGTGGTTGTCTTCCATCCTCTCAAAGTACTTGCGCATGTTGGACGCAGACCAGGAGTCGTCTCCAGTGAGGGTGGCAATACGTTCAAAGTCGGATCGGTGAGGGTAGACAGCGATGAGGGCGTTGTGTGCAGTGCACCCTCCGAGAGTTCCGGTACGAGGATACAGCGTACCTTTCATGACAGAGCCCGCGGGGGGGTTGAGACCGGTGTATATGCTGCCATCCGGAGTGGTGTAACTAGTCTTGTAGTCGCGTGCTTGTCTCTCTTCATCGGCATAGTGCTTTACGAAGAAGTTCCAGGCCAAATTGGGGTCCTCTGATGACTTTGCGTTGAATGCGGGAACGGTGTAGTTGACGTTGGCGCCTTGGTCATCACCAGCTTCAATGAGAAGTGTCTTATGACCGGCGAGAGCGAGGCGAGCAGCCAGGGGCTTTGACAATGGTTAGTAGAACTTCTATAGGTGCTCATGGTAGTCTATGACTTACACCACCACCAGCTCCGGAGCCGACAACTACATATTCGTAACCTTTAAGATCAACAGCCTTTGCTAGGGTAAGCAGAGCCGCGAGCCCGAAGATCTTGGGGAAGAACATTGTGATTAAGTATTAGGCAGGTACTTGTTCGCCCGTATGGGTATTTAAGGAAAGAACGACAGAGGCTGAAGAGTTGCCTGCTTGAACCATCCTCAAAGACGTCCCCTGCCTTTATGTAGATTCTTAACCGCATACGCAGCTCGCCCCTATTGAACCGAGCCGCCACATGCCGCGTCGGACGAAAATCACTGCAAGCAATGCGATGGCAAGACTCGATTGCGATGTTCAGTACGTACCGGTAGTGGCGGTAGTTGATCCTTTCTCAGCCTGGAAAATAATGCTTACGATCATGGCTGGTGTGTAGATCATATGGGTCTTCCAAGGGTACCCTGCGGGCTGCAATCTGGAAACGAGACAATTTGGCGTTCGTTCCTGTATGATGGTCGTTAACTTCAGCCTTTAAAAAAGAAAAGAAGAAGAACATTCCGCGACGCCATAGTCCCCATTTCATGATTCAACATGTTGTTGTTCAGTCTCGATCAACTTGGGAATGTACTACAGCATGAAGTGGCAGATGTGGACCTCCGCGGCTTCCGTATCTGACTTGCTTACGCCTTCCGCATTCTGATCCTCGCCGACATGAGTTCCACGTATGGAAATTACAAAACCCTGTCAGGGACATCTTACCCTGGTCTGTCAATTCGTGAGTCGGACCTCCCTCCCGCTTCGGAAGTGGGCTAGGCGCGTGGAGAAATCGTTCCAGGGATAGCGGACGCTAGCGCCCTACACAGATTAGCATCAACATGCACTAGAAACTTTCTGAACCTGGACTTCACAAAGGCTCGGGAACAAAGAAGACGTGGCTCTGTAGAATGCCGATTTTTTGCCCGACTGGGACATCGCGTCCACGTGGAAAGGAACGATGGATTTATCGGTAGATGAAAAAAAATTCGACTTTTTGCCACGAGACCCAGAGTAACTGACTCGGCTGCTCCACTCAACGCATGCTCGCCATACAAACGCCATCAGCCATGTTGAAATCGGCATTCGGCAGTCTCCACAGACCTTTCAATGCTCGCTCTAGCCCGCCTAGCCCGCAGCGTTAAGGCTTGCGGCTCTTTCCTCTGCGTCTGCACCTGTGCGCCATCCCGAACACGTGTTTTCGACCCTGGTTTACGGCTCGCCGGGCCATACTGCATCGGCAATACTTCTCACAAGCTGCAATTTCTTCCTCATGTCTTCGTATCCAAGCGAGTTTCCCTCAGCATGTGATGCGAAACCACACTGGGGGCTGACACAACACTGTTTGATAGCATCTTCGCGTGATTGACCAGTACCCTTCGCGATCCAATCTGCGGCCTGGTTGACTCTGGCAATCATCTCATCCTTGTCCTCGAGCTTGGGGAATTTGGAGGTGATGACGCCAAGTACGACATTCTTGTCCTTGGGAAGATGTGCAAGTGGCTCAAACCCTCCCGCGCGCGGGGTGTCGTATTCGAGGTAATACGTATCTACGTTGAGGTCCTTTTAACGTCAGCATGCTTGATTTCTCGTCATGAGTACTGGACCAACCTGGAACAACTTCTTCGCAATGTTGTCATATGCACCTTCGGAGAAATGTCTGCTTCCTACATAGTTGCCGCGGCACAGATGGATGCCGAGGTGCATGTCCGCGGGACGTTCAAAGCACTTGTTATAGAATCGGACGTAAGAATCGAACATCTCATCAGCTGACTTGTCATTTGTCGTGTCAGCCTTCCAGCCCGCTAACATGTCGTCCGAGCAGAAGTAAGCGAGATTAGGATCATCGATCTGGATATTCCTGATCCCTTGCGAATGTAATATCTTCAACTCTTCTTGGTATGCCTTGGCAACGTCATCGAAGTACTCTTCGTCATTCGCATAGACTTCTTTCGGATAGGCCCTTCCGTTCATGTAACGGAAGTGGTACCATGAAGGCGAGATCAAAGTAATCTTGATATTCTTCCACTCGCTCTCAGACAGGAGACTCTTCATCAGATCGACTTCGCGCTGGTTGCTTGACTTTCCGGGGTGCTTGATTTTGTCGACGCAGACAGTGACATGGTTGGGCACTTCTTTTGCTTCCATGAAAGACTTCACGTCAGGCGCGTAAGCTCGGAACATGTCCTTATTATAGCCTTTTAGAACACCAAGCTGGAGCTCCTTCATGCCATGGAGCGTCTCGAAGAACGTACCCCAGAACATGTGTCTAGCTCAGGTTAGTTCAGACCCTGGCTTGAAGGTTCTGAGTTGCTGACCTGGTGTATTCTCCACTTGAGACAACCTTGAAACCACAATCTTGTTGGGTCTTGATGACCTCCGCGACGGATGTGTCCTCCAGAGGTATGAGGTCCTCTGGCTGCGCCTTGCCTGAGGCGACGTCATAACGCTTTTGCACCAGCTCCTGCGGCCGAAGCAATGAGCCAACGTGCTCAGCGCGGAAAGGTGGGCTTCTCTTCAAGGACATGGTTGACTCAAGGGGTTGAATAGCTCAGGAAAGAGCGAAAGACGAGAAGAAGTATTTGACAGAAAGTCTTGCCCCTCATCTTGTCCGCCGCTTGCCCCGCAAACACAACTGAGCACAGCCGCTCAGCCAGAACCGCTGAATTCTTTTGCCAGCCTGCCATACCCTGCTATCCCCTGTCGAGGTGCATGTAAGCGAAGTCCAAATAGTGGCCACTCATCGGATTGGAAGGGTTCAGTACATATGATGGCGCGGAGCGGGGCGGCCAATGTGGGATCCAGCTCGAGCTATGGTGGGGCCTACGATGGATAAGATGAGGTGTGCGTAACACGTCGTGCCGCGAGCTTCCACATCGATGGACTTTTCATACCGTGAGTCTCCTTCCAAACTCTAAACCAACAGCCAGTCGTCGCATTCGCAGTCATCACCGAGTCTGCGTCCTCATTCTTATCCAGCTCTTGGTTCAGATGCATGTCACGTTACATGTCCCACAGGGCGTGTAAGAGAATTGGAGAAAGGATCGACGATGAAGATTTGGCTATGCTGCGGAGTATACTGGGAGGTCCACAATCCGTTTGGCAACCCCAAGAGACGTGAAGCTGTCGATCAGCAGTTGTTTGTTGTGCCGCAAGATGGTAACAGGAAGGCGCAGTATGCCCCACCAAAACTATCATTGCATCAATGATAATGACACGGCCCGAACACCGGACTTAACCACCGTTGCCACCAAATCAAAGAACTTCTGTCAGCGTCAGCGCCACTTGTAATGACGAAAGAACATTAATACCGTTTCTCGGACCTCGGAAAAAGTACAACTCCGCATGATGATCAGTGTACATATGGAGGGGATGCCACTCCGCTTAGGGCGTGCTCGTAAACTAAACGTCTACGCCCCAACATCAATTGCACCATATCCGCCAACTAAGCCGAAATGACACGAGTTCTGTTGACAGGAGGCAGTGGCTTCATCGCCGCGCATACACTCGACGTCCTCCTAGACCACGGACATAGCGTGGTTACCACTGTGCGGACGCAGGACAAGGCAGACAAGATCAAAGAGTCCTACAAGAGCTATGTCGAGAAAGGTCAATTGGGGTTTGTCATTGTGCCAGATATCGCACAGCCGGACGCTTTTGAACAGGCTGTCGTCTCCGATCCTCCGTTCGAGGTTGTATTACATACCGCGAGTCCCTTTCATTACAACGTGACTGATGTCCAGAAAGTAAGTGCGCTTGCTAAGACCCAACCAACACCATTCGCTGACAAGATAGGATCTGCTTGACCCCGCGATAGTTGGAACTACGTCTATACTGAAATCGATCAAGGCGCATGCGCCCTCCGTTAAGCACGTAGTCGTTACCTCGTCATACGCCGCCATTGTACACCCCCGCAAGGGCTACTGGCCTGGACATGTCTACTCAGAGGACGACTGGGACCCCATCACGCTAGAGGAGGCTAAGGAGAACCCAATGACGGGATATCGAGCAAGCAAGACATTTGCTGAGAAAGCAGCATGGGACTTTGTGGAGAATGAGAAACCTAACTTCTCACTCTCGACCATTAACCCCCCGATGGTTTTCGGGCCAATAGTGAGTAGTCAAGGCACACCCACTTGAATGTGATCTCTGACAGTGACCAAGGTCCACGCTCTTGACAGCTTAGACAACCTCAACACATCGAATAAATTCATGCTGAGCGTTGCCCAGGGCAAATGTAAGGATGAGATCCCGAACAACATGCCGCCCCAGCACCTTTGGGTAGATGTACGCGACGTGGCCGAAGCACACGTGGCTGCATTTGAAAAGCCGGAAGCTGCCAACAAGCGCTTCTTTGTCACTGCAGGCTACTACTCCAACAAGGATATTTGCGATGCCATCAGGAAGAACTTTCCTGCATTGAAGGACCTGCCGAGCGAGTCTACACCCGGCGGCGACTATCCAGAAGGTGCCCCTGGCAAGGGCATGTACGGATACAACAACAAGCGATCAGTCGAGATCCTTGGTCTGAAGTACAGGACGTTGGAGGAATCCATGGTCGACTGCATCAAGTCATTCCAGAAGAAGGGGTTGTAAAGCGTCATTGTCGGGAGAAGAATGATAATTCAATGGATGCGCATTCGAATGGCTATATAGACCACCTAGAGTATACCCTCGAGCGAAAGCGTTGGTATAGACAGTATGAATGATGATCTGGGAAAAGGCATGTCAGCAAGCACACCTAAAATATAATAGAAAGTACAAGTTGTAGATGCGCAATCAGCCTGTTGAGCTTGAAATTTTTTGGACTTCACCGTCGTTTGACTCGGAAATTATCGTTATGTGATCATCATAATGCGATAGGAATAAGAAGAAGAGGAAGAGTGCTTACATTGGAGGTGCTGGTGCGGTTGGCCACAAGGCGCTGCATTAAGCGCAATGGTGGCCGGTAATGGTGTTGAGACTCGAGAAGTAAGGAAGGAGCTTCGAAGAAAATGGCCGGCGCGGCACAAGGTCGGGCCGCATCTTTCCAAGTCTAGCGCATGCCCCACCAACGAAGCATGACCGATGGCGGGGAGTGACAGCAAAAGCCCAAACATCATCTCGAGGCTTCCACCCGATTCTGCACTCTAGCCGTCGCGCGCATACCCGGCAAGCCCAAACATCTTTCTGATTCCAACCTCACGGCTCAAGAAACCGACAAACCGCAAAGATGTGTAAGTTGGCTACTTCTACCCCGCCACCAGCATCCTTGGATGCGCCCAGAGTAGAAAGCTGGGAAGCTTGTTGTGCCTGAACCTATGTGTGTGGGAACGGGTTCCTACTTGCTCTGCGGCTCTTTCCTTATTGAATATCTGGCACTTTTCTGTTTTGCATCGTGTCTTGCAGAAAGCAGTATACGCAGAACTGACCTTCCGTGCAGCCGACTTCAACGCCATTGCCCGTATGTATCACCCACCGCACGGAGCGTGAAGACAGTCATGTCGCGCCGACGTATTCTTCCACGAGCGCTCCTCCGGTCGTACCGCGACTGATGCAGCTCTAGAGCAGTTCGTCCAGTTCTACTACAAGACTTTCGATGAGAACCGCGCCGGTCTCGCCCAGCTCTACGTATGCGGTCCTACATGAGCGCATAGATCAGCAGCTGCTCACAACAGTCACAGAAGGAAACCTCGATGCTCACCTTTGAAGCGCAAGGAACTCAGGGATCAGCCGCTATCGTAGAGAAGCTCCAGGTAACGATGAGTGTATCTACAGAGAGAGCATAGAACTGATTTGTGGGAAGAACTTGCCATTCCAGCAGATACAGCACCGCACCGACACGGTCGATGCACAGCCTTCCGCCGACGATGGTATCCTCGTTCTAGTCACCGGTGCGCTTCTGGCAAGTACTTTCCGCATTCTCAGGTCGAACTTCAGCTAACTAGTCATAGCTCGGAGGCGAAGACAAGCCAATGAGCTTCACCCAGGCTTTCCAGCTCAAGAACGCCGAGGGGAGCTGGTATGTTCTTAATGATGTCTTCCGTCTCGTATACCCCGCCGCATAGGCTGCTTGTTCACACTTCAAGTCCGATTCGTTGAAAGTGGTGAAACTTCAGACAGCAAGATGTTTCTGATGGCGACGGTTATTGATACGGTTGATGGTTTGAACATTGAGCATTCTTGTGGGCGACAGCTTGCATGGCAGATGATGTCAATGCTGTAGCATCTAGCCTTCAGCTGCTGATGGGTTTGGTTAGAACATTTCGAAATCGACATCAGCATTGTTTTCTGTACTTTCTAGCCTGTCTACGGGTGCTTGTTGTGACCCGCTGCACGTTTCCGAGCCCTTTCCACCTATCTAGGCATGCGGGTTTCCGCAGCACGTGAGCGGAAGAGAGCTTTGCCGCCATTTCTCCGCCCCACGCTCACTTGCCGAAGCTCCATGCCATGCTTCCCTTGGGTCCGGAGCTTAGCTAACAACAACCATGGCTTCATCATGCGGCAATAGCCAAACATTTCTTAGTCGACCAAAGTGTCTGCCTTTCTGTTTTCTTCTCCTACCGCTACCTTGAACCCTCTGTTATTATCTACAGTTGCACTGCCACATAGCATCTCATCATGGCTTTCGTGCAGAAGGGTCTGAAGAACATTTTGCAGAAAAGCCCCAACGACGTGGTTTTCCTTTCAGCATTGCGCACACCAGTTACGAGAGCAAAAAAAGGTGGATTGCGCGATGCATATGATCATGAACTTTTGGGTGCAGTACGCCAACTCTAGGACCCCAAAACATGGCTCTCAATACTGACGGCATTGTAGGTGCTTAAAGCCACAAGAACGAAATTCCCGAATCTCGATCCTGCGAAGATAGACGATGTATGCATTGGTACAGTCCTCGCTGAACTCGGTGGCTCGAAGGCTGGCCGTATGGCTGCCAACCACGTCGGTATTCCCACGACAACATCATTCAGCACTGTAAACCGCGCGTGCGCATCCGGTCTCTCCGCAATTACTTCGATCGCAAACTCGATAGCTGTCGGGCAAATTGATATAGGTATTGCAGGAGGCATGGAAAGCATGACACGCAACTACGGCAGCAGGGCTATACCAACAGAGCTCTGGCCTGAGATGAAAGACAGCCCAGTCAAGGAAGCGCGAGAGTGCATCATGAGCATGGGTATCACATCGGAGAACGTTGCGCAGCGCTATGGCGTTAACCGCGCAGATCAGGACGCCTTTGCCGCACAATCGCAACAAAGGGCTGCCCGGGCGCAACAGAACGGCAACTTTGACGACGAGATCGTACCTGTTACGACACGTTGGATAGAGCCGGAAACTCCGGAGAGTCAAAAACAAGTTACTGTTACAAAGGATGACGGCATTCGGCCAGGAACCACAATCGAGAAGCTTGCCGCCATGAAACCAGCGTTCAAGGCGGATGGCACAAGCACGGCAGGAAACAGCAGTCAGGTCTCAGACGGAGCGAGTGCAGCGCTCATGATGCGCCGTTCTACCGCCACAGCTCTTGGTCTAGAAAAGCAAATCATTGGAAAGTGGGCCGGTACACAAGTCGTGGGTTGTTCGCCTGATGAAATGGGTGTTGGACCCGCTCTAGCCATCCCCAAGCTTTTGAACTACACTGGTCTGCAGACCTCAGATGTAAATGTCTGGGAAATTAATGAAGCGTTTGCTAGTCAAGCACTCTACTGCGTCAGGAAATTGGGTCTGGAGGGCAAGATGGACAAGGTCAACCCTAACGGAGGTGCGATTGCTCTAGGTCATCCTTTGGGAGCGACAAGTGGCAGGATGCTTGCGACACTGTTGAGTGAAATGGGCAGGAGTGGAGAGCAAGTTGGTGTACTGAGCAAATGCATTGGTACTGGGATGGGCATGGCTAGTTTGATTATTCGCGAGTAGAAGATGCAGTGCAATGTAAATTGGTCTTGCATGGGGTATCAAAATGTAGTAGCTGTCAAAAAATACTTAACAGTGTGGGTAAGCACCTAATAGTCGTTTCTGGCGGCTACAGTGGCCTTTGTACACTAGTATGTCAAGTATTTTATAGCACCCGGGTGCTTACGACGCTATGATGACGACTGATTGTATAGACCTCATGGACTATCCTATTTCCCTTTGTCGGCCTTTTTCTTTGAGCGTTCTGCTAGGATCTCATCAAGAAAACTTTTTGGTTTAGTCTTCGTTCTTTGGGGGGCAGGCTGTGCAACTTCCGCCTCCTCGTCGTCGTCCTGGGTTGGCTCAACATCGACCTGGGTGTCTGCGATTACATTCTCTTTTGTTTCATCTTCGTTGTTTGCATTGGCTGCTAGTCGCTTCGTTCTCGACTCTTCGTCTTCGTCGTCGCTAACCACCTTTCTCGGCGCCTGTTTCTCTTTTTTCTTTTGCCTCTTTGATTTGAAAGTTGCAGCCCGACCCTCTTCTTCGTCACTTTCTTCTTTCTTTGCGACGTTCTGCTTGGCATATTGTTGGGCCTTGGTGGCTGGTTTCGATCTTGCTGCCTCTTGCTTCGCAGCAATGTGAGCTTTTGCTTTCCTTTTGCCAATCAACTGCTGCAGTAGCTTGTCGTCTGATGTTGGTATTCTCTTGGTGAAACTGCCATCCTCAATGTCTTTGGGTAATACACCGCCAAGACCGATTCTGAATATTGATCAGAATTTCGTCTGGACACTGGATAATGCGCATTTACCTGTCGTGTGCGTAATTTTGTTTGAGATCTTGGTCATCATCGTCATTTTGCGTTTTGGCAGCACTACCCACAGAGTCCCAGTCGGGTCGCGAACCATATAGCGACGCCAGGAGCTTCTGTCCTTTTGCTTCAAGCAGACTTATGCGATTTGCGATGACGTCGCCATCATTATTTCTCTTTGACATGATTGCGCAATTAGTTGAGGTTGATCAAGTCTTCGTTGGTCTTCCTGAAGCGTTCCCGGCCGCGATATTTTTGAGGACCCGGTTCATTCTCGGCACGCTAGCAGACGGCCGCAACAGGCCTATGAAGCAGCAACATCAACGGAGCTGTGCAATCCAGTCAACCCACCCCCCGACCTCGTACATACATCCAAACGTGTGTCTGCCACTCAGACATCATGTACAACTTTGCCCGCGCCCGGCCGCTGGCTCGCGCTGTTCGCGCTGCTGCTGTAAGTGCACCGACATGCTCCGCAAGCTGCAGAAGCCTCTTACGCACTCTGCCCGCAATTGACAGGACATGCTAATTGAACGCAGGAGACCCCATTGAGGCGCTCTGTCATTCAGCAAAGAAGAGGCCTCGCAATCCACGAATACAGGTCCGCTGCCCTGCTCGAGTCGGTACGAAGGCCCTCCGCATATTGAACATTCTCGGCCACGCAGACATCTAATACGAACCTCAGTATGGCATTGGCGTACCCAAGGGCGGTGTCGCTGAGAGCGGCGCCGAGGCAGAGAAGATTGCCAAGGACATTGGTATGCGCCAGCGGGAATGAAAAGACAGTTCTAGGCTAATGTGTATAGGCGGAGAGGACGCTGTCATCAAGGCCCAGGTCCTTGCTGGAGGTCGTGGAAAGGGAACATTTGACAACGGCTTTAAGGGCGGTGTCAGAGTCGTCTACTCGTACGCTAGCTCGCGATCATACGGCACCTCAGCCAACATCTAACACAGCATGCAGTCCCCGCGAAGCCTCTATCCTCGCTGAACAGATGATCGGTCACAAGCTCATCACCAAGCAAACTGGAGCCGCCGGCCGGCTCTGCAACTCCGTCTTCATCGTGGACCGCAAGTTTGCGCGCCGAGAGTTCTACCTCGCCATCCTCATGGACCGCGCTTCACAAGGACCCGTCATCGTTGCCTCGTCGCAAGGTGGCATGGACATTGAGACAGTTGCAAAGGAGCACCCCGAGGCTATCATCACCACTCCCGTTGACATTCACACCGGCGTTACTGACGAGATGGCGCGCAACATTGCGACCGACCTCGGCTTCTCCGAGCAATGCATCGAAGACGCCAAGGACACTATCCAGAAGCTGTACAAGGTCTTCATGGAGAAGGATGCTACTCAGATCGAGATCAACCCCCTCTCGGAGACCACTGACCACCAGGTTCTCGCTATGGATGCAAAGCTCAACTTTGACGACAACGCCGACTTCCGCCAGAAGGAGGTCTTCTCATGGAGGGACTTGACCCAAGAGGACCCCGAGGAGGTCAAGGCCGCCAAGGTTGGTCTCAACTTTATCAAGCTCGACGGTGACATTGGCTGCCTCGTCAACGGTGCCGGTCTCGCCATGGCCACCATGGACATCATCAAGCTGAACGGTGGTACCCCCGCCAACTTCTTGGACGTTGGTGGCGGTGCTACACCCGAGGCCATCAGGCAAGCGTTTGACCTCATCACCAGTGACCCCAAGGTCACTGCCATCTTCGTCAACATCTTCGGTGGTATCGTGCGCTGCGATGCTATCGCCAAGGGTTTAATCCAGGTTGTCCAGGAGATGAACCTCAAGACCCCGGTTATTGCCAGGTTGCAGGGAACCAACATGGAGGCAGCTCAGAAGCTCGTAAGTCAATTCACACAGCATTGAAACTGAAATTTTATGTCTGCTAACTTGCCGTACAGCTCAACGACTCAGGCCTCAAGATCTTCTCCATTGATGACCTACAGGCCGCCGCTGAGAAGTCTGTCCAATTCAGCAAGGTTGTCAAGATGGCTCGCGATATTGATGTCGGTGTCGAATTTACTCTCGGTATTTAAGCACCGGTGTGGCAGGAACACAGTTGCTGGCTGACCTCGTTTGAGCCCAATAGGTTTATAGAATAGTAACAAGACGAGTGTGATGTGCTGTACAAGTCATTCTTCAATTTCTCTGGTATTGTTTTGATGTATTACTCAAAGGTCTCACGTGTTTCCAAAATAGATATTACGACACTGCATGGTAGAGTGCCATGCCGGTATATAGCACAGTATGAGTTGTGCAATACAAGGCTCTGTGGCGGCTCTCTTAGATCTCACGGCAACATCGAGTTGGTGCATTATGTTTGGAAGACGAGTAGAAAAACACGAACCCTTTCTCTTTTGATAATTACAGTGTCTTTTTAAGAGAGAAAAACATGTTTAAAGCCGTTCATGTACCCATGACAGCTTCACGACACCGCGCCCACGGCCGGTGGATCGGCTTATTAATACGAGCTCTGTCACATATGCAGCGAAGCCGTCATTTTTGACCTTTTTTTCACAGAGGCGTTGGGACATCTTGGGTATAGAGAAGATGATTTTGGTCGTTTAGAGTCGGAGGTACTTGGGATTTACAGGGGGACACAGGATGCTAGGTCACACGCGACATACGAGGTTTCTCTTTCGCTTTTTTTTCTTAAAGTATCGAGGAAGTCTTGGGAAAGAGGATGAGCTCATTCAAACGTACGTCTTCTTTTAGGTCAAACGTGATAAGTTTAGTGGTCGTAGGAGAGAAACAGGAGGAAAGGGGGCAAAAGTTATGTACGTGATACTTGTCGCCTTTATTTCGGTGGCTTCATCCAATGATGCTGAGATATTCTTAGGGAGATGTGTAGAAAGAAGTCGTTTTTGAGTCTCTTCGGTGCGTGTGGAGATGCTGTAGTTTCTGGGTAACAGGAGGGCCGATATGACAACAGTTCCTGGGCATTTTGAATAAATGTTTACAGGGAGGAACATCAAGCAGTGCTTCGTACCCTTATAGAAAAATAGAAAAAAAACCAAACACTATTCACATGAGGCGGTTCTATCTAGGAACAAAGAAAGGGAGCTGTGTGAAAGGAAGTAGGAAAGAAGAGGGAGAGAGGAGGTATTTATACGGCTACCCAAGGCTGGGTCCCGCAGAGTATGGCAAGATACTTGTAATTTGGATTCTCCATGTAAGAGAGAGCTGCTATTTCTAGAAAAATAAGCAACGTTCCTGTCTTTCCGTGTATGAGGACAAGTATTTGCTAGACTCGGTCGATCGGTCTGATAGCATGCCTATATGTTTCGCCAACTTTTCAAATCATATGCGCTCTCCCATAACTTTTACAGAGTGCCACAGAGCCAAACATGTTACTGTTGGATCCCTTTTTTAGAATATCAAACAGGAGCAGGCAAAAGCTCAAAGGTCCCACCACCACGCATTTTAGAGTTATTATCAGTTTTAGTGGGTTTTCAAGTGGGTAGAAAGACGGAGTGAGTGTTCATATACAGTATGCAGAGTAGAGACATACAATTAGTCTCAGAAGTCCGGCAGGCTTCCGTGCTCAGCCGAGACAGGCCATGTATATGTGATGCTGTTGTTTTGAGCAGGCTATCCACGCATGCCACTGAGATTTTTCCCGGGTTTTCTTTGCAAAGGGCCCCAGGACGCTTTTCAGTTGTAGTAAAAGCACAGGAAAACGCTGCACATTCATGCTTGCTTAATCAAGCGATTTCCAATTGTGGAAATAACGGGAACTGTAATTCATAATTCCCAGGATCAAGGATTTTAAACTACCCTAGGAGTTTGCTGAAAAGCAGAGCAAAGGGTGCGAAACAAACCGAACGTATACGCAGTCGGAGTAGAGACAGGCAAGCCCTCTACATGGCTCTTTCCCTGGTGCCATGTAATACTTGACATACCAGTGTAAAAAGGCCACTGTAGTCGCCAAGCACGCGGCGCCTACTTACTCACACTGTCAAGTATTTTATGACACCTAGTTGTTTCCATGCTGTGATTTCGAAGTTTCCGGGATCAACAAGTCATAATGCTCGGGCAAAGACTCATACTCAGACTCATTAAAGCTTTGCAGGGTAGTTTTGGTACGCCTTTCTATCACGAGAATGGCTGGAAAGACAATCGGCACAACACATCGGCTACTTGGACAACTTGTAGTAGAAACAGGCGTTAGGCGTTTACAACCTTGTAAAGCCCATGATATGTTACTCCGAGAGAGGTGTCTTCTTTTCAGCACCAGTAGTGAATTAGTGCGAGAGCAGGATCTATTCATAGAGTTATAAGCATAGAAAGACGGAAGCGTAACACGCAGTGCAGCGCCAAACAAATGATAGCGACACTTGGGTGTCATAAGATACTTGTCATACTTGTGTACAAAGCCCCCAGGCCATGCCTATTAAGTGCTTATGACACCCAGGTGGCGGGATGAACGATGAGCGATGGATGGATCCAGTAATGCAGGCGCGAAGTCGGTAGGCGTTAGTCTAAAACGAGCCGAGGAGGCGCTAACCGAACAGCGTTACCCGTAGGCAGCCGACAGGAATGACTAAGAGAGATCGGAAGGTGCCCATCCCGATTGGCGTTCACTCTGGCACGGATTTGCAGATATCTGAACGTTGCTGAAGTCGCAAGCTGTTCACATGTCGGACGAGATCAAGTATCAAATCGGGTTCGGACGGGAAGATAATGTCGCTTGGGGAACTACTGGCCTTGTCGTCGTCGATAGACCATCCAAGTCGGTTATCAAAACCCTCCTTCACGAGGATTATTCCGATCTCGTCTTGAGAAAGCAGCAGATCTATGAAAGATTTACTCAACAAGGAGGTCATCAAGGAATACTCCGTTATTATGGAATCGTTGGATCTGGTATTCGACTGGAATACGCCCCGAAAGGCAACCTACGATCGTTCAACAGCCAGAACAAGGTCGACGACAAGTTACGATTGCAATGGGTCGTCCAAATTGCGCAGGCACTCAGTATAGTTCGTCTCGTTGGAGTTGTTCATGGGGATCTAACTTGCTACAATGTGTTTCTGAACGAAAAGTTGAATGCTAAGCTAGCTGACTTCGTTAGATCTTCTCTGAACGGTTCCCCACTCCTCATCGCGGTGACACCAAGTCACGAATATCCAGGACCTGCCTTGTCTGTTCAAGGGGATCTTTTTGCGTTTGGATCTGTTTTATATGAGATTATGACTGGCAATGTTCCTTACGCAGACTTGACCGAAGACGAGATTCTTGACCGATACGTGAAACGCGATTTTCCTGACACGGATTTTCTGCGGGTCATTGGAGAAATAACCAGGAAGTGCTGGCAAGGGCAATATCATGGATTTGATATGGTTGTTGGGGACCTAAGTGGTATTTCTCAATCTCTAAATTGAAGTATGACATTTATGTTTTCTAGTACTCCGCAATGAAGTTTTTTCAAACGAACTACAAAAAAAAGTCGACAAAAAAATAAGCTTCCGCCAGCTTAAAGGATTCTACAAAAGACGTTGATAGTCGGCACACAAAAAGAAGTATGACATTTATAGAGGTGTTTTTGAACGTAGTAGACGTAAAGCACTGCAAAGATTACCTCATTTCCTGAGATTCCAATCAACTTATACCAAACTCTCCCTTCAACGTCAGCCTCAGTAAATCCTTCTCCACAATCTCCTCCTTCTTTTTCAAAAGATCCTCCACATCCCAATTGGCAGCAACAAAGCGACCGCTCAGAAACCTAGCCTTCTCTTGACACAGCCACACCGCAGTGCCACCGACAAGTTCCGGATTGTCATTGTTGAACAGGGAGCGAAAAGGCTCACGCAGCATATCCGTAGCAACTAGACCGGGGTGCATAGAAACGGCGGTAACATTTGTATACTCTGCGGCGACATACGTAGCCAGCGCATCGACGATAAACTTTGACATAAAGTAAGCACCAAGCGGCGGTATTGTGAAGAAGGTCTGCCAGGAGCTGACATTGACAATAGTAGCGCGCGTCTCAGGACTCGGCAGTAAGTGTAAGAAGGAGCGAATGAGGAGATAGTTTCCCTTGCCATTGACCTCCTAATAGGAAACATGTTACTATAGGCTAGCAACGTTGAGCGTTTTTGTTTCTCCAACCAACGACAACCCTTGCTGCGCGTCATCTTGTCGGGTGCGGACTTACAAATTGCGCCACCATTCATCCGGGTCTGTTTCGTGCAGCTTCGGTCCGTCTCCGGTCGCGGCGCCGGCTGCGTTTATTAGGATATCTGCATGGCCAAACTTGCTTTGGATGCAGCGAAAAGCGGCGTCGATGGATGCTGTGTCGGATATGTCCAATGGGCATGTGAGAGTTTCGATACTCGGGTCAACTTCCTTGACCGATGCTTCTGTTGCTGCGAGCTTATCGGCGTTGGACGCTAGGAGCACGACGCCTCTCACATGTGCTTTGACAAAAGCTGGAACCATGGCCTGTGCAGTAGTTCGTTAGCTTGATATACAACCGGTACAGTACTGGTACTTCCCCACGGACTGTGCGGAGTTCCGTAGTTACACCTGAGCTGTTGACTTCGGACGTACCAAAGCCCCGATTCCTCGTGAGGCACCTATTATAATAGCAACTTTGCCGGTCAAGCTATGCTCAGGAAGACTCGGGTCTATGCCGGGTAAGCGTCTTGATGTGCATTCTTTGTGAATTGCATAGACGTGACATAGAAGTCTTTTGGGAGCTTGCTCAAATCTGCCATGTCTACAGGTTGATCAAAACACAAAAACAAATTCGCTTCAGTAGGAAGGAGCGACTGGTCATACAAATGTCAAGGCTGCTAGGTAGACGACACCTGAGAGACGTTACACAGCCCTGTATCCCGCTTTCAGCCTCTGAACATCCTTCCCCCCTCTACCCCCACTCATCAGACAGGCGGGCTCTGGATATACATGCCGTACTTCAACAATTATCAATGGCAATGTGAAAATTTGGGAGTCGTGGTGCAGATGTGAGGCGATGATCGTGACTTGTATCGGCTTAGCGTGGGAACTAGTACGTCGGGCGCAGTCCCTCTTTATCACCACATGTCCACCACTAAGGGACGGGTACACGCCGACTAAATTTTCCCCGGCCCGATCACGTATTGTTTATCCACTATTTTCACCATGTTGCTGCTTTCGTAATGTTTTCTTACTTGCGCGTCAATTGTCTTAGCTTGGGGCTCATATGATATCTCCTCGAGGTCACTTTTGCGATATAGTTTGCGTTTTTCGATGGCAGTTGAAACTTCGTATTGTATGTCAAGTTAGCAGTCGTGCGGGTTGACAGGGTATGATGTAGCCGCATGAATATCATGCCCAACTACTGTGGGGGCCATGTCCACATGGCCTGTCTGCCAGCGCGTTGATCGATGTGGAGTAGACATCTGCAAAAGTATAAACGCTTGACAGGTTTCCGGTCGTCTTTTGCTCATACACCGGATGGAAGTATTCTACAATTATGGGTGCAGATGAGTTGAATCACTGAACTTAGTCCTTGAGCAATTGTGTTCGTTACCTTGGCGCATAACTTGGCGCGATTACCTCTAAAGGTCCTATCCAAAGATATACCTTGGTGAATTGGATTTGAAACAGATCGCTGCTATCATCGCTGCTTAGGCAGCTTGCCGTCGACATGGTGCTTCACACAGAGCTCGGCCCAAACCTTACGGCTGCCGTCCTCCTGACGGGAACGCTAGCTTTTCTCACCATGGGCATGCGAGTGTACACGAGAATCACAAAACGAAACTGGGGAACCGATGATTGGATCATGTTATTTGGCTGCGTGTGTAAACTCAGTCTTACAAGTGGTTTAGAACACGCTTAGCTCACCGATAATAGATACCGCTGCTTACCCTTACCATTGTTACCGCCCTTGGTTCCTATCATGGAATTGGTGCCAAGGATAGCACTCTCGCACGACCAAATAATGAGAGTTATGTTGAACTAGCATACTTTGTCCGCGACATCCTCTCCTTCACGTATGTAATGAATGACTGACCATGGCCAGTATTTCTTCCTCTATGAGGTTTTCTACTGCACTTCGATAATCTTTGTCAAGCTAAGCATCGCTTTCATGCTGAACCGTATAGCTGGCCGAAGAGTAGTCTTCGTCTACATCAACTACGGTATCATGTGTCTTTGTGCAACCACCAACCTAGGGGCAGCGCTATATGTCATCTTCCAGTGTGATCCTGTTAGGTAAAATACCGATTTGAGGCCTCTTGAGCTTAGAACTGACCATCCTGCAGCGCTGCTTGGAAATCAGATCTTAGAGGAAAAGGATATTGTGATACACAGTTACATCTTCAGAATGTGTACTTCTTCTGCACATCAGTTAATATCTTCACCGACTGGGCTACAGCGCTCATGCCTATTCCGCTACTATGGAAAGTTCAAATGAGCAAGAACACTAAAGTCTCCGTCGCCGGCATCCTCGGTTTAGGCATCTTGTACACCAACCCCTTCAATCTCATCCTATCTACCATCTATTACTAACAAATGCATTAGTACATCAGTCACAGGGTTAGTTCGCTTGAAGTATACTGTAAGCCTAACCAGCAAAGACGAATTTTTATGTAAGTCCGCTTGTTCTGCTCGTGCAGCATTCTTGTCAAATCTGACATCTCAAAGATGGTCTCGCCAAGATACTCATCTGGGGTTATGCAGAGCCAGCGCTGGGTATGCTCGTTGGAAACATATCAACGCTGCGCCCGTTGTTCCACCGTATCCTGCATCTCGGGGCAAATGGCTCAGACCAAGCAAACACACGGGGGGGAACAACCGGAATTGTCAGTAGCAAAAGGCAATCCAATGCCTGTAGACCCTTTGACTTTGACTTTGAGTTGGGTATAGCCGCGGAAAACATATTTGAGAGTCAGTTGTCGACACAAATCCATGGTGGTCGAAGTGCCTCAGGGAGCGAAACTGAAAGTCAGAAGGAATCTAGGGAGAAGGGTAGGATTGTTGTTAGTCAGCAGGTAGAAGTCAGCCACCAGTGATTACGCAGAGACTGAAGAAGCGACGAGTGAAATACATGATTTGGTAGTTCGTTGGATACGATATGATACATGCAGTCCATAGCAGTCGCAATCTACTGCTTCTGCTCACCACCAACGCTCTTGGTTCCAGCCTTGGTAGTGTCACCAACAGCATTTCCAGCCGCTAGAATGTCATTAGCAGCTCATCTGTATTGTTCCCTTCTATCAAATGACATACCTTTCGTAGTATCTCCAAGCCCGCTAGTGATTCCCGTCACAGCATCCCCAAGGCCCTTGCCTCCAGCAGCAACAACATTTCCCGTTGTATCAGTCACGCCTTGAACACCCTTGCCCACTGTATTTGTTGCCGCGCCTAGTGTGTTTCCTGCATGGTCAGAACTATGTTCCAACACGGGTTTCGACTTGATAGGTGGTCTGTCGTGCTAGAGGGTACATACCGAGTCCACTTGCCGCGGTGCCGAAGAAGCCTAGCGAACTTGTTAGTTTGATGATCGTTTCCCCTTTGTTCTGTAGCAAAGGATCAAAGGGGGCATTTAATCCAGAGCAAGCATATACATACCCTTCTGTTGCTGCCCGTCCTGGTCAGACATATTCGCTTTGTAGATCGAGATGAGCTTGTGTGTGGATCAGATATGGCTATTGCTTTATTTGCTCAGATGCGAGTTTGAGTATTGCAGTGGCATGTAGTTGTCAAGCTGAGTTCATGCTTTAAGGAGTTTGCTGTTGTCCTTATGACGTAACTGCCTGCCTCTGCTTCTCACCCCTGCGAGACCCCTCATCTGAGCCGTGTAACGCTCTTACCGCCTGCCATGTCCCACAGTTAAATGGACATTACCTCACATCACTAGTAAGAAGGTATATACGTCACTTCGAAGTAAACCCAAAACGCGGATAAGTAATCGCAACCATGACAAGCATTAGGGCACAAGTCTTCAGATCTCCACTGTATTTTAACTAGACCAAACTATAAACACAAGAGGCACATCCTTGAAGCATGGCTTTCATGAATCTTGCTCTCGTGCAGTAAAATTTCCGTTGCAAGCGCAAGCCTAAGCACACTTGCCATCGTCGGCGGCGCTGCATCCTCAAACCACCGCGGGTTGTAAACGCAGGAAAGAAGAGAAGAAGAGAAATGACATGAACAAGGGTGGTGAGATTATGAAAATCTCGACAGAGAAGACGGTACTACTTTGATCTCTGTCCCACGGAACCCTGTTACAAGTCATAGTATGGAAAAATAAAAGGAAAAGCAAACAGGAAAGACCAAGGCCCCAGTATACCCATGACGCTCGTGAATGCGTGTGGTATGGCCGTCTCCTTTGTTCAGATCCGGAACGCCGTCATGATTTGTACATTTCCGTAAGAAACATGCGCATGAAAACAGCCGAGAGTTGTATCATTTCACCAAAAAGGCTCGGGCGCCCATCCATGAAACCCATCACTCGACAACAAGGAAACTTTTGGAACCCACCAGTCTTGAAAGTCACAGGAAAGAAACCCCGCGAAATGCAAAACAATGCGCGCTGAGATGCCCCCGTCTATGCAACGAAACAAGCGATTAGATTACCGCGTGCGGCGTGGTCTATGGGTATAACCGTCACGCGCTCGAACGAAGAAAGGTCATCACTCCGAAGGCTTTGCCTCCGGGTCGGCGGCAGACTCTTCTGCAGCGTTTGATGTGGCGGCCTCACCAGCGTCTTCGTTGCCAAGGGCTGCTAATGCACTATTGTAATGTCAGTGTGATTCTCAAGTGCTATCAAAATGTGGCTTACCTGAAAGCATTTGCGTGGGCCGTTGTCTCCTTCTCCTTCTGCACAGGTGGAGTGCCAGTGCGGGAGGAGGCACCAGAGTCCTCGCCACGACCGCCCATCATACCAGGGCCAAGGCCACGACGGCCACTGCCGCTGCGGCTACCAAGCATGGAAGGCCCGAGTGCTCCAGCGTTGTTGAGGTTGCGTCCAGAGGCACCCTTGGAGAGCTTACGGAGGTCGTCCATCTGTACACGGCTACCAGTGTCTGGGGGAGGCTGCATGCCACCACCAGAGAACGAGCGAGCATCGCCACGGCCCATTGGCAGACGGCCACCACCACCACCGCGCTGGTTCGAACGGGTACGCTCCATCTCGGCGTTCTGTTGAGCCTGCAGAGCCTCTTGATGAATTTCGGCGATTGTCTTGGGACCCTTGAGGATGTCCTTGGATTTCCAGCCAGCCTTGCGCATGTCGACGGTGTCGAGTAACATGAATCGCATACGCGACGGAAGCCCGTCCATGTTCATAACCTTCTCGATGCGTTCAAAGTACATGTTAATCATCTTGGGGCCAGCCTCGGCACCTTCCATGGTTTGACCAACTGTGCGGAGCAACTTGACCAAACTCTCGATAGCAGCCTCGTCAGGAAGACCCTCGAAATCCAGAAGCTTGAGCACACACTCGTGCATGATGCGCAGAGTCAACATGCCAAGCTTGTAAAGCTCACCAATGAACTGAATAAGACCGAGACCCTTTCGCTTGGCAGCAGCAGCGATGTAGTACTCGTCTGACAACAGCTTGGCTTCCTTTCCATCCTCTGGAGCGTCAGGCAGGTTGACTTCCCAACCACGCTCAAACTCCTCCTGACAGCGGTTGAGAAGGTACTTTCGGAAAAGGGCACCACCAACGACTGGCTGGCCGTGCTTGTCGCGGACGTTCTCATCCTTGATCTCGGTGCTCATGGTTTGCAGCATGCGGCTACAGAACTTGGCGTACATGGAAGACCAATGGCTCTCATCACAAGCCTTCTCAAACGTAAGCTGAATGACTTGGCGAAGGGTGCGACCGTCGGTCTCATCCTTGGACTGAGCAGCAATCTCGAGAATCTGATCGGAGATCTTGTCGAACTTCTCGGGCGTCATCTTGTTGAGGGCGGCCTTGACCTTACGCTGCACCATATCAGGAGCCATATGGCCAGCACCCATCTGTGCTTGAACAGCAACAGGCTGGGTGAGTGATGTGGGTACCCAACCAGTTTGCGAGCGGGACAATGCCTTGACCTCCTGACCAGCAGTCAAAGGCATCTGTTTGGCTTCCTGCGCGTTGTTGTTACCTCCGCGACGGCTGCCACCACCTCCCTTGCCACGCGAGCTACCAACACGAGGCGAGTTGGGTCCACCGTGGGGCATGCTCTGATAGGAGCTGGTACGTGCCATGGGGGGAGCCATAGGGAAAGAAGTGGCACGGCTTCCACCTAGAACGACATGAGCAAGAGGGTTTGTCATAGAGCCACCACGTCCGCTTTGGGATTGCTGGAAACGCTGTTCGGATGTCGTACCTGCCGGGAGAGTGCGACCTCCCGAGAATCCACCGCCTTGGAACTGGCCCATGACGTTGCCAGCACCAGGTCCTGAACGAGAAGGTTGTCGGCCGCCCATCATGGAGCCAGGACGGGCGGATGGAGGACCGCGAGCTGAAGCAGGCTCGTCGCCAACTGTCTCCTTCAACTTCAAGTCCCAGTCGACGGAAGGTTTCTCCTTGAAGACATCCTGGAACTGCAGCAAGAAGTCTTTGTCGTATTGACGACCCTTACTCCTGTTGCTGTTGTTCAGGGCTGGGTTAGGACTGGCCACTCCCTGGGGGTACATGACCTCAGCACGAACTTCGAGGAATCGTGCAGTCTTGAGCGCCTGCATACCAGCAGTTGGTTGTGCGGGCTCAACAGACTTGTTCGTCTCGAGTTTGAGAGCAGCCGGCTTTGGCTTTGATCCACCAGTAGGAGTCTTTGATGGCGCAGGGGCAACGACTGCGGGCTCGGGGGGTGCTGAGTCCTCGCTAGGTTCAGTCTGAGAAGCACCGGGGCCGAACATGGTGTTCTTTTTCAGACCAGCGAAGAGAGCCTTGTCCTTGGCCTCACGTTCAGCCTTTTGCTCTGGAGTCTCTGCTGCACGAGCTGCCTCGGCCTCTTCCGCCTCGCGCTCGAGTTTTCGGAGACGCTCTTCTTCTTGCTTGACTTTCTCAGCAGCGTTGGCCTTCTCAGCTTCAGCCTTCTTTTTCTTCTCTTCAGCGTAGCGTGCCTCGTCTTCTTCACGCTTGCGCTCTTCCTCTTCCATCTCAGCAATCATACGCTCCATCTCTTCGTCTTCAAGACGCTTCTTCTCAGCAGCATCTGTCTCAGCCTTCTTGGCTGCTTCAGCGTCTTCTTTCTCCTTGGCCTCCTTAGCAGCCTTGGCCTCTTCCTCTTCCTTGGCTGCAAGCTTAGCATTGGCTTCAGCCTTGGCCTCCTCTTCGGTAGCCTCCTTTGCCTTCTTCTCCGCTTCTTCTTGAAGACGCAGCTTCTCTTGGAATTGCTTAACGAAGTCTGCCTTCTTAGCGGCGGTGTCTTCAGCACGAGTAGAATCAGAGGCACTAGGTGCGCGTAATGGCGGGGTAGGCGTGGCAGCAATAGCTGGGGATCGAGGGGCGGCAGGTGGTGCGGAGACCACAGCAGGTGGCGCTGGGGAAGCACCTTTCTTGGCAAAATCAACCACTTCGCCATCAGCTACGTATTGTTAGCATGAAGTTTTCAAAATAGTGCAATATGTAGAAACTTTACCATTCTTGATTACAATAGCCTTGCTCTTGGTCTTGGGGCGCTCAAAGCTCGAGTTAGGCACTGGACTGGCAGCAGTGATACTAGGAGTGTGCGTGTGCGAGATGTGGTTTACGTTGGTCATTGCGGGGGTAGAGGGCTGCGGAACAGCAGAAGGCGGGCGCTCTGACATGTTGGAAGGAGTGCGAGACATGCTCTGGGCCTGAGGCTGGTGGCCGTACGGGGGAACTCCGTAGGGAGTCGGTTGCATCTGCGGGGGAAAGCCACGTCCAGGGCTGGCGGGAACACCTGGGTAATGGATGGACTGCTGCAGTCCGTAGCCTTGTTGGTAGAAGTTGTTGTACGGGTCTAGCGCAGGTTGAGGCATGCCGTACATGTTCTGCGTTGGCATCAATGTTAGGTAGTGTTCAATGATTTGGGTGAAATTTAAATAGGAAATCTGGTGGGTATGGAAATTGTTGGGTCAGGATCCCGTGCTTCGGCGCACAGAACCAGGATATGTGGATTGAAAAACAAAAAAACGGTCAAGTTAACAAAGGGTCTACGAACCTGTTGCGGGTATTGCTGCCCTGGGTAGTATGGCATGCCCTGAGGATTGGCTAACTGCTGCTGGTGATGCATTGTAGCTGGTGTCATAGCCGGGCTACGATTCTGAGTGTAGGGAGAGCGCTGTTGCATCGGACCCGGAGGCTGGAATGGTGGGGCATGACCCCGCCCCATGCCATGAGGCAGAGGGCGGTATGGTTGAGGTGACTGGTTCGCCATTTGTGGGTTGTAATGACCTTGGGGGTATCCTCCGCGTCCGCCTCTGTTAGGAGCATAGCCTCGACCCATGTTGGCGTTACTCATATCGCTGTGTGCAGACTGCGAGGACTCGCGGCGCAAATGTTGGGCTTGTGGGAGCGCGTGCGAGTTGGGTTGGGGAGGCATGGAGGGACGAGTCTGTGGCTGAGTTAGAGCGTGAGGCTGACAGGCAGGGCGCGGACTTACGTTAGGCTCAGTGCTTTCACCGCCCTGACCGCCAAAGACCAAATTTGGCCGTGTGGGCAACCCGTCGGGCTTGGGACCTCCAGAAACAGGCGTGGGGATAGGCGATGGTGAATGCGCAGGTGAGGCGACGCGCGGGTTCTGCGCCTGCGGGTTCAGGTTTCCCTGCACTACAGGCGAGGCGTGCGCGGGGGCTGGTGAGCCGGCGAGCGACCCGAACTTGATGCCAGAGGGCGGGCCGCCTGTGGTGGCAACAGGGGGTGTCTGCTTGATCTGAACCGACGACTTGCGGCTGTGTTCGTGGAGGTTGCCGTTGCCGTTGGGGCCACCGCTCACAATGGTGGGCATGGCAGGAATAGCGGGCTTGATGGCGCTGTTACCATTCACCGGGGAAACAGACGAGCTCTTGCCATGCTGAGGTCCTCCCACTGCCACGGGAGGCGCTGCGCTGGACACGATCGTGGGTTTGGTCGCGTTGGCGTAAGAGCTCCTGGCAGTGGGTTGAGCCGATCCAGCGGCCACGGTAGCGGACGATCCTGTAGAGGAGCTGTTCGCGGTCGTAGACGAGGAAGCGGCAATCGGCGGGGTTTGCGAGTTCGAGATGGGATTACTCATGGACTCGGTGGTGGGTGAGGTGGTTGTGAGAGTTCGGTCTGTGGCTCGCGCAATCGCTACCTAGGTGCGGTCGGATGACGTTGTTGCTGGAATCCCAGATTCGAGCGTTGGAGAATCTGCAGTATTAATGAGTTGCCGGAACGACAAACTCGGGGTGCAGAAAAGAGCGTCGTCGGCTACGAAGAGAAGAGGTCAACTCCTTTTGGGAAGGGCGTTGGAGGCTGTCCGAGCGCTTCAGTGAAGGAGTCTCGGCAGGTATCCTTGTCCGGAGAATGGATTTCGACGAATTAATTCGTGAAATCGGCGAGCGGGTCTTGTGATTATCACGGAGACCGCTGCGTGTGTAGGTGATGAATGTTCTCGCGATGGAGAGACGGGTGTGTGGAGGGGAGATGGTTGGGCTCTTTCGAAAATTGTTTGAGTGCCAGGCTAAGCCACAACGAGGGTGCTGGCCTAGCCGAGCCGTGGGATGCCAGGCTCAACATTCAACGCCCACACCAGTTAAGGCGATTTCTTTATAATGGTACCGGCAGCTGGTCCATGGTACGTTCAGTGCAGTACCGATTTCTATATCGTCGTTGGACGGTAATGCCTAGGATTGTGCGCAATCGTCTTTTCCTTCGGTTACACAAGGCAAGAGCGAGGCAACACCAAAACAGCACAACAGGACGGCATCACCAAAGCAAAGTGCATCACATAACCAGAGTTCGGGCTATAGACCCTGTAGTATCTTCTGATTCCATCGGAACACGATACATATCCATGCGTATAGTTCGGCAGAAGCAATCTCAAATGACTGCCGGGAGGGGCACGATGCCCAGACGATATCGACTATTGTGCGCTGTGGCAACAGCAAGAGAGGTAGTGACGGTAGGAGGCTGTGCGCCTGGAAAACGCCATCCCAGAGAGCACCACGCATCATATCCGTTGTCTACAATTGGTGTATCGTGCCAACTCAACACAATTCGAGGCAAACACACTTCAGGCCTGTGCCCTCTGCTGCCTCGCTGACGTGTACCCGGAAACCACTTGATTATGGGTCAGGGACAGTCGGTTACTTTGAACTCATACAAGAGACAAAGCGTCCGTTGTCAGAACCGTTGCACTACTGTTACTATTGTCGCAATCAAGAGAAAAAGTGTAAAGCGATTGACGTCGTCCTGCACAATGACGCTGTGGTCTCCGGGTGGACCATTCACATGCCAGACATCTCCGCCTTAACTCCACTGTCATGTGAGAACCCCTCTCTTGTATCTTCGCCACTGTCGACAAACCTGGTCACGTCATATCTGATCAGCTTGCTTTTGCAATTGCAATGTCTTGTACCAAATATCATCTGAATGCGCATCTTGCATTGGCAGTAGGTGATGCGTTGGATCTTGGTTCAAACTAACAGGCTCAGCCGAATTTTGACAGGTGCACGGTCTCAAGGCCCTTCCGGTGTGAGACGCCTACGCGACTTTGTGCGAAACTACGGTCAGAATACTACAAACATATCGTTCAACTACGGTACGGTACAAGTATTGGAAAACCACCACTTGACTGAGATATTCAGTCGCTTGTCGGAGTGCTTGGCTAGTGCACAAAATTTCACATGTCAACATGATACCGACTGCTGCCAATCGCTGCTCGTGGATTGCCAATACTCAACATGGCCACAGTCATCTCGCGGCGGTCATCACTCAAATCTTACTATGACTCACTCATTCCGGTGACACAGGAGCACGGCTAGGTGAGAAGCCGAATGGAGCTGCCGGAAGCCTGGCGTGCAGCGTCGCATTAGCTGCGCGGCGGCGCCCAAGCCGCGGGTTTGTATGCGCCGGCAACACAGCAGAAGAAATGTTGTGGTATCAGACAGTTCCGAACACGACTTATCTGAAACCCTGAAACCCTGTTGCGGGTACGACGCAGCGAGCCTTAATGTCAGGTACGGAAGCATGCTAGAAGGCGTTGAGGGCAACGTTGGTGTGACCTTTATACCTGGGGTTGGCCTCAGACTTGAGCTGTGCACTGGCATGTGGAGCTCTATTGCGACAGATGAGGATAGTCGTGCTTCTGGCTTTGCGCATGGCAATTACATGTTTTGCAGATGGCGTGTGCCCGAATTCTGTTCGCTTAAGCTGGACTGTACGTATGACAATCGACGATTCTGAGGGTGTGGGGGGAATGATGAAGAAGGCAAAGAAGGGCACTGACGACTTCGTGTTCGGCTCTTCGAGGACAGTGTTGATTCAGCGGCTCCAGGAAGTTCCACCTCTCATGGACCAGGCGCAGGGTGACGTGCCTCGGCGACGTGCTCGTCGTCTGCAAGAGCCGTCGCAAGTGTGTGGCAGCCTCTCCCTTTTGAACGCAAGCCCGCATGCCGTAGCTTGCAGTTGAGGCGCGTCATAAGGTTTGTCGATGGCGCAAGCCTGCCGTCCTCCGATCGTTGGCCACGCTGGCGCTGGACTCTCGTAGCTCGTATCGTCTCGATGATCGCCATGCGCCGTAGCAGCGCAGGTCAACGGGTGAGGAGCGAAGTCCGGGCACTAAGGACGCCTCCCAATCCTCTGGCGCAGGCGCTCGAGGTATACGGTAGAGAAGTTTAGAAGTGAGTTGGCCATGGCGTAGGTGGCCGTGTTTGCTTGTTTTGCTCCATGTACAGTGCCGGCCGTGGCGGCAGCTGAGAAAGTGTGTGTGGAGAAAGCAATGCAGGTCGAAGATGAGATGTGGAAGTTCGTGCTTCCCGTCCGCGTCCTTGCACTTGCACTTGCACGTTGCGTTATCCCGTCCCGCTCTTTGCTGGTTCTCGAGGCGCTGGGCGCGAGAATCTGCCCGACACCATCAACACCAAACTTGCCCATACCAGCAGCTATCGCGAAGCATGGGTCTTCAGTGGTGCACATGGGCGAGGCTTCTTGTGCAAGGCTACATTCCTACTCGCTTCGCGGCGCCGATGACTTTGTACCGGTACGTACTCTTGCACGGCGAGCGCTACCACAAGCCACAGACACCCCGGCTCGTTGGCGGAGCGCCATGTTGGCAATGCAGCCTACCGATATGTACACGTGATCACATATGTCCTCTTCCACCAATCGCTAGTAGCACGACTCTTCACTCCGCGCTCAAACCAGTCTCTGCCAATGGCAATGGCACCTGCGGCGGAGCTTCCGGACCGCTGCAGCAACCTCTTTCGTGCAAGGCTGATCCTCTACGACTCCATCTTGCCTTGCCCTGCCTTACTCCACGATTCTCCTCGGCTCTTGACAAATCTAATGGCGTCTTGTACGTGCGTGCGTGCGTGCGTGCGTGCTGTCGTCATGTGTAAGCTTTGCATGCCATGGTTGGGCGGAAATGTTCCTGTCGAACCAGCCGGTATTCAGCCGGGATGACTGGCAGTTGCATGCTACCTACAGGCAGGCCCCTTACTCATCTTCAGGCACATCGTTCCGGACTCCTTGGAAACCCTTTCCTAACCATGACGGCGTCTCTGGTGTAGCCCGTCCAGGTCGCGGACAATAAATCTGGTAGCGCCTTTTCCCCCGCCCTGGCAACCTCAGTGGTTAGCCAACACCTGGCCACCGACGACGACCGATGGTGAGCAAAGCGGACGAGTCGGACAACAGGCGCCGTGTAAAAGCAGCGATAGGGTACGCTAGTCCGCTCGTGCTGCACCTGATGTGCTCCACAGCTAAGTGAACGGTAGCCCTGGAGCGTTCTGTCGGAATGGCGTACCGCATCGCGACGGCCTTGCGCCATGGGTGGAACCCCAAACTAACTTCACAGTCGCCATGCTCCTGTCATCCATGGCTATGGGCCTGAGTCGTATTCACTCGAGACCGTTGTTTTCCATGGCTCGGCCCTTGTAGATACGACGTGAGTCCGGAGCTAATACACTCAGCACATAGCACCGTACAAGCTACTTGGGAAAACTATCCCAACATGGCAGGGCCCCATCACACCGCCACGAAAAACATGCACGACGAGCCTCATCGCACATATTCAGCCGATGAATTCACATCACACGCCCAAAATGCCGTACCTAGACGCTGCAGCTGAAAGCTTTGCCCATTCACAAAGTCGCATGCCCCGAACCATGTACCATGCTCCACCACTTCTGGACTCGACCTTGGGAGCTTCTCGAAACACCACCGCTTGGAAGAAGAGGTTATGCCATTACCCAATTCGCCCGCCTCAAACCCTACCCCGCCCCGGTAATGCCCAGCCATTATTGAGCCTAAGCTCTCGTTCTTTGGTCGTTGTCTGGTTCTGCACCAAACCCGCCTGCGGCTACTAATCAATCTAACAACTGCCAGCAACAGCCGTTGATTAACTCTAATCAAGTTAAGATCCACACCTATCCTGTTCCTCGCCCAAATGCCGACCCCACAGCCCCAGCCAGACGCCTACCGATGTAAGATAGATGATATCGGGGTGTCACGCAGCCGCCATCCTGCGTGCTGCCACACCCCTGTCCGCTGGCACGAACCGTGACTATCCATGTCCTTAACTGACCTCGAACATTGGTGATGTGTTCATCCTGTTTAATGCACCTATTGGAAGCGAGAGCGCCACCACCATCCATGACTTCTTTCCCCGCAAAAAGGCTAAAAATCTCATCTTGTCAAAATGAGGAAATCTGCGAAAATTGCCAGAATTCGAGATTGACTAATACGAGACGTGGAGAACACGAGATGAGGTGCATGGTTCGCATGACCCGAAGCTACACAGCAGTACAGTAGCAACAAAGGCCGAAGATGAAGCACGTTACGCATTCAATCACAATGCCCGTCATCTCCACGTTGTGGTCTGCTCTCGTACTCGCAAAGGCAGTGTCCCCATGATCCCGAGGTTCGCAGTCATCGTCCGATCCCACTAGAAAGCCGCACGTACACGCATGTACAAGGCATCGTGGAAGGCTAACGAGTAAGAGTAAGAAGAAACGACAACAAACCATGGCGAGAGCCATGTTTTCCTGACCATGAATTTAGCCACCTGTACCAAAGATTTTACCCCCATGTCGCTATTCTTTCGGATTTTCCCTTGTCATAGCCGTCCCTTCCCTGCTGCTGTACGTTCCGACCATCCTCGGCCCACCCAGCTAGCACACCCCGCCAGCTCAGCTGAGCAAAGCCATACCGCAACCGCATTAGCCACGACGACGCAACCTCATCGCAAGCTGGCAACCGCGTTCCTGAGCCTCAAAAAAACAAGCCGAAGTATGGGCTGTGTATGGCGCCAAGCGAACTTATAACCCATGCCGAGATGTTATCTACCAAAGAAAGCGCCACTCACTCCACTCACACACACACAGTACTGTACTAGTCGTACGTACTAGCAGTACTGTACATGCACACTTGACCTGCACGTTTATCGTCTCCCATCCTGGCTAGTTCAGGCCCGGATCAAGTAGTCTGGGGTAAATGGGCAAGGGAAGAGCTATAGTGTGGAGATGATTAAGGTCTCGGACCTTGTTGTGCCACTTTCCGACTACTTTTCCCCTCACCCTCCCTCCTTCCCCCCATACCACTGCATCCATACCCGGGGCTCGTTAAAGTTGAACCACGCTTGGGGTATGCAAGTCCATCTTGCGGCAGGGATCCTGCACGCCTTCGCCCAATGGCTGCATGTGGATGTGCAAATGTTTAATATCAAGAGGCGCACCTTTGCGACCCTGGTGGCGGATGGGGTCATGTGGTAAGGTGATTTTCACCATCCCAGACCTTCTGGAAGCTGTAGTGTTTAGATTGGAGGCTGGGGTTGTGTTAGGGGTGGCGCCTTTGGCGGCGGCCGTCGGAGTGCTGAGGGGGGTGATGTGAGGGCTGGAGATGGCGCAACTACTGTGAGGAGGGTATGGGATCGACGGCGGATGAGGGACGCCGCTTGGTAGTGGAAGCTTTCTGGAAGCATGATTCGGGGGAGGGGGGCATGGGTACATGGTGCTTGGGGGGGGGGGCGTGACCTGCGGCTTGGAAGTAGTGATGGTGATATTGGTAGCGTGAATGCGTATTCCGAGGTCGATGATATAGGAAGGTTAGGCTTGAGACGGATACGCGGAGATTGAAAGTCAGGGAACAGAGAGATTGGGAGAGAAACTGGTGCAGCAAAAGGATTTGGGCGAGTATCTTCCCGCGGTAGGGTTTGACAGGTTGCGTGAGTAAGTTGAGGCTGTACTACTGCCTCTTGCATATACTTTTCATATACTCAAGATACGACGGGCAAACGTCGGAGATATCGCAGTGGCGAAAATACAAACATCAACGACAACAATAATAGCAACAGCGAGAACATGACCTATCAAATTGGTTGCCAATGCCCACGATGCCAGATGCAAACATCACAAGAGCTCCCACGATAAGACACCCCTGTGTCCATCATCGTATTCTCAACGAAGTACCCCCAACTCACCTAGGTACTTATCCACAATGCAATATACTACTACCCTATCACTTCCTATCTCACCGTCTCATCATGACTGTCGTCCAAATCCTTTTGACACAGATCCAGCATCTTGCCTCCCAATTCAGAAAAGCAGCAAGTAACAGCTAAGTCGCCGGTGATGGCCGTCAAGGCGAGCCTCGACCCCATAAGCCCGGATTTTCGGAGGAAATGCACCCCCACCACCCACTAGTCATCAACCCAACGTACACAGCCAGCCAGCAACCTAGGTAAAACCAGCCCATGTGAGCCTTTCATGTCAACAGCAAAAAACGGTCCGTGATGTGACATCGGTCCCAATCAAAAGCGCCGATTCGGTGACAATGAACTGATAAATAAAGAAACAAAAAATCTTAGTACTACCATGTCCACGACCATGACCTGAGTACCTAACCAAAGGTACCATGATGCATTTTAGTGTCTGTTTTTTTTTTCTTTTTTTTCTTTCGTGCAATCTGTCTCATCATTGCACCACGCCATTTCTCTCTCGCTTACGTACCCCTCAATGTGGGAAAGGGCGGCTCTTCCGGAAATGTAAACGTACAGCACGGGTAGGGTAAAAAGACTGACCACAAGTCGCAAGTCGCGCTCGTCGCGATGCCCGTCTCCACTCTTTTTGCCAAATTTACAGTAGTTTCCCATGTTTTGTTGCGTACACCGTGTGCGACGACCGCCTCGCCTGCCCACCACCCCTCCCCCCGGACGTGTAATATGGGTATTGTGACCTCAAATGTGAGCTTCGGAACATGGCGTTTCTGTTGTGAGCTGCCTGCTTTCCGCTTAGGTCCTTCGCTTGCGTTGTTAGATTGGGAGGCCGCCGGACGGTGGGCCTTGGCGGGCGACTACCTTCGTGCTTACTTTGCACAGCCGGCTACCGTTTACTCTGCTTTAGTCAGGGCAACGGTGCGGGTTTCCTTGATCCACTTTGTACCACTTACTCCACTGGTTTTCCTGTTGTTCTAGCAGCCGCAGCCGCATCTGCCTAGGTATCTGCACTCGTAGGGGGGCAAAAATTGATTAAATCGTTCAGCGGCGTCGGTGGCAAATATAGGAGTCATGTGGTTTGCATTTGTACTGGTTTGGCTTCTCTACAGGAAAAGATTTTCGTCTCGTAATTGAGGTGGCTTCACGGGAATACCGTGATGGCTGGGCAAAATAGAATCAAAGGCGAGAAAGAAATTGTGTACATGGTTGGGTAAAAGGTATTTTGTAAGCCACATGCAATGTGGTTGTTTTTCTAAAATAATACATAGAAGGGTAGGTACCAAATATCGCTGTACATCGAGTGCAAGGAAAAATGGATAGTATGTCAAACATGAGTCACCTGCTTTGGAGAAAGTGATAAAGATGCAGTGAAAAAGCCACCGAAAAGAACATTGCTAAGAAGCGAGACTGGTATCGCAGAAGGAGGGAGATGAAGAACAACCGTCATGTCATCAAACCAGTCGAAACAGACCCGTGCCGTGTTTTCCGTCCAGGTCCCCCCGCTAGTGAAATCGTAACTCTTAAACGCCTGCCAAACAAGAAGAACACTTAGTACTGATCATGATGATCATCGCTGTGTTGACTCGTATTCTCCATCACTTCTCCGAGGATGGAGCCGACGGCCGAATACGAGTCATGGTGTGCAGAGTCGTTGCGCATGTACGAATTGGGAAAAGACGACATGTGGTGGGGGGCGCTCATCTGCGGCATCGCGTAGCTTTGAGGTGTGACAAGGGGAGAGCCCGAGTAAGACGGGAATTGAGCTGTCTGAGGCGTTGATCCATTGCGATGGGGTGTGTAATGGGTACTCAGCTCGATGCGCCGAGGAACACCATTAGAAAAGGACCGTAGCCTGTTGCCGTTGGACCCGAAGCCTGGTACTGGGGAGTCTAGACTTGTTAGAACAGGTGACGTGTTTAAAGTGAGTGGGGGTGGCTTACAAGAGTAGCCGATGCCGTACGGCATCATTGAGCTTGAGTATCCCCGGGAGCTATCATGGTGGCCATGGGAATCACCTGAGTTGCTGCTGTCGCTAGTGTAGCTCATGCTGGTACGAAGAGGCGACTGTAGGGACTCCGCCCGACTCCTTACAACACGATCGGCATGCAGTGAGAGGCGAGGAATGCTGTGCTGCGCGGCGTATGCCGGTGGGCTACTAACGGGCATGGATGTGAAAGGGTTCGATGTCCTTGGGCTGGTGTCAATTGGTGCTGAGTGGAAGCCAAAGGGTGATCCCTCGTGAGCCGAGACTGGCGATATCGTGTCTGTCGCTGATTGTGGTGGCGTGAATGCGAAGCCACCAAAGGCAGGGCTGATACCAGTGGGCGACATGTGAGAGTCTAGTGGTCCTCGCCTGAATGTGTCGATGCTCAGGGGTCGCATCATGTTGCTTTCTGGGAAGCTCGGGTTGTAGGATGCAGGTGAAGCAAGTGGTGTTCCAAGACCATGAGAGTTTCCAAACGGAGAGTGAAGAGCTGATGCCATGTCGAAGTCATCTGGCAAAGCGCGAGACCTCATCATGCGCTCGCGGTCGTCGCTTGTCAATCGCTTCAACTTCGCACGCCTGTTCTGGAACCAGACCTGGACCTGACGAGGGCTGAGGCCAGGGATTTCCCGAGCTAGTCGCTCGCGGTGTGCTGCATCTGGGTGTGCTTGACGGGCAAACTCGCTCATGAGGAAGCGAGTCTGGTTGTGAGTGAGCCTAAACCTCTTCATCTTCCGCTTCGCCGCTCGGATTTCTGCAGCGGACATTGGCGCCCTGTTCTCATCCTTGAGGTCGTCTTCGTCGTCCTTGTCGTCGAGGATGAGATCATCATCTTGGTCCTCAAGCTTGTCTGCATTGTTGCCATCGTTGGTCGAAGGGGGAGTCAGTCTTGAGATGGGGCTGGTGGGGGCAGAGCCTCCAAAGGTCACGTTGGGGACGTCGTGGTGCTCAATCTCATCATGTCCTGATGGTGTGGTGCTACCACTGTTGAGATGGCTCTTTCCATCGAGCAAGTAGGGGAAGCTCTTGTGTGATTGCATTGACGGACGCTTCATGTCGAAGTTGTGTCCAGAGACTTCGGCCTGTAGCATGGCCATGTCGTTGTCTGAGTGTGGTGGGGTGTGTTCCAGTGTCCTGACGTCTGAAGAATGCCACTCGTGGTCTGCGGCACTCGTGCTGTACGCAGACATGTGCGGCGAGCTAGGCGGAGACAAAGGAATAATGAAGTTTCCGTCAACCATTGGCGCTTCGGAAACTGGTGTTGTGGAGTAGAGTTAGGCTTAGCTGTATGGCTGAGGCGTCTCCTATTATTCGCTGTCAGATTGTTGCAGGTCGTGTACTGGCGTGTTGCTTACCTGGAAAAATTCGTGTCCAAGAGGCGTCCAGCGACAATTGTGAGGAAGACAGCAGGTTTTCCACAAAGAGTAATGATCCGATGAATTTTGAAGTTCACAGTCGATCAGTGCCCGGGGCTTGTGCGGGGATGGTACGGGTGATCAGCGAGAATAGGCAGATTCAGCGTTTGTGACGGGCTGAAGTGGGAAACAACAATGGCAGGATGGTCGGTCGAAGTTTGATGAGTGCTGGGGTTGTGGATATGCGAGTCCGGGGTGAATGGGGATGTCGCACGTTGGGGGCAGAGTTGGGGCGCGGGTGTGTGAGTGTGGTGCAACTTGAAGCTGGAAATAGACAGCTACCGGGCGGGTGATGCTGTGCGCCAAATAAAGATGGATGCTTTGCAAAAGGCACCTTGATGTCAGACAGGAGTGAAGTGATGAGCAGCCGGCTTGCTCTAGAAGGGTGAAGCGTGGATCTGGGTCGACGACGGGTAGGCCTTTGTAAAGAGGGTCAGGAACGGTCGGAGGCTATATCAGCAATAGCGGCAGGGGAGGGGAACAGATCATTCAGACCGAAAGGCTTGACGGCACTCTACTGTCGACGATCCGGATAAAATCGAGGTTAAGCAAAGCGAGGACTAGGGTCAAACCATGCATGGACAGTGGTCCCTCTTAGGGAAACATGATATCCTTCGAGGATCTGGAAGCAGCTTGTTACACGACGAGAAGCGTGACTAACGTCGAGGGCTAGCAGCCCCCAGGGCACAGGGATACGGTAGCTCGGGACGTGGGCCTACAACGCAGGAGAGACGGAGCGGGAACGGGCGAATCGAAGGGCTCCTGGATCAGGTGTGCTGCATGCCAGGGTGCCCTCTGCTCCTGCTCAAAGGGTCGGCATGGGTGGCCCAGGGTGGGTGAACATGGAGGTCTGCAAGCTCCATGCATGCATAGACCAGGGCCCGTGTAGAAAAATGGCCGACGAACAAGGCCTGATGCGTGGCGTCAGTCAGTGTTAGGTCGAGGCAGGCGGCGGCGCCATTACTGGCTAGCTGCGACGCGGGAGCTCCAAGGAACCCGCTGTGAGCGCAGACAGGGATGCTACAGGGCTCGGCAACGCTTGCACAGCTTGTTGCGGGGTGTTGCTGTCAATGCTGGGCTGCTGCTTTAAGCGTGGACGGTGTGCGGCGGAGCAGAAGCCTGAAGGTGGTGGTGTGGTGGTGAGGTCGTCGGACATGGGACTGGCAGGGCTCAGGTTCGTGTGCTCCATGCTACTGTCGTCGAACCACGCCTTTCGCACACACACACACACACACGCACGGCACTGTGGCCTCTGCGGTGTGCGTGTGGTGGTGTTGCTGGTGCGGTGCCGTTTGAACTAAAACAGTATCGGCCGGTGGCTTTACGAGCGCGTTTCTTCTGGCAGCTGTCAAATGTCCACCGTCCGCGAAATTGCGTTTGCTTCAGGAACGCGCTGCATCAGCCTTGCCAGTGTGTGGTTTGAGCCGCCCATGGCGCCCGCTCGATGATGCATAAACAGCGGACCTTGGCCTTCTCCAGCCGCCGGTCTATTGCTGGGTCCATTGCTGGTGGGCTCGGCGAGGACCAGCACAGCGCGTCTAGCTGTTTCGGTGACGCTGCTGCTCACCTGCTTGATCCAGAGTGGTGAGTGCAGTCGAGCAGTGGTAGTTGAGCGGCTAGCCACGACCAAAGGCCTCCAATGAGGAGCCGTGGCCGTGAACGAGCAACAGATCTGGCTGGGCTAAAAACGATCTAACGGCGAAAAGCTCGGCCCGCGCCGGGAAAATACTGGAAAAGGCGCTGCTTGTCCAACTTGTCGCTCCACGGTAGTGCGACGCGTGCAACGCTGGTGGGCTGCCGGTAGTTGGGTGACAGCGGTGAATTTTCGTAACGTGCTTGACACTGGGCATCCATGCAAGCGCGGCCAACCGCGCCTTACAAGCATGCCATTTTAATGGGAAATGATGTCGTCGTGAGGCTGCGACCACGACCGACGACAAGAGAGTCCAAGGTGGCCCACACTGCAGGGTAAACTGGGCGATGCGCAAGCCACCCATGCTGCGCCGTTCCGTTGGTGATCGACATTGCCCGTGTCTCTCAGAGCAGCAGACGAGCCAGACGAGCTTCTAGCCGAGGGGCGGCGCTCTGGCTCGCGCTCTGGCTCGCAGCTCGCAGCAGTGCAGCTCACGTCAATCCATGGCCGCAGCTGCGCAGCAACACCACCACCACCACACACGGCGACGACTCAGCGAATCAGCTAATCACATGGCCGCCGCCCGCCTCGCGCGGTCGCATTGCCCAAACCGGCTTCCTGGGGAGGGGGGAGGGGGCGTGTGGTGTGTGGTGGTCATGCTCATGGTTCTCGTCTTGCATCTTGCACTTGCATCATTGCATCACGCCCGCCGTTTTTTCCCACACTTGGCTTTTCTTTTTTGTTCTTCGTCTTCATGCCTGCCGTGGCAGGCTCCAAGGCAAACCACCAGCGTTTGGCCCTGTTTCGCAGCGGGAAAACCCAAGCGCTCCCGGGCTTACGCAATCTCCAGAACGCGATGCCGACACGGGCCCTGCGGTCCATTTCCAAAACACAGCCAAGACCGCCCGGCTGGCGGACGAGGGCGGGTTGTGAAATGAGAGGAGCAGCCGATAGCGAACCCGCGGATATTTCAGCGGGCCATTGGTGGGGGGAGAGCGAGGGGGGAGGGACGAAGCACTTTGGGTGGGTTTGATGAGCGCATGGGTGCCTGACCAGTGTCGGCAGAAGATGCCTGGCAAACTGGCCCAGTGCCTGTGTCAGTGCCTGCCAGATGCCTGTGCCTGTCTGTGCCTGGTCTCTCTCTCGTCATGCTCTCCGGACCATGACCACACACAAGGCGAATCATGCATTGAACATGATTCTAACCAGCTGCCAGTCTGGAAACTGGAACTGGAAACACGCCGGGCCCGAACGTCCGACGCCCTGCCGTTGCTGCTGCACGGCACCTCGTCGTGATTTGGTCCCACCTCCACAAAAGAAACACAGCAGAGCAACAACCTGGGAAAGCCTCGGACGGGCGCTGGACGGTCGTGTCAGGTCGGACAGGTCCCTTCATTTCGGAATCATGCACCCTCGCCCATGTACGTGGGTTTTGTGCTGACAACACAACCACTCTCACAATGGAATGAGCCTGAAGACGGCCCCGCCCCGGCCTACAACGGCACATCTGCTCTGGCTTCATCTTATTTCTAGAAACCTTGGATGCAACGTCATACTGACCCAGACGCCGACGCCCATGGCTATTACCCTCAGATCGAGACCCGTCACAGTCGTACGTTACCACGCGGCCTATATTATCTACTCCTGTACTGTATACTTGCAGACAGGCCCCTTCATCTCCACACACCAGTGCGCCGCATCAGCCTTGAGGCCGCTAATCGTGGCGTTGCAGATTGAGGGGCGCCGCTGCCGACCGCCTGTGCGGTTTGCCCAAGCTGCGGATGGCCTCCGATCTATCGATACGCTGAGCGTCGTCCGGGACCATGGCCCCATGTTTTCTTCGCTTGCACACATGTCTTCCATCAATTGCCGCCACAATGCTCCCCATACTGCATGATAACCTAACGGGAAAGGCCCGTCGTCTTGTTAGAGCCATCGACAATTCATACATGCCTGGTGCAGCTGCCCCTGCCACTACGTCGACACCGCTGCCTCTACTGTCACTTGACCTTGTTGGTCGGCCCGCTGCTCCTCGACGCTCTGATGCTCCTCGTGCGGAACTGGCCCCTGCTCATCCGAAGTAGTGGGCGCTGCCTCAACACCCGTCGCTTCACTGGCAGAGCTCGCCGGCTGAAGAGCCTCCAGACCTTTGCCATGCTCGATTCTATCAAACGAGCTTAGCTGTGTCTTTGATGCCAGCCGAAGACCGCGCCAGACGTAACTTGATTTCTTCTCCCCCACTTGCCGCTTTTCCTCTTCCGCATCAGCCATGTCCAGATCCAACTCGGTCATTTTAACCTTCTTTGCATACGACTCTGCCTTCGGCACATTGAACCTGTGTGCATGTAAGGGGCTGCCATCAAATTTCTCTCGGCTGAACGGAGCACATACCTATTTCGCTGCCGCAGCTGTGAGAGTCCCTTCTCAGCTTCATTGTTGTATAGAAAGTCCAACGTGCTGGGAACACCCATGGGCCTGGTTGCCTTTTTGCTGACGACAGCTTTCTGTGCCCCAGACTTGGCTTGCTGGAAGTCGGTCGTCGCCACTCGGTCGCGAGTAAATGGTTGGCAGTTCTCCATTTTCCACCTTACCCAATTCTTGTCGCGGGAAAGCACGGTGTCCACCATCCGGTAGTAGAATTTGCCATCCGGGCCCTCCTGCAGGTAATTTACAATAGCCGTCTTGATGCCCAATGCCCACTCGGTCTGTGCTTTGTGGTCAGCCGAGAAGATGATGATCATGGCTGCAGGAGCGAGAGCGGGCACGAGAGCGTGACAGTGAAAAGGTGGAGAGGGTGGCAAAAACTTACGTCTTCTTCACGGAGCGTGAAATTGTATTGCATGGCCTTTTGTGCGTTCTGGTAGAAGGGCTTACTCTTGGATTTCTCCGTCAAGGTCAGGAGAAAGTCGATGAGTATCAGTGCTTGGACAAGGATGTGACGTTGGAAGGCGAGATCACTGAGCTGTAAATAGTCAGTCATAGCGCAAGGTCCATAGTGGCAATCTTGCATACCTCGAGCTTGAAGAGATCCCGGCTTGTGAGGTACTTTGGATTGAAAGAGTTTGCAAATGCATCGTAGTCATCTCCGTCTCGTGTTTGTTGGCCCCTTTTGCGCTCAGAGTCTCCGGCTTGGATCACTTTTGGCACTTCTTTGAACTTGGCCAGTGTTGCCTCTAAGCTCTTTTGGAATTGCTGGAAGTTATCCTCCTCGAAAAGCCTCGGCGGATTGGAGAAAGAGTGCTGCAAAGACCAGAACACTGGATAGAGCGTGTCCGTGTCAAGCGTGTCCGGTTTCGCGTCCTTGTCCTTGTCGGGTTCTTCATTTTCAACAGCCTTCTCTTCTGACTTGGATTCTTCCTTAGGCGTAATAACAGCATCGTCGGCATCAACTTGCATCGAATCATCGTCGGTCTTCGGTTCCTTTAGAAAATCCTCAAATGTCGTAACGTTCTCAACGTGGAAGTTTCCCCGGAGGTTTACCGAACTCTTATCGCCCAAGGGAAAACTCTGAAACATAAAGATATAGACACGTCCGCAAAAGACCGGGTCTTCGGCGCGGGACAGTCGGCGGAGCAGCTCGTTGCATAACCGCAAAATGACGAGGTCTTTATTCTTGGAGTTGATCTGGACACAAATGAGAAGTGCAATGCATAGTGCTGAAAGCGACATACTGCGATGATGGTCTCTCTCCTAGATTCAAGGAAGTTGAATACTATGCGACAGCCAGAGATGGACTGGCTGTCGAGCAGCTCTTCGATGAGCAACAAGACTAGCTGTGGATGACATAGGTCTGCAAAAGTCAGTCTAAACACGTCGATTCACGCAGGAGACGTACCTCGGTCTCCACAATATTGCAGAATATCCAGCAGGTTCCAGATGGTTACAAAGGCTGGCTCCTCGATACTAGTGGCGCCCTAGATCTGTAAGCTTCCTCCAGAACTGGGACAACGGCGTAGTGACTGACGAGATTGGCATAGAAAACACTCTTCGCTGCGCTCTCGACTGCAAGTGCGCGCACTGCACTCCCGCCTTCGATCTCGCCCAGAAGAGGCTCGTTCTCTGGCACAAGTTCGGAAACATGCAGTGGCGGGTTTACGGATGCGCTCTCTTTGACAATACGGGCGCGGCGCAACAGATAGTCTAGTCTAGGAGCTACCGCATCTGCGGAGAGAAGATTGATGTCTGGCATTGAATGGGCTTTCAGTCGCGTTGAGCTTCCGGCGGTTCGGTCACGGGCGAAATTCGATTCCGTTGGTACCAAAGTGGCTGCGGCACAGTACAACAAATGCGGGGGAGTGGTCGCAATAGGCCGAGGAACTAGATGGGCTTCAATACATAAGACTCGTCACAAGCAGCAGCGGGGTATGAGTGAAACGGTGAAGTGAGCGTCGAACTGGACCCTTGCTAAGACGAAGCTGCGCCACATTGGTCTAGCGTCATTGCTGTAGGTCTGTGCATGTGGCTGAACGCGTCAAACGCGTCGTGCTCACTTTACTTTGCGACGGAACACTCACGATAACGAAGTTTGCTATCAGCATTATGGCACCAACGAGCCCACATACCAATGCGGACCAATTCGACGATGATCTGGACGATATTCTTGGAGACGTGACATATCCCAATAATGTTGTTCAATCGACCGAGGAGCAGACACAACCGCCATCCTGGAATAGCAATAAGAATGATACTGCAGGCGGCTTAGGAGTGGATGAGGAGATCGTAATCACAAAAAAGCGCCAACCTGCCCCAAAGCTTGATGATCAAAGGCTTCTGTCTGACCCTGGTATCCCCCGCCTGCGCAAAATCTCCAAAGAGCGCCTGCGTTTCAAAGGAAAGGGCCACGAGGTATGTCGTGCGACGTCTGCTCGTATTGTACCTGAGCTAATCGAAGTACAGTATGGAGATATTGCTCGCATGCTGAACATGTACCAACTATGGCTCGACGATCTGTACCCCCGCGCGAAGTTTGCCGATGCCCTAGCCATCATAGAGAAGGTCGGACACACAAAGCGCATGCAGATGATGCGGAAAGACTGGATAGATGAGGGAAAGCCACGAAGTGCTACAAGAAAGGACGAGGACGAGGCTGCAGAGAAGACTCCAGTCCTTGAGAGCGCTGAACACATGGATGGCGTAGAGCAAGAGGGCCAAGGGGGTCCAAGACCTCTATCGGAACACCGAGAACCTACAAACCTTCCAACTGGAGGATCAGCTGCGCCGGTAGAGAGTGGGGATCCCAACGAGGACGAGCTGGATGCTTTGCTAGCAGAGAGTGATTCCAAACCAACAGTACCGCAGACACTCCCGACTCGACCTGCACCCTCACAGGACGACCCTTTTGCAGACGAAATGGAGGCAATGGCGGATATGGACGACATGTGGGATTAGTTTGCTTAGTGGAGCAACACTTCGATATCTATTATGCATAGCGTGGCGTTTGGAATATATCATGAGGTTCATGAGATACGGTAGACACAAGACGACGGAAAGCTATAGGTCCGATAGAAATTGCGGTTCTGGGAACTATATGCAGGTACGATCCCCATAGAATGTGTCGCGCGTGCATCAATGCTGTGTAGAGCGGGGTGACCCGCCCCGCTATTCTGCCTGGCTGTGGCTTGGCGTGTCACACAACGTCATCCACTCTGCTGGACTCACCACAAGCAACAGGCACACAACCAATTCGCTCCCCACTTGCGAATATGGAGTTCCTGTCAGGAGAACTCGAGAAGCTGCGTTTGAGCAGCAGCAAGCTCGATGAAAACACAGACTGGATAGATTCAATAGCAGCCGAGCATCGACCCCCTAAGCGACAGCGGAAAACCAAACATGTCATCAAGAAAGAGCTCGAACAAGAATTCTTGACGCCTTCGCGCTCATTTAACGCACATTGGCTCAACCAGCTCCAGCATCGATGGGATGCGCCAACCAACTATCGCAGCCTATTCCAAATAGCCCCAACACAAACCCGCACCATCATTCGCTTCACGCGTGAGGGACTAGAAGGTCGCGTCACGGGTTACAAAGAAGTCACTGTACCCGCAAACTCAGCAACAGCCAAGAACTCTACTTCCCTCCTCAGGAAGCCTGCTAATAGAGCCGAATTCGTGCGTGGCGCAGCCGGCTTTTTCCCGTTCGCCCCTGGTGGTTTGGATGGAGTGGAAGCGATTGCGGCCATTGAAGACGAAGCAATCCAACAGCAAGAGAACGCCCAGGGAAAGAAAACGGGAGGTCTCGACCGAGTCATCAACTTCAGCGCCGAAGGTGGCTTACTAGAAATCCCGCCTGGGTTCACACGGGGTCTAGACTTTCAAAAAAAGCCAGCCACGGATGTTAAGACGGCCAAAGAGGTAGAGGATACTCTAGGCGAGGCCCCTGCAGTTGCCAAGGACACCGAGTCAGACGAAGTGGAGGCTAACAACACCGGCTCGAACGGTGCTGAAGAACTCGACGAAGATCAAACTGTTGGGGAAGAAGAAATTGACGCACTGTTGCCAGTGGAGTTCCCTGCTTTAGCTCCTCATGGGCCCCTGGCCATGGGAGCGGGAAGGAAAGGGGGGCGGGAATGGGCACATATGGTTGACATCGACCGAGATATTACAAATTTCCGAGAGCTTGTCCCGGAAATGGCGCGAGAGTATCCTTTCGAGCTTGACACATTCCAGAAAGAGGCGGTGTACCACCTAGAGCATGGCGATTCAGTGTTCGTAGCCGCACATACCTCCGCCGGCAAGACCGTCGTCGCAGAGTATGCCATCGCACTTGCTGCAAAGCATATGACGAAAGCGATTTACACGTCTCCAATCAAAGCACTCAGTAATCAAAAGTTCCGCGACTTTCGTCAGACATTTGATGATGTTGGCATTCTCACCGGAGATGTGCAGATTAGGCCCGAAGCTAGTTGTCTTATCATGACCACCGAGATTCTTCGAAGCATGTTGTATCGTGGGGCGGACTTGATCAGAGATGTTGAGTTCGTCATCTTCGACGAGGTGCACTATGTCAACGATCTAGAACGAGGTGTAGTGTGGGAAGAGGTTATTATCATGCTACCAGAGCATGTAACCCTCATTCTTCTGTCGGCCACTGTTCCCAACACCTACGAGTTTGCGTCATGGGTAGGACGGACCAAGAAGAAGGACATTTACGTCATCTCCACACCGAAACGTCCAATTCCCCTTGAACACTATCTCTGGGCTGGAAAGGGCATGCATAAGATTGTGACAGCAGACAAAAAGTTCATCGATAATGGTTGGAAGGACGCAAATGACGTTCTGTCTGGCAAGGACAAAGTCAAAGCACCGTCTGTTAATGACGCGCAGGCTGGTAGAGGTGGAGGGGGACGCGGAGGTCCGCCTGCAAGAGGAGGACAGAATCAGCGTGGACGAGGTCAGCAAGGTGGTGGCCGAGGCGGAGCACCTCGCGGTGGTGGAGCACCGGCCGCTAGAGGACGCGGTAACATTGCCAGGACCGGCCGTGGCGGCGGTCGCACCACAGCCGCACAGGATCGCAACATATGGGTCCACCTCATTCAACATCTCCGAAGCAAGGACCTCCTACCTGCCTGCATATTTGTCTTCTCCAAGAAACGGTGCGAGGAAAACGCCGAAGCACTGTCGAATATTGACTACTGCAATGCTGCTGAAAAGAGCGCGATTCATATGACGATCGAGAAGTCCCTTGCTAGACTGAGCCGCGAGGACCGCGAGCTTCCCCAGATCAAGCGATTACGAGAGCTGCTCAGCCGAGGCATCGCCGTGCATCACGGTGGCATGTTGCCAATTGTCAAGGAGGTTGTTGAGATTCTCTTTGCAAAAACACTGGTCAAGGTTTTGTTTGCTACAGAAACCTTCGCCATGGGACTCAATCTTCCAACTAGAACAGTAGTCTTCTCCGGATTCCGAAAGCACGATGGGCGTGAGTTTCGCGATCTGCTCCCTGGTGAGTACACGCAAATGGCTGGACGTGCTGGAAGACGAGGTCTAGATACTGTTGGTACCGTGATTATCTGCGCTCCTGGTGCCGATGAGGCACCCCCGGCGGCGAGACTTCGACAAATGATGCTCGGTGAGCCTACAAAGCTTAGGTCACAGTTCCGTCTGACGTACAACATGATGTTGAACCTTCTACGTGTCGAGGCGCTCAAGATTGAGGAGATGATCAAGCGAAGCTTCAGTGAGAACGCCACGCAGGCATTGTTGCCTGAACATCAAGGTAAAGTCAAGGTTTCAGAAGCAGAGCTGGAGAAGATCAAGCGTGAGCCTTGCGATATCTGCGATATCGATTTGGAAGCCTGCCATCAATCGTGCGAAGACTACAAGCGACTGACTAATGAAACGCATCTGAGTCTTCTCATCAACCCCATAGGACGACTAGTGTTCTGCAAAAACCGACTGATTGTGTATAAAAAAGTTGGTTCTCCGCTATTCCATGATTTGTCATGTGCTAACATCATCAGGACAACAAACGAACTGCAGGCATGCTGATGCAGAACGGGACCAGCAAGGGCAATGAGCCCACTGTCAAGGTATTGGAGATTGCACAGCACCAGGACCGCAAGCCTGATGACTTACTGCCCTATGTCGGTGCCTTGGCACATTTCTTCCGCAAGCTGCCAAATGACCCCAAGGATCTCATACTCAAGACTGCCTTTGTCCCATTGAACGACATTGAATGCTTTACCAAGACGATTATCGACGTAGATGATTCGGTCCAGAACTTCAGCCGCAAAAAGGGTAAGTGGGTGCGCTACGGTTTGAAGTCAGCACTAACACCTGTACCAGATACACTGAAGTTGGCTCAAGCCCAATTCCTACCCCTGTGTGGATCATGGGACTACGAAGACTGGGATGAGTATGATTACAGTCGGATCAAGAGTCTCAAGTTCCGAGAGTTGCAGGACGCGCGCATGCGGGAAGGGCAAAATGCGGTTAGCAAAGAGTGCTTGAAGTGTCCAGATTTCTTGAAACATGTCAGTGGTCCTCTACCAAGGATTCCTCTTCGGCAGATGCTAACAGTGACAGTTTGCCATGGAGCACGATCAATGGCTCATCAAGGAAAATATTCATGCTCTCCGACAGCTCATGTCAGACCAGAACCTCCAGCTACTCCCTGACTATGAGCAGCGCATCCACGTCCTCAAGGATCTCGGTTTCATCGACGAAGGTTCCCGTGTAGAGTTGAAGGGCAAGGTAGCATGCGAGGTATGCTTGTCGTATGCTGTAACCTGGATCACCTTACTGACCGCGGCCAGATCCACTCTGCCGATGAGCTGGTCCTTACGGAGCTTGTTTTAGAAAACGTGCTCGCCGAGTACGAACCGGAAGAAATCGTCGCCCTGCTTTCCGCATTCGTCTTTCAAGAGAAGACAGATGTCGAACCCACTCTAACCGCCAACCTGGAACGCGGTGTAGCTAAGATTGTCGAGATATCAGAGAAGGTCAATCAAATTCAGACGCTGCATCAGGTTATCCTGTCTGCAGACGATTCAAACGACTTTGTCAGCAAACCCCGGTTCGGCATGGTCGAGGTGGTGTACGAGTGGGCGCGGGGAATGTCCTTCAACCGCATAACCGACTTAACAGACGTCATGGAAGGCACCATCGTCCGCGTCATCACACGTCTTGACGAAACATGCCGAGAGGTGAAAAACGCGGCTCGGATTATTGGCGATCCGACTCTCTTCCAAAAGATGGGCACGTGTCAGGAACTGATCAAACGGTACGTCACCCCATTTCTCCATTTTAATAGCTTTCTGGCTATTTCTGTTTTTGGTTTGTTCCCGAGCAATTCTCCGAATCCGAAAGTATCCTGGTTCTCGGGTGGGTTCTTTTTCTTCCACGACTAGTTGGTGTTGGTTGCTACGTGTGTAATGGTGGAAGGATGTTGGGCTGACAGGTTTTGAAACAGCGATATCTGCAACTGTGCAAGCTTGTACCTGTAAACGACCCATTCCAGGCAGCGGACTGGCGTTTGGGAAAACGAGAATACGCGGACTAGGGAGCTCGGCAACCCGGCTGCATGGGGATTTTCCTCAAGTTGCAGGAAAAGGTGGGGTTTTAAGGTTGTTTCAACGAGTAAAAGAACGGTGCCTTGGCGATCCGCGGCCTCGTCCGACACGGGCTTGTCGGCTTGTCATGTCATGGCCTTGTTGTCATGTGTCTGTGTGTTAGGTGGTACCTGGCCTTAAACTTTTGCTCCCTCGCTTATCGGGGGTTTCAGGTTTCAGGTTCCGTGTTTGAGAGCAAGGGTTCCCTCCTTGCCTATGCTTTACCGGGAGCCGAGTGGTCTTTGCGCAAGTGGCCGTATTTGGGCATGAGGACGTCTGATAATGGCATTGTTGCGGAGAATTTTCAAGACTTTTTGCTAAATGCCGGTGGAAGCTTCTTTCTTGGTCTCTCATCTTGATAACCAACACTAACGCTAACTACGACCATGTGTCATGAACTCGATTGCGGCTTGGGTCGCGAAGCCGCAGCCGCCGCCCCCTCGCCGCCTCCTTGTGGAAATTGTTGACTTTGTCGACCTGGTTGCCTACTCGCTGCTTTAGTGGTGTCTGGCCCCGAGTTGCCGTGTTGTGGTGCCTGGTACTCGGGTGTTTTGCGGGGATAATGCAATGGGACAAAACTATGCTATAGATCGCCAATCTTATCATAATATGCGATGGAAGGATGTGACGAACGGGCCCTAGAAGCAAGCTTCATGACTTAGCACTTCTTCTAGCTGGGGAAAATAAACCTGGGGAGGGAAGGGTGGTCTAGATTCTTCCCGCATATTTGTCAGCGCATGGTTGTGTGGTTGTTTTGTGAGGCTGTGGTGAGGCGCGAGCGGCTTTACTGCTAAGCTACCAAGCTCCTGAGGTATCGATAAGGCGGCCTTGGCGCACCCTGCATCACGTGTTTTTTGCGAGCAGGGCGTGAAGGATGGCGACATCGGATATACGGAACCCTGTTCCTGGTTTGGACGGCATATGTGATAGCGTGTTTTTTCTTAATGGCAGGATAGGGGGAGGTGAGCGGGCTTTTTCTGAAGGAGGCGTGGCTGAGGGCTGTTGAGGGCTGTGCTTGCCAATGTGAGCTTGCTGGTCAAGCCCGGCGATACCTGACAACGCTGCATGCGATGTACGGTGCACTAACTCAATCTTTGAATCCCTTGGAATTTCTAATAAGTCAGCATGCTAAGTGAGCATTGGAGTTTGGTTAATGTTAATATCTCCATTTTGAAATTTTTGACACCGCGTGGTAGTAGTTTCTTCATCGAACTCAAAACATTCATAGTGGAAGGACACCATATTTTCCTCACATAGCTGAAGACCTCGAGCATATAACCAATATGCCTACATTTCAGCAATAGCATGCAATCTAGACAGAGTGATATGGTTCAATATTCCCCATTTCCCTACACTGGCTACATACTTTCACAACTCACCCGGGTATCATGAAATACTTAACATATCGGTGTACAAGGTCCACTGTAGTCGCCAGAAACGCCTATCAGGTCCTTAGCCACACTGTCAAGAATTTTATGACACCCGGGTGAACACTGTCTTTTGCCCAACACTGAATATTTCATCATCAACCCCTGAAGTTCGAAGATGAAACGCAGTGACTCCAAACTTCCGTACAAGCATAACAGCAGTCTGGCATGGACACTGGAAACAAACAAAATTCCGCTATCGAGCCTCCTATGTATCCAACAATGTCATAGACAAACAGCACAAGATGAACATGATTCATACAGCGTCACGAACTTCTCCAACATCTTAACAAGCAATGTCGGCTAAGTGTGTATGTGGATACGCCATCTCTCAAATATTCTGGTATCATTTTTATACAAAGCGTGGGCAGTCTATATGAACATCCCACACATCCCCTAACCCCATCAAAAGATACAAACTAAGAACAAATCGCGCCATTTTCATGCATGCATGCAACCAAAACTACCAGAGAGACAACAAAGAAAACGAACCCCAATCTTTGCATCGCAACCTACGCAACAAAATCTACATCTATACTCAGATAGGCACGCCGCCATCCTCCTCATCCTCATCCTCATCCGCAAAGGCCGGCACAACTTCCTCAGGAATGAGGACATTCTCCTCCCTGTCCACATCCTCATCATCATCCACCTTCGCCACCCCATTCGCATTCACCCCACCCATATTGATCTCTCTACTCGGCAACAGCACACCACCGCCATTGAATCTCATAGCTTCGACCTTGGCTTTAGTCATCTCGTATACGTATTTACCCAAATGTTCAACATCCTGCATGACGGCCTCGCCCTCAACGGGCGCGTCTATCTGTTCGGGGAGCGGACGCTGCGTCTGGCCGAACATTTCGTCTGTGACGAGAGTGAGCTTGTCGGGGCGTTGGAGCAGCACGTCAAAGGCTGGTTTGAGTTCGAAGACGGATTCGAAGACGGAGCGGCGACCCAGGATGTATAGGCCTAGACGTGCACGGGAGAGCGCGACGGTTAGGCGGCGAATATCGCGGAGGTAGCCGATGGCGCGGGTACGGACTAGGGAGAGGATGATGTCTAGAGGTACGATGTTAGCATGTCGGTGAGAGATTAGGAAGTCATGAGGAACTTACAGTCGTTTTGCTCACCCTGGTATTTGTCGACGGTGGCGACGATGCGTGGACGTCCGAAGAGTGGGTTGTTCTTGCATTTGTGGCCTAGGACATCGTTGATCAAAGACTTTTGGCCCGCGTATGTTGTGAGGATGGAGATCTTGTTTGCGGGATAGCCTAGCAGACGCATGTACATGTACAACGCAACCGCATATTCAGCCTCTCCTAGGTTGATCATCCAGTGAGGCGTGGGTTGGTCTTCACCCTTGCCCTTGTAGTCCTGTACATCAATGAACTGGTATTCGTGCTTGAAGCCGGGGTTCGCGATCTGGAATTGGGGTTCCTTGAGAACAGACGGCAAGTTGGAGAGTGATGGGTATCGCCACTTGTACAATTCCGCAATGGATGGGCGAGCACGACCTTGCTGGTCAAGCATAATGGTTGGTACACCAAGACGGACGAGTCGCTGGAAAAGGGATTGCTCAAGGTTGGCATATTGTCGGAAAGCAAGATTCTGGATAACGGGCGAGTTCTGGAGATGATCACCACAAAGGACAATGCGCTGCAAGGGCAGTTCGCCATTCCGTGGGTTTTGCAGAGCGAGTGGGATGAAGTTCTCGATTTCGGTAATCTGGGCGGCTTCTTCCATGATAACATTGTCGTAGTGGAAGCCTAACGAAGCAATCTCCTGTCTTCGCATGGCGGCATGTGTCGATGTCATCGCGATGATGCGGGCCTCCTTCACCAGTAGGTAGTTCGCCTTGTCTCGTGGGTTCCGCAAAATCTCGAATGGACGGATGTCCTCGAGCTCAGTAAAAATCTTCTCAACATGACGATAGCAGCCATGCGCAATCTCAAGAATCTCTTCACGGTCGGCTGCCTGAGGGAAGAGCGGTTGTGGAGCGTTTGAAAAGTAATCTCTGAATGGGAACTCAGCGATTATTTGTTCGACGCTCGTCTCTTCCGATGAAACACTGTCCCAATACTGCGTCCACGCTGGCTTCACATAGACAAGATTGAAGTAATCTGCAGTCTCGCACGAGCTACCGTGAGCACCGGGCGCACCGAAGTTCTTGGCAAGACGGTCAACTTCAGAGAGGTAGTACTGTCCTCTCTCGAGGAAAGATTCTACTCTGCCATGCTTGCTGTAGCTTGCACTCGTTTCAAGATCTTCTTCACCATGACCGAGACGCAGCAGGTGACGCTCATCAATGTCAAGAGCGACGATTTTTTGGAAGAGCTGGTTAAGCGCCTGATTACTGTGTGCGATGAGTAGCGTCCGCTGGTCCGGAAAATTGTGATATATATTGGATATAATCTGGGTCGCAACGTCCGTCTTACCGGTGCCCGGGGGTCCGAGCACCACCGTTAGGCCAGGCTGGGTCCCTGAAGTAATGGCTTCAACCTGAGCGGGCGTAAATCGCACTGAATTCAGCTTCGGTGCATCTGCAGGGTAAGGTCCCATGTTCGGCGGTTTGTATGAGGACACACGGATTGATTCGTGCCTGGGCGGTTTAACCTCAACCTGGCCGCGGCGCCGCTTTTTCGATGCTTTTGGTGGTGCAACCTCTGGTTCAGCTGCAGCAGGGAACTGCACGATGTACGGGGGTCCAAAGGATGTCTGTGCTCCCTCCTGTGGTTCGATAGACTTGCCGGGCATGGACTCGATCAGGTGCTGCCAGTCTATGAAAGTGTCGCGGTAGTCTATTGAATACAGGCGGTTAGGGAGTCGCTTGTAGGTTGCTGATGCAGGATCGCCATAGCCTAGAAAGACTTCCTGAAGCCAAGATGGTGCTGGGATGTCGGAGAGGGTCAGGCGCTTAATCGATTCGAGGATGGGAAGGAAGTTGTTTTCCCGCCCTTTCCGACGTACGATCAGGTTCATGTGCTCGTATACGTTGGGCCTTCCTTCTGCAGCCTGATCCATGTCGACTTTGTATTGCCTCGCGTCGATGTTGACGAGGAGCCGCCGTTGCCGTGCCCTAGGCCCGAAGCCATCATCGCGGGTTTGTTCACGTAGAGGTCGTCCTTTGTCGTCCTGGATCTGAACCACCTGAGCGCACCTCATCCTGTGCAAGCCAAGTTGCTCACCGGTTGTAGATTCGCCGCGGTGGCCATTTCGCATAGGCACGTCATCATTACCTTCGACGACGAGAAGGAACACAACATCATCCGGCCTAAGTTGCTCCCAGTCCTTTCGCACTGGAGTCTGAAGACGACTCACATCTAGGATGATCTCTGCTCGTACATATGCTGGGTGCTCTTCTCCAACCTTCGAAGGCGCCACGTCGACAATAGCAGGCTTCATGATGGGCAACGACATCTTGGAAACGCCATTGAACTTGGTGTTTGCACCCTTGCCTTTAGGTTTCACGCGCTTGATTACATCCTCCATGTCCTTTCGAATACCGTAGAACGACTCAGCGCGGTACAAGATGAACGACCTCCACAGGAAATCGCCCATGGTGAGATATTGGAGGTTCAACTTCGGGATGGCAAGGGGTCTTGATCCGTCGTAGGACTCATTTCGCAGAAATGTCGTCTCGTAAAGCACCTTTTCTGTCGGGAGTACTGGCATATCGCGAACATTGTCCTTGAATGTAGGGCGTTGCTCGACGAGTGTGACCAAAGTCTCCATGTAAAAGGCCCGATCTCGTACCAAGTATGTTGTGTTCGGGTACTCGGTCCGTAGGCCCATGAGAGAGCAAAGCTCGACGAGTTCACTATCGCTCAAGGTGCGAAGATGACCATCCAGTTCTTCCCTGTTACCAATACTGCTGTAGTTTGCCAGAGCCATAAGCTGAAGCTTGTCTTGAAACGCAGCATAGCCAGTCCGTTGCAGTTTCGCCAAAATGTCGTAGTGCTGCTGGTCGTACTCCAGCTTGGATAATTGCCGGCCAGTCTGATCCTCGATGGGGAAATTTGTAAAGTGGCTCAGTAGGTCAAACATGTCGCGGAAAAGGCCATTGTCCTCGTCGGTGTACATTGGCGACAGTCGAATCGCTGGAAGCATGTTCAGATCCTGGAGAAGGGTGTTGATATATCGTCGTGTTGGCAGCTGGCTCTGCAAGTCGACCAGGAGCTCCATGAAGCGCTCGCAATAGGATATGTTGTCCCTCATCTCTTCCCTAGAATTGCTGTTGTACAGTCGGCCTATAAAGTCGAGGAGAAGTGTGTAGATCCACGAACGCTCGAATCGTAGCCTTGTTTGCAGCGCATCATCTCCAGCATCGAAGCGCTTTGATGAAGCCCTCCATGCCTTGCGCAGCATGCTGTGTTCCTCAAAGTACTGCTCGCGCACAGCATCCGAGTGCAAGTTCTGCCATATCGAGATTCCGACCAAAGGGGCGCACTCCTTTCGCACAAGGCCGCTATCGAGCGATTGGAAGGCGCCGATGACAAAGGATATGAGCTGTGTCCGGATCTTGCTGGGCTGCGAGGGATCTACGGTCATGGAAAGGATGCGGCGAAAGAAGGATGAGAACTCGGCAGGCTTGCTAGCAAAATGTTCTGCACAGTCGTTAGCACAATGCCCCTATACGTGCAGCAATAAAGCAACCTACCCCATGACGACAGATTCTCCCTCCTCTTGACATTGACCATGAGCGCCAGCAGCAGATGATGGTAGTTTGATGCATCCTCGGTGAATCCAGGCCACAGATATCGCTCCAGCAGCTGCAGGTTCTCCAGAATCAACAGCGACGAATAGGCAAAGTCGACCTTTTCCAGTTCGTCCCATAGCTCTTTCTTGACCACGTCGGGTCGCACCTTGGGCGTCTTCTTGGCAGCCAGCCAGTTCTTCCTCGCTACCTGGGCGAAATGGTTTTCCCCGTGCAAGTCGGCGACAGTTGGGCGTTGGTGGGCGTTTCCAGCATCGGTCGCATGCGCAGTGGACGCGCCATCCATGGCGCTCGACATGTTTAGCCCCGTCGGCTTGACGTCCTCCATGTCGTCGACCTTCATAGCCATGTTCACAAGTCGTTATCGTATTGGGGCGCACGTGAAAATCTCGGCGCGCATGGTTCACACGCACAGGTTTCGATCGAGGTCGTGACGCGCTAAGAAACAAAAGTTCTGGGGACATTGCGTCGCGCAACCAAGCTGCGAGGGACCCATGTGCCAAGACATGGAACCTCACCCAAGAGCCCGCCCATAGCACCCACGCCCGCAGCGACAAGCAACACCATCATGTCTTCGCAGGACGCCGCAGTCAGGCACCAGGCGGTTGTGCCGGACAAGATTCCCACTGGAGAGTATCCCGTGAGTCAATTGCGCCTAAGGCGGGCCTGCAATGCGTCACAGCGACTAACACTCGACAGCTCATCGACAATGACCCGTACGCTCTCCCTGCGCCTTGGAATGCTCGCGGATACTGATTCTAGTCAAGACACTTCACCCGAGTGATGCGGTACACCCGCCCCTCTGACTGGGCCCAGGGTGCCGCCCTTGGAGCCTTGAGCCCTGGACTGATGCTCTACTGGGAGAAGGTTTCGCCCTCCATGGTTGGCAAGGGCGGCTTCGCACCCATTATGCGACTCAGCGGCGCTATTGGACTTTCTGGGTGCTTCATATTCGCCTACTCTCGATCATGCAGTACGTCCGACATGGCCCAGACCCCCCGCAGCCGAGGCTGGAGACATGCACCCTGCTAATACTAGCCAGTGCGATTCTACGGCGCCCGCGAGAACCGTCGCGAGGTCGAGATGGACATGCGCGAAATGGTCGACAAGGTCAAGAAGGGGGAGTCCCTGTACGGAACCACTGAGATGACCGAGTACATGCAGGGAGTTGCGCACAGAAACTCACGCTATGCTGCTACATTCTCACATGTCCTCGCATGGCCAAACTTCGTAAACCATCCGTACCATGGAGTCGACACTGCCAAGTACTACCGACAGGCTGAATTGGAGCTCGAGCAGGAGAGAGTTGCTAGGGAGGGTCGGTAGAGACAGGAAGATGGGAGAATTGACTTGTGTGGCTGTATATAACTTCAAGAAGCCAAGTCGGGAAGATTTATCTTGCAGTCTTATTTGCATTCGCCTTGCTCAGTCTCTAACTAACAGGCCATCATTTCAGCCCCACTCGCCTCTCTGTACTTGCTAATCCAGTCGTCCCTGTTGATGTAAGCGCCGCAGATCCTCCTCTTTCCCGTGAAGCTACTTCGTCCATGCAACACCCTCCAATTATCGAAGATCAACACCCTCCCCGGCCTGAGTTGCTCCCAATACTCATTCTCTTTTTTCTTGAGGAGCGCATCGAACTTGCGCGCAGCGCGATACCACGTCTCGACTTGCTCTATCGGGAGATCAATCCAGGCACGGTCTGAAGAGTTCCATCGTACGCGGACGAGATCGCCAATTGTCGGGTCATGTTCGAGCACCGGAAAGCTGCGGTAGGGTTGAATAGATATCCCCTCATTCCCGGAAGCGTGTGCATGAACTTTTACCGTGGAGAGAATTTTGTATGCTTCCGGGTCGGTTTCAAGGAGCTCAGCGGCCACTTTGAAACCGTCGACAAGCAGGCTGGCGCCACCTTCACCATCCGTGTGTGAGAGCAAGTGGAAAGCTTGCAAGCCTGCGGGATCGGAAAAGTACGTGGTATCCGTATGTGCTTCAAGAGCAATGTTGGTATATGCAGTGTCCTTGCTCGCCAAGTCGGACGTAAAGTCATAGAAGCCGCCGTAATGAGTCTGGCGTATAAACGCAATCTTCTCCAGTAACTCCTTCGTCATGTAGGGGTCTCGATAAGGCGTATCATCGACATAGCAGAATCCGTACTCGCGCAATAAATTGGTAAAAGGTCTGATTCTCCTGTCCATGTCGTCGTAATTGATCATGGGGGGTCTTTTTCCAATTGTCGAGTCCCAGAGAACGACGTTGCGTAGACCACGGCTAACGAGAGCCTTTGACGCTGGATGTGCAGTCGCCCGGTGCAGGAAGTCACGCGAATATGTACTCCAGTGCCCGTCACTCCATTCAATCTTGACTATCATGTCGTCTTCCACCCAAATATGCGACTTGATCGAGATATCCTCTGGGATGGAGAATGTATCGATGAGCCGTTGTTTAGTAGCACTATGCTTACACTTATCGCACTGGCAGTTATCCCGGAGCCAGATATTCGGTACTACTCTGCCCGTCACCCTCGTCTTTCCTTCTGATACTTTGACGCTGGCGTTCTGGAAGTTGGTAACAGTCTCGCTAAAGGGCACTCTGTTAACGTGGTTTGTGTTAGTTCCATACGGGCCCTTCAATGGTCCCTCGGAGATATGGGTCAATTCATCTGTTAATGATCCTCTAGCCTTTTTCCAGTTGTCGCCCGAGCAATAAACTCGCATATCCTTGCGCATGGAGACTTTCTGCTGTTTTGTCGTGCCGCTTGGTCTGAAATAGTGAAAAGTGTTCTGACAAGTCAATTATTCATCATAGCCCGTAGCCAAAGGACGAGACTTGACAAACCTGAGATATTGACCATGCGCCTACTGCATACGGCTGCGTGACTTTTGGCGTCCTAGCCGCGCACCGAAACGTTCTTGCCCTGAACATAGCGGATGCCAAAAAAAGACCTGTGTCGAGATAGTATGGGCTAAAATCATATAACGTGCCCAGCAAAAGCGCTCTCTTTGTCTTTGTCTGGATGTCGTAACGGAACGACTTCGGAGGGTGTCAGGATCCGATGTAGTTGTCGGGCAACGACGGACCGCTTCATGCAACACCAAAAATATGCCGAGGATAGCCACTCAAAAAAACAGAAGCATAAAAGAAAGGCAAAAAGAAACGACACCAGTGGGACTCGAACCTGATACTGATATTAGCACAATGTCCAGATCATAAAGAGGTGATTGAAGATACGTACCCACAATCTTTGCCATATACCGAAAACCGGAAAGCAACGCCTTACCATTAGGCCATGGTGCCTGCTTGTGTATTCAGAGGAATTGGATAGAAAATTTGAGAGGTAAGATGTATAGATAGTAAAGATAAAAACAGCTTTCAGAAACTGCGGGTCATGGTTGTGTGCCTGCCCCGCGATGCCCTCATCAAGGTCCCCTCCTTCCTCACCATCCACACTATACGTGGGCCGTATAATCATACTCATGAAAACCACACGCATCCCACATATGCACACTTCATACAATAGCTCATAATATCTACATATAAAGCCCATGATATCGTGACTAACGGTAACGCGACTGATCGGCGTATCCAGATGCGCCAAGACCCGACCGGAGCTAAGGCCTCAGTCACCTTCTTCCGTAATCCATAGCTGCCTCTGGACAGCTCCACAGCAACGCCGCATCACCACGACCTTTTTGTCGGCCATTATCTCCACAATCGCTACTGCATCTACCTGCTCGTCTCCGACCACTACACACTACACGAATTCGCTCACCCCACACCGCCACCATGTCTACGCTCGAAGATCTCGACGACCTTGAGCGCCACGAGAAGGAAGAGAAGAAGGACGATGACAAGAAAGACGGAGGCAAGGACGGAAAGAAGGCCGATGGAGATGCAGACATGAAGGATGCAGAACCAGAGGAGGAGCAGCTCGACGAGGAGATTCTCAACTCAAGCACACGAGACATCATCGCGCGGAGGCGGTTGTTGGACAACGACATGCGCATCATGAAGAGCGAGTATCAACGGCTTACCCACGAGAAAGCGTCGATGAACGAGAAGATCAAGGACAACCTTGATAAGATTGAGAACAACAGGTACAGCTTCTTCTTGCAGCACGTTGACAAACAACGGTATGTAAACAACATCTAACATTTTGCAGGCAACTACCGTATCTCGTCGGTAACGTTGTCGAAATCCTCGATCTGGACGTCACAGCAGAGGCGGCAGAGGAAGGTGCAAACATCGACCTAGACGCCACCCGTGTCGGCAAGTCTGCCGTCATCAAGACATCGACGAGACAGACGATATTCTTGCCCCTCATTGGTCTAGTAGACCACGAGAAGCTCAAGCCCGGTGACCTCATTGGTGTCAATAAGGATTCATATCTCGTTCTCGACACACTACCCGCAGAGTACGACAGTCGAGTCAAGGCTATGGAAGTCGACGAGAAGCCAACGGAAAAGTACACCGATGTCGGAGGTCTGGACAAGCAGATTGAGGAGCTTGTTGAGGCTGTCGTGTGGCCTATGAAGGAGGCTGAACGGTTCAAGAAGATCGGCATCAAGGCGCCCAAGGGTAAGCATCATGAGCTGTCGCCCCATACACTTTACTGACAGAATCAAGGTGCGCTAATGTACGGCCCCCCCGGTACCGGAAAGACTCTTCTGGCACGAGCCTGCGCTGCACAAACCGACGCGACTTTCCTCAAGCTTGCCGGTCCACAACTCGTACAGATGTTTATAGGTGATGGTGCGAAGCTAGTCCGAGATTGCTTTGCCCTGGCAAAAGAAAAGGCTCCGTCAATCATCTTCATCGATGAGTTGGATGCCGTCGGTACAAAGCGATTCGATTCCGAAAAGTCTGGAGACAGGGAAGTTCAGCGAACTATGTTGGAGCTCCTTAACCAGCTAGACGGTTTCGCATCAGATGACCGCGTCAAGGTTCTCGCTGCGACGAACCGAGTCGATGTCTTGGATCCTGCTTTGCTCCGTTCTGGACGTCTGGACAGGAAGATTGAGTTTCCGCTACCAAATGAAGAAGCCCGCGCTCAAATCATGCGTATTCACTCCAGGAAAATGACTGTTGACGATGCTGTCAACTGGCAAGAGCTGGCACGTAGCACTGACGAGTTTGGTGGCGCGCAGCTGAAGGCTGTGTGCGTTGAGGCTGGTATGATTGCTCTACGAACAGGTCATCAAAAGATTAGCCATGAGCACTACGTTGATGCCATTGCGGAGGTACAAGCAAAGAAGAAGGACACGGTCAACTTCTATGCCTAAGGGTTAGTTGGGTGGGTGGCTTGGCTGCTTGCATGCGTGCGCTTCATGCCGGGCTTGTAATAATACTTCCACTTCAGCATAGTACTATAGAGGAATGACGATTATGAACAACAAGGAGGAAAGCCACCAACGATGTATTTCATGTATTGAGGTACGCTCACACTTTTCGGGGCCATGCTGCTATCGAGGCTCTGATCATGGCTTGGCGCACCTCTACTTACGAATCCTAGAGACATAAAGACTGCTTCAAGTTCAGATGCAGTCATACTTTGCTTACCGGTACTTTACGAGCGTTGCAAATTCAAGTCTGCTGTTCAACGCTAACTGTGTGGCGGTTACCACGTGTCTGACTGTTGCACGATACATAGTATTTATTGTTTGACATCACAGAGCAGACAAAGATGTACTCCCTGGTAACTTATATTATGCGCTCAAAATATAGTAGCGACTCTGGTACCATGTTACAGTCGACCCGAGGCACCCCAAACTACCGCACCCAAAAGACTTCAAAAGATTATATCGACGCAGCAAATTCGCGACCGAGGAGAACCCCTACCCTTTACAGTACACCTGTGTGACATGAAATACGTGACACTGTCGTATCAGAAAAGATACAATGAAGGCGCCAGACATGCCCATTAGGAATAGAATAACGGGGTTTACCTACACTGTCGCTGTCAATTAAATAATGTCACCCAGATGGTATCTCCACGACTACGGAGTGTGTAGCCGTTCCTGTCAGCCATTCTTGCACGCTGTGCCTCGCCTCTTTCCTATTGGCCGGCTGCCCCACAACGGACTTCCACCGTCCAACCTCAACACTAAGCATCTCAAACCCACGCGCAAAATACCTCGATATGATAGGCTGACTGACATATTCCTTCTCCATAGCTTCGCAAGATATCTGGAGAAACACTCGGTTCTATTAGACCCTGCATATTCGCCTCTGGCGGTTGTCTACGAGGGGCAGTTCCGCAGTATACGAGCATCCCACTCTGCTCTCTGTGAAAGCTAGCCCCGCTCCGTTTACTGATCTTCAGAACATGTGGCGAGATGTATTGGCTGGCAAGTTCTGAGACAAGTAGGACGACGTCTTACGCAGCGGATGGTTTGGTTAGTATCATGTGGGTATGCATTGTGACGAACCGAACTCGGAATCAATGTTCGGAATGGTTCTCATATAACCCCTCCATGGCTGTTGTTACGATGTCTGGTTGAATTCTCTGTACTTACTCGCTTATCTGATTGCCTTTGTTTCGTTGTAAAGTCGCAGTCATGTTGAACTTTTCGACTTTTGTTCCCCGTGATCCATTCCATCAGCTTACTGTTACTCTATGCATCGTGGGCCTCTTCCTTGCCGCAGTCTTTGCAGTCGCTCTTAGACCAAAGAGCAAAGGACAAGCGCCCGGCACAGTTGAAGCCTACCTAAAGTTTGTCTATGGTTGTTTCCTGAAACCTCACACTGGAGACGGATCTGGAAGCCAGCAAGATGCTCTTGTACGTCAAGTAGACTTGGACGAAGATGTGAATTTGCTGACTGATTTCTAGGAAAGCTTCTACAAGGCACAGGCCGAAGTCTACGATGCCACACGCCTGAAGCTTCTCCGAGGCCGCGAAGACATGCTGGGACTGGTAGCAGCACAACTGAAGTATCGGACTGATGCCGGACTGATCTCACAACGCCCAGTCTGGGTTGATGTACGCGAAAGGAATCCCTACACATATCGTTTTTGCTAACGATGGGCAGATCGGTGGAGGCACCGGCCACAAGTAGCTGCATGTATGAAGATCTCAAAGTATATTTTCTAACAGAATCGTAGTGTCGAACAGATGAACGCGTACGTTCCTGTACCGAGCTTCTTCCACGCAGTCTGTAAGTAAAACAAACTTCGGAGTGTATTTATGTTGACAGTCACAGATGTCGTGGATCTTTCCCCCAGTCTTTGTGATATCGCGCGAAAGCGTTTCGCCCGTCTCGGGTGGACGAACGTCAAGGTCATATGCCAAGATGCTCGCGCCTTCCGCCTGCACGAACATGAATCACAAGCACACGAACGCAAGGAGATGGTTTCTCAAGGGCAGACAGTTCGTGATCTGGATGAGAATGCTGATGCTGGAGGTGCCGAACTTGTCACCATGAGCTATGCGTTGAGCATGATACCCGAGTTCTACCCAGTCATTGATTCCATCGATAGTCTCATGAGTCCCAACGGTGTTGTTGGTGTGGTCGACTTCTACGTCCAGAATCAGGTCGATTTCAAGGGCAGGAACTACATGGGCGGTGCTATCGATCGTCATTGCATGTGGCTCTCACGTGTATTTTGGCGGACATGGTTTGAAATTGACCGTGTCAATCTTGAGCCTGCACGACGAGTACGTTGAGTCTTCTTCGCGATCGGATAGCCACTTACCTGTTGTAGGACTACCTCGAGTATCGCTTCGGAACTGTTCTCAGCATCAACGCCAGAAACAGCTTCTTCGGCATCAAACTCCCCTACTACATCTGGGTTGGTTGCTCGAAAGAGTACGGTGCATCTACACAGAAGCTCGCTGAAATTGATGCCGCCGCCACTGAATCTCCCTACCTCTCTGCTCTCGATCTCCAGACAGGGGCTACCCAGAACGATGTCGGAATCCATTCGAAAGCATACGAGTCTGCTGTCGTCAACCTACAGTCTAGTCTCCCTCTCCCGGCTACCTGGTATCAGAACCACCACTGGCGAATTCACTACGACTCCACTCTTCCCAAGCACACTCGTTTCAACGACTCCTACATTTATGCTTTCACATGGGAAGACGATGTGGCCGACATGCGCCTCCTCAAACCTACTTCAAACGATGTCGTTCTCGCGATTGGTTCAGCTGGCGATAACATTTTGGCTTTCTGTTTGCAGAACTGCCGCCGAGTGCATGCTGTTGATCTTAACCCCTCGCAGAATCACCTTCTCGAACTCAAAGTCGCATCATTCACTGCTCTCGGCTACCAAGATGTTTGGAAGCTCTTTGGCGAAGGCAGACACGCCGACTTCCACAACATCCTAATCCAGAAACTCAGCCCTCATCTCTCATCCGAAGCCTTCCAGTTCTGGCTACACAATGGCCCTGCTGTCTTCGCTTCTCCCTCATCAAAAGGTCTCTACTACTCCGGTGGCTCTGGCAACGCCCTCGCAATCGCAGGCTGGCTCTTCCGCATCCTCGGCATGACCGAAGACGTCAAGAGACTCTGTACAGCCCAGACCCTCAACGAGCAACGCGAGATCTGGCAACGTTCCATCAAGACAGTCCTGCACTCCAAGATCCTCACCTGGGCCATTCTCGGCAACGAAAAGTGGCTCTGGAAAGCCCTCGGCGTACCCCCCACGCAACGCGCCGTCATAGAAGTCGACTTCCAAAAGACATCTGACTACGACGACACCAAAGCCCCTAAGCCCGACGCTGCCGCAGACTACATGGCCTTCCACGAGGAGCCCTCTGACGACGCCCTCAAATCCACCAGCGGAAACGCAATCTACGAATACGTCCTGAACACCTTCGAGCCCGTCATCAACACTACACTCCTCAGCACCTCAAACCACTATTACCTCCTCACCCTCCTCGGCCACTACACACCTACCTCGCATCCAACCTATTTGTCTCCCAAATCACACCTCAAGCTCTCCAAGCCCAACGCCTTCAACGGTCTACGTATCCACACAGATGAAATCTCAGAAGTCATTGCGCGCATGCGGCCAGGCACGCTTACCATCGTCGTCGTCATGGACTCTATGGATTGGTTCCCGCCAACGGGGACACAGGCGCTTAAACAGATCCGCGCATTGAACCACGCGCTCAAGGTAAAAGGAAGAGTTATGCTGCGGAGTGCGGGTTTGGAACCGTGGTATATCCGCGTGTTTGGCGAATGCGGGTTTAGTGTTAAGAGAGTTGCTGTAAGGGTACCTGGGAGCTGCATTGATCGGTATGTTGAAATTGCTTCCTCGTCCACCTTACCCTGCGTATGATGATGGCGTTGATTCTAATGTTAAACGCAGGGTTAATATGTATGCTTCGACGTGGATTTGTACAAAGGAGGTGGGTATTGAGTCGGAGGATGCCAAGACGCATTTGAGGAAGACATCGCTGGCGGAGCTGAAGCTTGAGGGACCTGCTATGCGTATGGATTAGGGCTGCTCTCTTTTGTAGCATGTTGGTGGTTGTCTTTTGTTTCTTGTCTTTAGCACCCCCAGGTCGTTTCTTTTGATGCTAGTCGTTGCTGTTAGATACCAAATTGCTCTTAAGAAGTAGCTTTATGCCGCGCAAAGTTTCTGTTGTTTCAGTGTACATTGTTGCTATTTACACCTTATCACCAGATGAAGCATAGTATGCTCGCCTCTTGGCGAGTACACACCTCAACATGACTCTAGTATGGTAGGGTTGAGAGAGAAGCGATTCTATTTACATATTTGTCTATACCCGAAAGATCCATATTCGTGTTCCATAGTTTAAAGAAAAGGTTCAGTTCTACCACCCAAACTTCTCAACTTGTATATCAACATCGCGCCCCTTGCGCATCAAACCCGCACACGTGTTTCTAACATCTCTTACCAAACCATCCGGGCCACTGACTACAACGCCAGCCCGCCCGTCCTCCATACTCACCCATTCCCCTACAAAAGCCCCGGCATCAGGCCTCCCCGCCAATGCTGTCGGTGGCGAGATGACGACATCCAGGCCCCAGTCTTCCAACTCCTTGAGCTTGTCTTCTGGGATCCAGAGCCGGTGGTTCGGCGAATGTGTGATCCACAACAACTTTACTTTTCTCCCGGACTTGCTCAACGCGGATTCAGGGTCGGCAGTCGCGGGGCAAAGAAGTGCGTAGAGAAGCGGGTACGCGACAGCGATGCCGGAACCGCCTGCGATGAGGATAGCCGTTTCGGAGGATTCTAAAAGATCAAGCGCCCGCGAAGAGCCATAAGGACCGTCGAGGCGAACGCGCGCTTGGGTCGTTTCGCGTGCGTGCTCGAGGAGTTTATATGAGAAGCCCGATTCGGATTGGGGGCGGATGAGTAGAGTGAGCCATGCATGTTTCCCCTGCTCATCTTCTGTTGTTTTGGGTGCTGCAGAAAATATGGTAAATGGGTGGGATTGTATGCCGTGCTTGCGGGAAAGCGACGGTACAGAAATGAAGATGTGGTCGTTGGGCTTCCAGCCTTGTGTCATGTTCTTCGGCAGTAGAGGGTTCTTGCGGTCATTGACTTCCCAGTTTGCAGAAAGCAGAACCGTCTCGTCGTCTTCTAATACAGTAAGCGTTGCGGGGTGTGTGCTTGATTTCAGCCACAGTCTATACACCAGGCGATCGACGAGGAAGATGGCCATCGAGATGCCGACGTAGGGTCTCGAAGAATGGTGGTGGAACCACAAGAAAATGAGACCGGCAAACTGAAGTACAATATGTAGCCCCAGGAATATCTCATACCACCGTTGCCGGAAGCTGCCCAAGCTCGTAAAGTAAATCAACTCGTACGCGATGAAAGCTGCCATACCAAGCAGTACGACGCGGTTGAACAGGAATTTTGCCAGCGTAAATCCGAGGTGTCGTAACAAGCCAAACCACACAAGCCACATGCCCACGCAGTGAAGAAATGCTTCCAGACACATGATCTCTCCAACTCTTCGATGAAAGATGTTTAAGCTTTCATACGAGTAGCCTGTCAACATCTTGATAGGTTGGTTCTTGGCAGCAAGGATGTAGAGCAGTGGTAGGTTTGCGATGAAGATGATGCCGCATCGGTCGGCAAAAACGAATAAGGACATAAAGGTCATCGACATGTTGTGGAAGTTGTAGAAGATGATCAGGCCGAGCCAAGCGAGGACGAGTAACGAGACAGCGTTGGTTGGGAGAGTCTTGTTGATGACGGGTATACGAGGCGGTTGATACTGCAGAAGAGCTTTGACTTCACAATACGGTCGCCAGATTCCCGGTCCGTTGCGTGATGCTCGTTGGGCAGGAGGGAGTAGAGGGCTCGATTCGTTGGTGTCTACTTTTTTCGCGGCAGTATTCGGCGGCGTAGAGCTTCCTTCGATGGTACTACTCGAGCTACTCCAGGCCTCTTCAGCACTGCTAGTATCATCGTCCTTCTTCCTCGTGCCAGCACTCCGTTTCCTCATATGCAGGGCCAACTTCTCGCTCCAGTGCCATAGTGTGAAGACAAGCAACACACCCACCAGCACATAGTTGTAAGTTGCGACAAACTTTCGACCATACAGAATCGCTTCCACTAATTTTCTAAATCGGGGGTCTTTTCCGGGGTCATCCGGGTCTACGAGGTCACCTCCGTCCGCGGCCTTGTAAGCATCGTAATCATGCGCATGCCACGGGGTTTCTGTGGATGCAGTCGCTGTCAAAGCGAAACGGAGAGCGTCGCGCAGCCATGGAGGCGTTGCATTCATGGTGGGAGATGGTGATGGAGGAGAAAGGATGCATGCATGTGATGAAGTAGCGGCATGTCAGGAGAGATAGTGTCTGTCTCAGAGTTTCCCCACAAATGTTCGTGTCATCCCCGCGATAAGCTTATCGGCTTAGCGTACCGAGGCACGCGTCGCTCGATCTGGACGGCATGGGATTTGCAGTTTACCGTTGCGCATCACGACGTGCATATTTTAGGTTGTGTCCTACTTCCTACCTGGGTGTCAAGCAATTAATAGTGTAGATAAACACCTAATAGGCGTATCGGGCGATTGCAGTGGTCTTCGTACACTAGTATGTTAAGTATTTTATGACTCCTGGGTGTTCTTCTACCTTTTCATGCTCACTTGTGCATCCACTTGGCCTTCTCTTTGGCTGCAAAAGCAGTCATTCCAATCTTCTGATCCTCACTCCCGAACAGTCCATGGAAGACCCTCCTTTCATACTCAACACCCTCCCGGATACCGAGGTCCTGGCTCTTGTTCACAACCTCCTTGGCAGCCTTGACGGCAATCTGGCTATAGGATGCGATCTTCTCTGCCGTCGCAATAGCACCGTTGACGCACTCCTCGGGTGTCTCGAAAACCTTGGCGACAAGTCCCCACTCGCCAGCTTGCTGCGCAGTAATGTTGTCGCCAGTAAGAATGACCTCCATGGCTCTTGACTTTCCGATCGCCTTGGTAAGACGCTGCGAGCCGCCAGCACCAGGTATGACACCCAGCTTGATCTCTGGCTGGCCGAAATTAGCCTTGGGTCCTGCGTACATGATGTCACCCATCATGGCGAGTTCACAACCTCCACCCAGCGCGTATCCGTTAACAGCAGTGATGAGTGGTTTCTTGAGGAATGTGACCAGGTCTGACCATGACTCTATGAAGTCGTTGCCGTATGCGTCGCTGAATGTGAGGTCTTTCATCTCCTTGATGTCCGCGCCTGCCGCGAAGGCTCTCTCCGAGCCAGTAAGAACAATGGCGCCGATAGACTTGTCATTTTGGAAGTCGCGTAAAGCTTGATTGATCTCGAGAATGAGGGGTGTACACAGCGCGTTCAGGGCTTTTGGGCGGTTGAGCTGGACTAGGCGTTGTTAGTCACAGCATACAACGACCGAAGGAATCCAGTATGACTTACGCAAACCTACACCAGGCTTTGGCACAGACACAAGCAGGTGCTCATAGGATCTCTCAGTAGCAATTCCCCTCACAAATCTGGGCCAACCGCTGGATCGAAACTGCGAGGCAACCCTCGGAGCTGATCGAAATGCATGCATTTTGAGTTTGGTGAATTGAGCCTTTTTCTTTTTGACCACGGCTCTTACAACGTATATTTACATGAGGACAGAAGTTAAAGATTCAAAGTTGCAGCCCACTCAACGGCTAACCTCGGTCCTGGGTCCCGCCAAAAGCTTCCCGTCCCGCATCAACAGTTCGCCTCACCCAACCGTCTTTGTGCTAGCGCCATGTAAGCCCAGCCTTGCGACCTCAACTTTCTGACACGATCACCATTAGGACTCGCCATTGCGCGAACACGACATTTCCCCCATACAACACCCAACCCCGTCGCTATTTGCACCGCACCTCCCATATTCACACACACAATCTACAAAACGCCACAAAGATGGATTCTCCGGAGCCCGATACCCCTTTCGCCGCAGTGACTGCGCAAACAACAAAATACGGCGCTGTGAGTTGGAGCCTCGCGCAATTCAGCTCCAGTCTGGAAGAGATGGAGACGGATATGTCTTCTTTGAAACGATGACGGCTGCTAATGCGCAGTAGTTGTTCCAAACATATCTCGACAAGGCGACACCATACAAGGGTTACCGATGGGGGGGTTCAGCAGCCATCTTCTTCCTCTTCGGCATACGTATATTCGTCGCGCAAGGATGGTACATTGGTATGTCTCCTATCTCTCTCCTATTCGGAACCTACGCATCCTACGGAATTTTGAGGAATCCCAGGCAACGACATAAACAACGACACTAACCCATTGTAACAGTCGCATACACGCTTGGCATCTACCTCCTGAATCTCTTCCTCGCCTTTCTTTCCCCAAAATTCGATCCCGCGCTAGAACAAGATGAGGGTATGGAAGATGGAAACGCCTCCGGGCTCCCCACAAAAGAAGACCAGGAGTTCCGACCCTTTGTCCGGAGACTGCCGGAGTTCAAGTTTTGGTACTCTGCTACCAGGGCGATTACTATTGGCTTTTTCTGCAGTTGGTTCGAAATTTTCAACCTGCCAGTCTTCTGGCCCGTGTTGGTTGTATACTGGTTGATTCTGTTTGGCCTGACGAGTAAGTTTGGTCACACAAGGGGTGGAGAAAGATGTTTGGGTACATTACTAACTAATCCCAGTGCGACGTCAAATTCAGCACATGATCAAATACCGTTACGTCCCCTTTACCGTCGGCAAGACGCGTTACCCAGGCGCTTCCAACTAAGCCATCTCGAGGCTATCTTCTTCACTTCGCCAGATCTCATATCCACCTTTGGGAGGGTTGCTATTAGCGGCTGCATTCTGGACATTGGGCGCGTTTTCTTGGATGATAGATCTTTGGGCTTCAAATTAGCAGCTAGGAGTTGTTCCGGGGCGGAAAGGGGCAGAGCGGTGGTACGATGACGGCATGCTGCATGATGTGTACACGCAGCAGGAGACAAGATGACTTATTATATTTAATACGGGGTTCCGCCCGCACAAATACTTTCACGAAAATCGATATACAAACACAAATCTAGGAATCGTCCGAACTACGAATTACAGATATCAATAATGTCCCGCTAACGCCAACCTATCTCTACACCCTGAACACAAAACGCCAATCTATGCAGCCTTTGATGATTTCCCCATCATCACCGGCCCCTAGCACTCTCCCTATTCTCCTTCTTCTTCTTAAGATACGCACTAATCTGCTCCACCTGGCTCACAAAAAAGCACCTGGCCCCATCATTCTGCCACACCAGCACGCCCAGCGCACTCGCATAGCCCATAACGTCCCTATACTCTGCATCGGAACTGAACTCGCGCATCAAGTAGCCCGGCGTGGTTTCCACACGCTCGCCCTCATATTCCCAGAGGCGTATTTGGTCCATGACGGTAGGCGGGATGTACGGTACGGTTTTTTGCATCTGTGGATGGGCGTAGGTGGTGAGGTAGGAGATGATTTGGGCGGATGTGATGCCAGATTGGACCGCTTTGTGGACGGATTCTTTTGTTAGTTTGCCGGAGACGAGGTTAGGGAAACGATGTTGAAGTTTGGTGAAGAGACTGAGGATGGCGATTTGGATGAGGCTGTTCGTGTAGGCGTAGAGTCTGTAGTTTGTTTCGATGATGATGAAACCCTTGTTTGCTGTTGCAGACGGTCCGGCATTGCCTTGGCCGGCTTGTGCAATGTCGTTTGAGGATGCGGACATGGCGCTGCCAGAATCCGAGGTCAGGGTCGTAGCAAGACGGGTTGGGTAAAAGGTTCGCGCGTTCTTGTCAGAACGGTAGATGAGACCCATTGAAGAGAGGTCGTCTAGCATCCGTAATTGTGTGGGAGAGAGGGTGGAGGTTGAGTAGTCTTGGCCTAGTTCAAGGGAACCAAGCATGAAGAGAAAGGCCAGGACTTCAGTTTCGGACATGCCGAGCTAGATTTATTGTCAGCGTCGTTGCGAGAAAACAATGGACAAGATAGGTGGACCTGAAAGAGCGAGTTGACGAGATACGTTACTTACTTCATTGGTCACCTTGAGATAAATGATAAGCAGACTCCAAACCTGCGCATTTGTCTCTTGCAGCACAAAAGAAAAGCCATCCTTGGTGATCCTCGGACTCCCATGTATCGTCCGCACAAGGTCGCCCGTATTCAGCAGCGTCTTGGTGCTCGGGCTAACCTCCGCTCGCGAGATATTGTCCTTTCCAAGTCCCGCTGCACCGCTCACAAGGTAGTACAAGATGCCCTCCCATTGTGCCCTCGAGTATTCATCCAAGAATTCCACGCTCACTCGCTTTCCGCTCTCTTCCTTGGTTGCTGGTACACCAAAGGAGCGATGAGTACCGGATCCTTCAATTGCATTTCGCAAGCTGCGCTGGAAGCCTGGGCTGAGGGTCCATGATAATGTGCCGTTGTCTTGTCGCGACGAGGTGATGATGTGTAGACGGTCGAGCGTGAAGGTTGCACGTTCCTTCTCTTTGCGCGCAGAGGGCTTAAACCAAGCGTCGAGGTCGGCGGCGGGGAAGGGCGAGGGCATGTAGAGCATCGCCATAACAATGGATTTGGCTGCAATTATTAGCTATGGCGCGACTTTGTCCGAGGCATGAACGCACCAAGATGCGGAAGCATGCAGCGGAAAACCGCCAGCACCGTTGAGGGTTGCTCATACAGCTTCTTATGTGTCGCCAAAGGCAGGCCTTCGAGGTATTCCAGCGCCTGGGTGGAAGATGAGGCCGACATCGTGGCGGATGTGGGAAAGAGTGAGTTCCTTTACCGCCGTATTATCATGTTCGTAAAAGGCACTTGAACAACGAGATAAGAGGCGTACGTCTGTCGCGCCCAAAGTTGGTGAAAGCAAAGTTGCGAGTTCTCAAAGAAAGTAGGTGACGCGCCGAGCAGGCGGAAAGCTCCCCCACAAATTCCGCTCCACCCCGGTCTAGCTTCCGAGATGCGTGAGCAACTACCGAGCGGAACAACTACATCACTCTACGCATATCGACAAAAAGACTTTGAATCATGCCAGCCTTGAAGTTTGTGAGATCTGTAAGCAATGAGACGTACATAAGGAGTATAAGATTGATATGCTGATCACCTACAAAGGTTTGGGAGTCGTTCCGGGCCAACTCGGGTCTAGAGCCAAGGTACATTGCACTTGTGAATAGCAACGAAAACAATACTGATTTGACACTTGCGAAGACTTCTAAATGGGGTAACCATCATCTCGGAGCCATATCAATATCTTCCTCTCATTGACACCAAAACAGCTTCGAGTCACTTCGGTGGTGCCCGGCCGCGTCAAGTTTGAACTGGATATACAAAAGGAGCATACGGCAAGCCCCTCTCTCGTCGGCTTTGCGTCTACTAACCCAATCAAAGAACCGACTCAACATCCTTCATGGAGGAACCATAGCAAGCATGGGTATGAGAATCGCCCAGCCTTGACTGCCGATCCGCTCGTACTAACCATCTACAGTCGACCTCGGTGGTTCATTGGCTGTAGCTTCGCGTGGCCTCTTCGCTACCGGCGTATCAACCGACCTAAACGTAACTTATCTTTCTTCAGGTGGCAAGATTGGCGATATGATCAAGGCTGAGGTGACGTGCGACAAGTGTATGTACTCTATCCAAAACACTGACACCTTTTCGCTGACAACTATGCGCAGTCGGGAAAACTTTGGCCTTTACATCTATCAACTTTAGCAATAGTAAAGGCGAGATATTTGCTCGGGGAAGCCACACAAAGTATGTTGCTTTGGCCTGGAAAGATCCTAACAATATTGTCGAAGAGCTGTCACCCAAGTCAAGCGAGAAAAAAGATTAGACAGGATTGAGTCTGTATAGATCATGGACTAATACGATTTTTCTGATAATGTGTCGTTGACACGCACGCATCCATCACGGCCATCCCACTTTCAGCCACCCGCCCGCCCTTTTAGTATTACAAATAGCACCCCTTCAAGCAAATCCGGATAATCTCGCATCAACTGCTGTGCCAGACGATGCAGACTGTATAACAGTACAGTGTTGGGTAAAACCTCATCCCAAAATGCCATTGGCATCCATATACTTCTATGACTCTTCCGAAGACGTCTCTTGGTCGTGGTCGGATAGATTGGTGTTCTTTGTCTCATCGGATTTGTTCCAGCCTTTACCCTTTATTAGGTTTACAAGGCTAGCCTTGCGCGGAGTCAGTTTCCTCATAGCACGTCCAAACGCCCCAACTCCCATGGAAGTCGTATTGTCGTCTTGCTTACGAGATGGCAGAGGTAGAAGATCGAGATGGTTGCCGAGCATCCTGTGGTCCTTCCGATATTTGTACTCAAACTCCTATACATCACAAGTCAGCAAAGGTATTCACAAGGACGAGGTATCACATACCCAAAGACTGTCTGCTGCTTGATCCGAAGTGCACAGATCGCGCAGTTGGCCGAAGATGTAGCACTTAGCAAGCTTCTCCTCGCTCAGCTTGCACTCACTCAGAGGGCCTGATGTCTGGTGATCCGAATTCAAGTCCAGTTCTCTTATCATTGCATCAGTACGCCATTGATCGTAGCGTGACGTGAATCGACCTGCCCAGTAGAGCGGCGGCATGTAATCCTTGACCTGGAAAACACTAATGTCAGCACGGTCTAAACTCCGTAGTCCTGGAATTGAATGCTCCATGCAGAAATGGCCATTTCCTACAGCGCATGGAGAAGTGAATGATGGGAGCGAAATTGGTACCGGAGGGAATGCTGTGAGGCTGATCGTGGATTCAGCAGGGTCCATGGACGTCGGCATTTGACCAGTTACATGGGGTTTGTGCATATTATGTGCTTCTTCATCGGTCTCAGGAATTGATGCGCATGAGGTTGCATCTGATACGATCCTAGTATGGCGAGGCTTGATGGGCATATCTGAACGAATGCGCAGTCGCTGGGTCATGTCCGACAAAGATGGAGTTCTGTACCGATCTGGTATGCGAGGTACAGGCGGAGCGAGTTCCCGCTGAGTCTCCAAACTGTGGAAGGTATGGGAGCGTGGGAGCCTGCTCACCTCATGTGTTGTCATTGCCAGTGCGCGAGAAGACCGCCAAACACCACCCAGACCATTCGGTGTTCCCAGGGTCTTCCTTTGTAGGTCTCTATCCGTATGTGATCGAGGTAAAGTAGGCGGCATTGGGACATCAACTGTCGGGGGAGTTGACGCCGCAGGAGGGCCTGTACGGCGAGGCTGCACCATAGGGCTACGGTTTGTCTTCGGAGATATGTCTGGTCCCTGCGTTTTATACTGTCCCTGAGGCTGGATTCGCTTCACAGTGACTGGCGTCCGCTGCACGAGGTGAGAGGTCAATCGTCTTGTAGTTGGCGGAGTCGCGAAGCTATGACTTCTATTCTGTGCAAGCGAAGAACTTGGTCCAAAAGACCTTCTGCCATTCAATGCTCCAGGTACTGCAAGTGATTCCCGCTTCAATGTTACCTCCTGGATCTGTGACCTTCTATGTGTAACGCGTTTGTCGATTGGGAAATTCTCTTGCAGGAATGGCTTTTGTGCCATTGGGGACGGGGCGGGTCTCTTCGGTCCTGGCCGTCTCGGGGCCATATACCTAGCTGGCTGTGACACTTGGGGTCCATTGACAAAATTCGGTGTCGTGCGTGATCGCAGCGGCTGCTGGGGTCTCACAGGAGAGCCATTGCTGGCGGCAGCGGCATGAGCTGCTGCAATTTGTTTGATCTGTTGTGCAGCATGATAGGATGCATGATGATGAAGGTACTGACGGGGGCTGGACTGGCGTCTTTCAGGCAACGGTGGACTGGGAGTGGGAATCTTCGAAGGTGCGCAGTCGGGTTTTGGCTGAGGCATTGCGGTGAACGACTGGGACTTGACAGCGCCCTCGACGTCTGCTGAGAACGATTCTTGTTCTGTCCTAACCGGAAGTGGAATAAAGCTCAGTGTGCGCGATCGCGGGAGTGGCTTAGGAGTCGCGTCGGCATCAACACTCTTGGATGATGTGTCGTTGGCGGCGAGCGTGGTAGGCTCCGTTGGTGAGTCGTTGGAGCGGGCGGGTGTCGTAGATTCATGCGTTGATGAGTGCAAAGTCTCGCACGAAGGGGTCGCAGTTGTGAGGTCGGTTGTGGACGGTTCAGTGGTAGCTAGTAAGGGCACATTCGCCTGGTGACGTCCGGGAGTCGTCTTTCGCTGCGAGAGAGGGTTGGAAATGAAAGCGAGTCCATGGCTGAGCTTCCTTCGGAACCGACTGCTGCCGTTCTCTTGAGGTTCGCTGCTCACTGGCTGCTGAGGCACCGACTTCTCTCTCCAGCCCACCATTTCTGCTGGTGTATCCTCACCTAGCCGCACCGCCTCCCACCGAGCTCGGATCTGCTCGAACTTCTGTCGATCTGGGTAAGTTAGCATGGCTGTAGTGTGATGCGAGGCGTGCGTGGAGAAGAAGTACTCACTTTTTCGGGGGTAGTGTTGAGATTGGTGTTTAGAGGTAAACAAGGAAAGCACGAAGGAGCCGGTCGTTCGCAGCAGCACAACGGCGCAATTACAACGTCATGTGACAGAAACACGAATTTGTAAGATGAAAGACAGTGGAACCATGTACTGGTTCTGAATCATGAAAGCGATAGCTGTTACAGGTGTATGATGCACCCGGGCGACATAAACCACTTGACATACTAGTGTACAAAAGTCACTGTAGGCGCCAGACACGCCAACTAGGTGCTTACCCATACTGTCAAGTATTCCGTGTCACCCAGATGCCCGACTGATACTGCACATGGAATGACCTCGTTAAGTGGCATAAGGACGATGGGTATTCAACGCTAGAAACAACAAACCTGGGATACCTTCTATGCAGCCTATACCAGAGGCCTACTCCGAATCGCTATCAATAACAAATCCTGCTCTCATATTCCGCGCCGCTGGCCTTCGAGCAACAGGCATTTCATCCTCTTCATCATCGTCCGTATCCGCATTCACCATGGCAACATCTGTGGTCTTGGATGCGTTTTCCGACAGTTTCCTTGGTGTACTGGCTTCACTAACTGCTGCAGCGACAGCGTTCTGTGACGAAAGCGGCGTGTCTGTGGTCTCTTCCTCATTTTCGTCGTCATCATCTAGAATGTCACCAGCAGCCTCGGACTGAGCCCTACTGCTCTCAGCATCTCCCATGTCTTCGTCACTGTCATCAAATGGTGCCTTCCGTCTCTTGGTCTTCTTTGCTGGAGCATCGGCTTTCCTTTTCTTTGAAGCAATAGGCTCCACTGTTCCAAGTATGTGTGACTTCTTGTAAGCCTTGAGGTTCTCTTGCCGGAGCGCCTCCTCTCGTGCGAAGAAGGCAGCGTCCTTTTCAGCATCCCAATCCTCATCATCGGAGTCGTGCACATATGTAGTACTTAGAGCTGCGGCTTGCTTTTCGAGTTCTTTCTTGCGGCGAGCCTCAGCCCTACGCTCCTTCTCATCATCATCGAGCTCGCGCGGTGTCCGTTCCCGGCGACGGCGCTTCAGTTTCTTCCGGGGACCATCCGCCTCCCGTGTGGTAGCCCCACCTTGTGCATATTCTCCATGGTCCTCCTCTGACTGATGATCTATGCCATCGGAATCATCGTCAAATTCTGCACGACGAGTCGAGGGTTGCGCCACTGTTGTCTTGCTGCGAAGCATATCTTCCGGTGCTTTGCCATCCTCGTACGTTGGCGGGTCGAATTCAAACTTGCGAATGAGATCAATAGCCTCTTGCAATTGTGCAGATGTGAGGGATGATGGAACGATCCATGTAGCGTCTGGGTCGTGATGTTCTCCCAGCCTTTCGAAACCCACTAGGGTCATGAGTAGTCGTAGTTTGTTGTCTTTGAACATAGCTATACGCCGTTCTTCGGTGTCGTGCTTGATTACTAGCCCTCATTAGCATACTTTCACATACATAGAAGACCCAACTTACGGATTGAGGGAGGCTTGGTTGTCTCGGCCTCTGTGTTTTCAGCTGTCATTTCGCCCTCGGGAGGTTGTACATCTGCAGTCAACATCTTCTGTGCCTCCCCTGCTTCTTCCCATGCTTTACGCTCTTCGGCTGCTGAGGTGAGAACTTCCCGTACCCATCGGATAGCATCGGACTTTGATTGGTTCACAAGCACACTGACAGCAACACCAATCTGTTCGGGCAATTCTATGCCAGGCTTAACTTCCAGCTCCGCGGGCGCTCGTGGTGCTTTGACAGTGACCTCGCGGTCGTATCCGTGCTCAAGAAAGAAAATCGTCGCTGGGATCTTGCTGAACAGCATCTCCACCACCAGCTCCGGTCTTTCCTGTACTCGCTTGACCACGTGTCTGAAGAAGTGCCTCACGAAGTCGTCCCACTCCCTATAGGCAGGAGACTCGGGGTCAAGACCTCCTGGGCCCTTTATCATTTTGTTGAACAACTGCAAGATATCGACTCGGCACAACAAAACACCCAACTCCATCTTGAAAGCGACACGATGGAAGAAGCGGTGAGCTCGTTTCAGTTGTTCTGTGTTGAGGTCATTGAAGTACTTTGCAAAGGCCACGAATGTGTCAACACTGCTCTGGTTCACAAACTTGGCTGAGAATCTCGTGAAGTCGAACTTGCGCTCCGAGACGGTCTTCTGAGCTTGTTGGATGTCTTCCGTCTCGGAGACATGACCCTCTTCCTCTCCCTCCTCGCCCTGTTTATCTGCCTTCTTCTTCTTGATGTTTCGTGCCCTTCGCTTCGATCGAATCTGCATATCGACGTTTTGCTTGGCATAGCGCTCTAGCATCCGCAAAAAGACGTGTGAGAGCTCCGTGACTGCATCCAGATAACCGAAACCTTGATCCTTGTATGATCGCAGGATCGTTACTATGCGATCGTGTGTCGACTCTTCGTAAAATATACGATTCTGGATGTTTTCTGCAATTTCTTGGTCGTCCTCGAGTACCGACTCGGACATTTCATGTACAGTGAGTAGGATTTGCGTAAAACACTTCAATCCAGCGTTGAGATCTCGCCACGCCTTCTCATCTTGACTTGTTTGCATGAAGCGATTGAGCAAGATAAACGTCTCCTGATTCATCACTTCAGCTACCAGTCCGTAGCTTTCGTCCTCCGCGGAGAGAACTTCAGGGCTTTTCGGATCTGCGGCCCTCTCCTTCATTGTCCGCCGTCGTGCACACTCTGCTTTTAGGAACCATGATACAAGGTAGAAAAATTGCCTGGAATGCCGTGTCTCCACACGTTCGGTTTCGCGTTCGATCGCTTTGCGAAGATGGAGGAAAAGTGGATTGAACGATGAGTCAAGAAATTCCTCAACAAAGGCCTTGATATGCTTTCGTGCTGAGGTACTCAGTGATACGGGCAGGTCAAACTCTTCTCTTTCCTCATTGCCATCTTGCTTGCGTCCAGGTCGCCTGGGCTTATTCCACTTCTTTGTCGCGTCCATCTTTTCCATACTGGCCTGAGCCTTACCCAGCACATCCTGACCAGATATAGTTGTGACCTTTTCGTCATCCCGCTTGACCCAGATCATGGTACCGAATCGATTGTGCCGCGTCGGCGCATTACGAGCATGGCCTGCTAGCATAGCCTTCTCTTTTTGTATCAGGCTCTTCAGTTCATCCGCATTCTTCGTGTTGAGCTTCTTGTCTTCCATGAACAACTTCTCAGCGTCAATGCCCTTGAGCAGAAAGAATAAAATCTCAAGAACAATGACATCCTGACTAACAAAATCCTCCCCAATGCTAGATGCAATGCTCAGAAGAACCTGGAATATGTCCTGCTCTTGGAAGGCATCAATCGTTGCGGATCGGGACACCTCTGCTTCGTCGATATCCATGGGTGCACTGTTCGGGGGAGAGAGCATTGCAATGTTGCGTATGAAGTATAGAGCGATTCGGATTATGCCTTCGTCGCGCGGCGATCTTTCTCGGAGGGGCACTGCCATGGAGGGGAGCGCAATCTTGACAGCCGTCTGGAGAATTCTATCTCGATCGAACTGCAGAATCGCGCGCTTGTAGCCGATTTGTGCGAGCTGAATGTAGGGTCCATGTCGGTGGTGATTGACAGTCGCTTCGGTGGGGTCGATTTCGAAAGGCCATGTAAGAGGCACAAGCAGTTCCACTTGCAACGTTAGCAAGGCACCATGGTGGGAACAACCAAGACGCACAGGTTGCAACAGCAATTTTATGTTTCCATGCACTCTCCATTGCTGCCGGTGCTATCTTTGCCAGAATTTCCAAAAGATCGCCTTTGACGAGGTTTGCCTCCGCCATGCAACGTGCGACATCGCGCCGGTTGTTCTGCTGGTCGGCGAACTTCAGCCATTTGCGCAGATCCTTCAGGCATAGTAGAGCATCATGTCCGAGAGAGTAGGTGCCATCGTCGCCGATACCACCGAGCTGTGTGCGGTCAGTCACAGTTGTGTTACAGGGACATGGGACGTACGGCGGAAATTAAACTAGAGACGTGAGCGCGAACCTCGGGATTCACTGTATCCTGCGCCCAATCGTCTAGCGTAGTCTGAGGCATTGTCGTGGTTGACTTTCGACTTGCCGCGATACTTTGCAAGACGCGTCGTCGACGCGTAAAGTGCCTGCGGGAGCAAACCCGTCAAACACGCCAAGATAGGGCTAGATCTCGTACCTTCCCGCCGCCCGCCAACGTCATGCCTCGGCTAGACCCGCGACGGTTCTCATCGGCTGGAGAACGTTTGTTCCGCATCACATGTTTGTTCAACTTTCACTGTTTGTTACATGTCAATCGCATTCACGCAACATCATCATGTTCTCTGTCGCTTCAAAACAGGCTGCACGATGCGCACTAAGGCAACAATGCCGTACCTTCAGCTCGACACCCTCTGTTGGGGCTGCCGCTGAAGTAAAGAAGCTTGGCGTCATTGGCGCAGGGCAAATGGTATACTGGCACATAGCACAAAATTTGGCATGCCAGACTGACATACGTAGGGCCTTGGAATTGCTCTTGTCGCAGCACAGAAAGCCTCGGTACCAGTCCGATTGATTGACAACTCCCAAGCATCAATCGACAAGGGCCTAAAATTCGCCGACAAACTCCTCGAGAAAGATGTCGGAAAAGGCAGAATCTCAAAAGACGACGCCGCTGCAGCAAGGGAGCGATTGACATCCAGCACATCCCTCGACGACCTGACAGATGTCGACTTTGTCATCGAAGCCGTCCCCGAGATCCCCGAGCTCAAGCACAAAATCTTCTCGCAACTTGCCCAGATATGCCCCTCACATGCCATTCTCGCGACAAACACATCGTCAATCTCAATCACCAAGATCGCCGCAAGCACCACGACGGACCCAACCGATCTTTCTGCCTCGTCGCGCGTCATTAGCACCCACTTCATGAACCCAGTTCCCATCCAAAAGGGAGTAGAGATCATCACCGGCCTGCAGACGTCCCAGTCCACCATCGATACCGCCATCGCCTTTTGCGAAAAGATGGGCAAGATCCCCTCCAAGTCTGCAGACTCACCTGGCTTCCTTGCCAACCGTATTCTCATGCCTTACATCAACGAGGCCGTCATCTGCTTGGAGACGGGTGTAGGCGCCAAGGAGGATATCGATAGTATCATGAAGAATGGAACCAACGTACCTATGGGTCCGCTGCAGCTGGCTGATTTCATCGGTATTGATACATGCTTGGCGATTATGCAAGTGCTGTATCACGATACTGGCGATTCAAAGTACAGACCTGCAGTGCTGTTGAAGAAGATGGTTGATGCGGGTTGGTTGGGCAAGAAGAGCGGGAAGGGATTTTATGATTACTAAGAAACTGAAGCCATGATTTGTGTATAAGATATGGATATCTATTCGTATCTAGTGCATTTGTAAGCGATGAACTGGTGACATGTGATAGGTCACAGTGAAGCTAGATATGACTGAACTTTCCAGGCAGCCATCACTGATAGCAGCTGGGTAAATAATGCGATTGAAGTACATCGGATGAGTTTCTAACTGATACTTTTTGTCTTACCCAACTACAGAAGGAGATCTAATGCTTGAAGAGAAAGTTGGCTAAGTTCATGAAATCATTGTCTTTTATAATCAAGACTTGGTGACCGAACCCGGTCTGTCCATACATGAAACTCCCCGCCATACCAAACGCAATACCCAGTCGTTCTGTCCCGCAGCATGACTAATAAATCTATGATAGCTTATTTCCCTTTGCAAACTGACCCGTGTGTGCCTTCCTCCACTCTGGTAGGTTGTTGGCCTGACCCCGTTGCTCCTTTTCCAGGTCATCGTCCCACAGCCCCGAGCGCATCAAAGCCTCGCGGCCGCGATCTATCCTGTCCTGTTCTCGCGACGAAAAAGCCTCCCATGCCAGCTTTTGACCAATCGGGCTTCGTGTGATTTGCTTATTGCGATGCAGGAGCATTTGGTTTCTTGCGATTTCGTCACTGTTCGTGCTTTGGGGGGTTTTGAGAAGCGGGAAGTGCTTTCGAAGAGCATCGACACGGGGAGATGTAGCAATTGGGGGTCTGATGACTGGCACTTGAGGCTGTCCGTCGGTATAGTGCCGCATAAGCTTGTATTGGTAGGCTTCTCTGATCTCCTTGTTCTTTGGAAAGGGGTTCTGCAGTTTTGGAACCCATCGCCTAGCGGCGGCTACGCGTAGCTTGATCTTACGTTGTTCTTCCAGAGTAGTTTGTCGTTCTGGGATGGTGACTTTGAGGGTTGTGGTTGGCACGATCGAGATTGGTTGGTCCGGAGTTATAGGAGGCGTGGAATAGTATATCTCGCTCGACTTCGTGGAGTTATCTGCGTTTGAAGGTGATAGCTTTCGTCTCTTGCTCGAGGTTGAAGCACCCAAACTCGTTTTTGGTGTCGCCATGTTATCTATCGTTGGTGCTTCTGGGATTTTGCGTTTTAAGGAGGGAATGGAAACGGGAGTCGATAGAAGAGAAGCGGTGTGAGTATCGGTCGTGCGCGACGCTGGGCGTATTGTGGAACGAGTAGACCAACGGGAAGCGTAGAACTCGGTACGGGAGTCCATGTTTCTGGCGGTACTAAAGCGTGAGTATTGGTCTTGGCGTTTGTAATATGCGGAGATGTCTTTATCGGTACCCACTTATAATCGTAAGCAAGCCGGTGAGTTTTGTGGTGATGGCGAGGTTTAGAGATGCCGGCACGCTGTAGATGTCTTATATATTGACGTTAGTCTTGCTCTCAACTTCAGCCTGTGGGCAATATAGCTTTACCTAAGAGCGCAAGAAAGAGCGGTGATAGAGTAAATGAGCGTTGCGTGGAAGTTTTTCTGCGTTGATGTGTAAAGTGGTTGTAGAAGGGTGCATGATCAGAGCGCCGTCGCGTGTGTTTGCAAGCCGCACCGGTCGTTCTTCCCTGGCGCAGTCACTGAATAAGCACGTACCAGGTCTTTCGAGACTGGAGGCAGGAGCATTTTAGAACTCCGAGGCTAAAGGCAAGAGAGCCCTTGAGAGTGCAAAGATTCAACAAAGCCTTGTAACTATGATTGTTACATGAGACAATGAAATATGGCATTGTGAAGCTGTCACGCTGCAGTGTAAATTTGGGCCTTATCAGCCTCCACAATACAAAATATCGGTTTCTAGACTATATTTGGTATCATTCTGCCAATCTTCTAACTGTAACCAATCGCCAGCGATTACTTGCCCGTAGGTCACTAAAACTTTCCTTGTCTCACTCTTCCTCGCTCTCCGTGCCATCAGTCATCACCTCGCAACCGCAAGGCCACAGGTGAGCGACGGCATAGCCAGGATACTTCTCTAAAAACCCGCTGTACCATTTTTGCCACTCAACCCATGTATCCTTTGATGTCTGGTCGAGAGCTACACCATCATTGGACGTTCGGTTGTTGAAGCGATCTTGCTCGAACACCCTTTGGAACTCTTTGTATCTTTCCCAACTCGCAGAATCGTTTCTTTCCATTTGATGGCCGCGGCCGGTCCATATATCAGGATCTGCGATAAAATCGCCGTGGCGACCATGCTTTCCTGGTTTGAGAAACGGATTACTACGCGGAGCAGGAACGTTTCTCCCGTCGCTTGGGACTAGAACCAGTTAGTAAAGTGAAGTGAAGCAACAAGCCAAGTAGCATTATAAGCGCTTCGTATGTATGAAAAAAAAACAGAAGTATCGAATCTTACCTGTTGTCTCAAAGAGATGCATTTCACCATTCGGATAGGATATGGCTGTGATGACGTGGTGCTCTTTGGGATCCCAAAGGACAACCGAAGAACGGTCGGGATCGGAAGGGTTAAGGCCAGTCCTCCCCATAAAATCATGTCTGTAATCTATAGCGGTGTCGGTATTGCTATAAATGTTGATGTGAGCAAGCGTTTGTGGAGTTGATTGGCTCCCTGGCAAGCCCACTAGACCTTCCTCGCTGGACTGTCCAGTAATCGCTCCCGTATTTGTTTCGTGGTTACGCTTCTGATGCTTCTGAAGCGGTTGGATACTAGGTCCTTCGTCGGGTGCATCTCTCTTCCTACCGCCAAGGGGTCCACGCGCACGATCATCTTCAACGGTTTGGGGCTCAGTCGGGGTCGGGACCGCTTGTCTTGTGAACTGCTGGGTATGAGTTGTAAGAGCTGGGCTCACGGTCCCGGCAGCTTTGTCTGTCTTGTTTTGGCTGTTATCTGTGACCAAATTTGTTAGTGTCATCGCGTGGCGATGGAGTGAATACAGTCTGCACTTACTTGGCAAGGTCGACTTCTGATTGCGACCCAGTGCCAGTGTTTCCACTTCCTCGATCCAAGTCGCAAGCTTTAGCTTTGAAATTCCCTTGTTTATAAACTTTTGCTTCTTGTCGGCGCCGGCATACTGCTCCACGATGCCGAGTAAATTGTCCACGCTCCTGTTGAGCAAGGACCTTGCCAAGCGAGGGTGCTGCCTCTTCTTGGTTCCCTGACCATTATTATCGTACAGCGGTATTTTCAAGCCGTTTGCCTCATAGAATCTGACTCTCGTATCTTGATTCCTGATTCTAGTGGCAGCTGGCTTTGCTTTGTTGTTCGCGGTTGGTACACCATTGGGCTTCTTGGGTGCCTTGAAGCCAGATGCGCCGCTGTTGGTCGCCTTTTTCTGATTTTTCGCCTGCTTCTTACCCTGAGAGGACATTGCCATCGCGAGTGCAACCTCGTCGTCGTTGATTATGTTGGTTGTGCGATCCATGGTGTCGATTAGATTGTTTCGTGAATTGTATCTGTCTACGAGTGTGGAGGTTATGAGAAGTACAATGAGACAATCGAACAAAGTAGTGTAGAGTACAAGACTTTCGTTTGTCAAAGCCTGGTTCACAATGCAGCGAGGGCTATGAAGCTAGAGCACAATGCAAACGGGTCTTTGGTGAGACACAGTTACTAGCGCAGTGATTAATGAAAGCGCCTCCAGCTCAACCATGGTTGCAACTGTCAAGACTCGTCATGGCGTGCAGAACAGGACTGGGTCCGTATAGAGAGACAGATCTTGGGACACAACCAGCAATGAGCCACATTGATAATAAAGTGGATCGGCTGTGAATTTGTCTAGAAAACCCACTGCCGTTGTATACGGACGCAATATGTCAATCAACTTCAGGCTGATACAGCACAGTTGATCCCACGGTTCAGGACCAATTGCACAGCATGAGATTCCTTCGGTAAGGGGTATGGCATTTGCCTGTGGGCTATGAGATTGGGAATTTGTAGGCGCCTCAAGGGGGCCTGGTGTGCTTCAAGGTAGTTTTGAGGCCATGAAATGCACATAAGATGGTCCACATGACGGACGGAATAAAAAACGCACAGCAAATGAAATGAGATGTGGTTCCAAGGTTTGTTGAGGTAGCATTCCGATAAGTGCACGTGTACCACGGATATCGTCTTTTTCATTCGCGTCTGATAGGCAGAATTTTATCGCTACCAAACATTATTTTGAACCTGGAATGTGGAAACTTGAGAATGCCATGTCTGCTGGCAGTTGCGGCAGAACTTTGTCGCGGAAAAGTATAGCGGGTATATGTTGCACGCAGTAGCATGTTTGATTCTGCACATGCTGACTCAGGTGTGATGGACACCATTCACATATTTGAATCAGCGCTTGTAATGTACTGGCATACTTGAAAAGATGGGAACAAAGGTATAGTTGTTTCGGCACCAACAGGTGACTATGTCGGCGCCGGGATCATGTATCCCGTGACAGTTGTGAGGGTGTTGCGGCCGGCGGCTGCAGGTACGGCTTCTGCACATGCCGGCAGCCAAGCGGCTCTTTTGCAAGTCATACTGATAGGTCGGCACGCCCCGATCAGTTAGCTATCGGCGGTTCGTCGCCAAGGGACCGCAAATGGCGAGAGTGAAAAGGGAGTGGTATAGGAAGCAGGAATGCTCGCCATGGAAGGCGGAGGAAGAGTGCATTGACCGCCACGTGCGCTAACGATGCTTGGAGGGAAAGCCGCGATTCTGATCCACACAAAATTAACTACTGCCCCTCCATCATCACGTCCCGCACAAGCTGCACAAGCCCGACGAGGCGCAAATTCCAGGGAAAACACACGCGTGTCTCTGCACCTGCCCTTTGTATTTGCCGCCAATTCTTATACAATATTGCTGTTGGTGGGCGCAAGAACGGCGATAACCTCGACTAGACCCCCGCTACCCTCTCACCGCACCCGCCCTTAGCATTCCTGCCTGTGTCGCCAAAGTACCACGCAGGCCTCGACACGCCGTCGCCATCATGGACGTTGCCGGTTTGCGGGACCGGATCCGGGCGACCCTAGACGCAAATGCCGCCGTCAGACAGCAAGCCGAACTCGACCTCAAGCATGTGCGTGTTGGACGCAGCAGCCGCGGATATGAGACGGAAACTGACAAGAAGAATAGGCCGAAGAAAAGCCAGGTTTTCTCGATGGTCTGCTGAATATCCTCGAGCAGGGAGGAGAGAATGCCGAACGCCTATCGAGTAAGAACGCGCCTGCAGCTGTGCTGCTGCCCTATCAAGGCCCCATCACTGACGCCTGCCCACAGCCGTCGTCTACCTCAAGAACCGCGTATCAAAAGGCTGGTCACCCGCCGAAGAATACAGTCAGGCAACGCCTATACCCGAAGACGAAAAGACGGCTTTCCGTACCCGCCTGGTCCCCGTCCTCGTCGCTTCTCCGCCACAAGTGCGCATTCAGCTCATCCCTACATTGCAGAAAATACTCGCATACGACTTCCCGGCCAAATGGCCCGACTTCCTCGATATCACCATACAACTGCTGAATGCTGGGAACATAGAGTCCGTCTTCGCTGGTGTGCAGTGCCTGCTGGCCATATGCAAAATCTACAGATTCAAGTCGGGGGAGAACCGCGCGGATTTCGACAGGATTGTCGAAATGACTTTCCCACAACTGCTCAACATTGGCAACTCGCTTGCAGGCGAGTCGAGCCTGGAAGCCGGAGAAATATTACGGACAGTACTCAAGGTGTACAAGCACGCCATCTACGTAAGGAATCTCCGGAAAACAAGGAATAAGGTGACTGACTAGGATATAGCTCGACCTCCCCGCGCCCCTCCGCGATCAGCAAGTCATGGTCGGCTGGTGTACTCTATTCCTGACGGTCGTTGGCAAGGAACCGCCGGAAACTTCCCTCCCTGAAGATCTCGACGAGCGCGAGGTAAACCATTGGTGGAAGGCGAAGAAGTGGTCATACGCAAACCTGAACAGGCTCTACGTTAGGTACGGTAACCCGTCTGCGTTGGGTAAAAACAACGAGGTCGATTATACCGAGGTCGCCAAGAATTTCATCGCCAACTTTGCACCCGAGATCCTCAAGGTCTATCTCCAGCAGGTCGAAAAATGGGTTGGAAAGCAGGTTTGGCTATCAAAGGCGAGCTTGTACTACACGCTCAACTTCCTCGACGAATGCGTCAAGCCCAAGACCATGTGGGCTCTGCTCAAGCCGCACACGGAGAACCTCATCGCACATCTCATTTTTCCGGTACTATGCCAGTCCGACGAGGACATTGAGTTGTTCAAGGACGAGCCGCAAGAATACCTGCACAGGAAGTTGAACTTTTACGAGGACGTAACCGCGCCTGACGTTGCCGCGACCAACTTCCTCGTTACCCTCACCAAGAGCCGTCGTAAGCAGACATTCAGTGTCCTGAGCTTTGTCAACGAAGTCGTCAACAGGTATGAAGCCGCCGCCGACAACGAGAAGAACCCGCGAGAAAAGGAGGGTGCGCTGCGTATGATTGGTACACTCTCTGGCGTTATACTGGGCAAGAAGAGCCCCATTGCAGACCAGGTCGAGTACTTCTTCGTCCGCCATGTATTTCCCGAGTTCCGCAGTCCCCACGGTTTCCTTCGTGCTCGCGCCTGCGATACGCTAGAGAAGTTCGAACAGCTCGATTTCAAGGATCCGAACAACCTCATCATCATCTACCGGAACATTCTGGAATCCATGGCTGATCCGACCCTCCCTGTCCGTGTCGCCGCTGCCTTGTCACTACAGCCCCTTATCCGCCACGATGTCATCCGAAACAACATGAAGCAAAACATTCCTCAGGTAATGCAGCAGCTGTTGAAGCTTGCCAACGAGGTCGATGTGGATGCGCTGGCGAATGTCATGGAGGACTTTGTCGAAGTTTTTGCCCCTGAGTTGACACCTTTCGCCGTGGCTCTCAGTGAGCAGCTACGTGACACCTACTTGCGAATTGTGCGCGAGCTGGTCTCAAGAAATCAAGAAAAGGGCGAGGACAGCGAATACGGCGACTTCCTTGATGAGAAGAGTATCACCGCGCTTGGTGTCCTGCAAACCATCGGCACCCTCATTCTTACTCTCGAGAGTACGCCCGATGTGCTCTTGCATTTGGAGACTATTCTTATGCCTGTCATTACAATCACACTCGAAAATAAACTTTATGGTAAGCTCTTGTTTGGAATGATATCTCAACTATTACTAATGTCTTCATAGACCTGTACAACGAGGTGTTCGAAATCATCGACAGCTGCACATTTGCAGCCAAGAGCATATCAGGCACAATGTGGCAAGCTTTCGAGCTGATACATAGGACATTCAAGGCCGGTGCCGAACTGTACCTTGAAGGTATGCGGATTTCCTTTTTTATTCCCCAATGAAATGTTGCTGACAAGTCGTAGACATGCTCCCCGCGCTTGAGAACTTTGTCAACTACGGTACCCCAACATTGATCCAAAACCGCTCATATCTGGACGCAATTTTCGACATGGTCAGGACTATCTTCAAAGATGACAAGGTCGGCGGTGTCGACCGTATCTGTGGTTGCAAGCTCGCTGAGATCATCATGCTCAACATGCGCGGCTTTGTCGATGACTACATCCCAGAGTTCATCGGGCTGACAATGCATGTGTTGACAAACGAGGAGCCGAAAGTCAAATCCCTACGGATTCATCTTATGGAGGTGGTCATCAACTCCATCTACTACAACCCCGCACTGGCACTACACGTGCTCGAGTCAAATGGATGGACCAATAAGTTCTTCAGCCTCTGGTTCTCAAGCATCGACAATTTCACCAGGGTCCACGATAAGAAGCTGTGTATTTCCGCCATTTGCGCACTTCTTACACTGAGAGCGCAGGATGTCCCAGTCAGCGTACAACAAGGCTGGCCACGTCTGTTGCAAGGTGTCACACGCTTATTCCAAACACTTCCTGCGGCACTCAAGAGTAAGTCTGAGGAGTCCTGCTATCATGACCTATTAATGCTAATGGCTCTGTAGATCGTGAAGAAGCCAAGAAGGAAGACGCTTTCGACTACTCTGCTGAATACGAAGAGGAAGAAGGCGAAGAATGGGAACAAGAGGCCGACTGGAACAATGAAGCAGATGAAACTGAGGATATCAAGGACGAGAGTGCCGCTTACCTTGACTTCCTTAATGAGGAGGTACGTGTTGCATGTCGAGCAATCGTAAGCAAGAGCTAATCGAGAATAGGCACAGAAGTTCAGTTCCGTCGACGACGAGGATGACGACGAACTAGAAGAGGAAAGTCTCCTCGAAACCCCGCTCGACAAGATCGAGCCATATGGCATGTTTAAGCATGCTTTATTCCGTAAGTAGTATGTGGAAAATGCTGTGAGAGCTCAGACTAACAGTACTCAGGCCTCCAGCAAGAGCAACCTGCGCTATATGAGAATCTCACAAAGAACCTGAGTCCAGAAGAACAACAGGTGGTCCAGAGCGCTGTCCATCAAGCCGACGTCATTGCGCAAGCTCAAGCAGAAGCCCAGGCTGCTATTGCGAATGGACTACCACCAGTGGTGCCACAGTAGAGCTTTGTTTCATCCATGGCATATGCTACTTCCCTTACAAACCCGGCGTCTCAGCTAGGATTGCACGCCGGAACAAGAAGATCAAATACATGTGAATGGGGATCAGCAGCCGCATGACACACGTTATCAAGTACATGGCGAATATCCGTACGAAAAGGGCACTTGAAATCCAGATAAATAGGACCAAGTATGTCCGTGTCGAACGAAGATGAGCACGCAGTTAGTTGGATTTCCATTAGCGAGCATCCTGGCGTTTTGACTTTTAGACTGAAGATGACATCAGCCGGAGGTGTGTTCTGGTAGCAGGTAGCAGGGATAGTGTAGTATGGCGTTGTTCTGGGCCTTGGCATTATTGCTTGCGAGAAGAGGAGGACGATATCCATGAGAGGTACCATTGCTTTTTTGGAATGATGACGTATGTGGATGAAGTTGTCCCCCAGGCCAAAGGCCGAATAGATAGTACTACCTGTTATAGGATTAAAGAATATTGAGATTATGAAAGCAATGTGCCAGTTCATTCTCTTAACATGTTTACTGAAGAGGTGCATGCAGATTCTGTTGGCTCAACATGTGTTGGTTGATGGCCCCACGGCATCCATGTTCCTGCCGTCAAGGCTTACATCGACACATGATGGCGTACACCCTATGTATATGTACCCGTCTGTGAGAATATTACGTTATGCAAGTGTCCTCTGCGATTTCCTCTGTGGGGGCATGGCTCTTGCACTGACAATGCCAAAAGGACGTCACGTCGGAGCGTTATCGATAAGCCGAATCGGCAGACGATGACGCTTGCGCCGGCACGTTTGTTCGCATCCCACGCGCAACGTGGACAGAAGCGGAAGCACACCATCCCGATACCTACACTCAGACACCTACGGACTTCACCAATCGAATCCCTATATTTATGCGACTGTCTTGCACCGAATTTACCCATCTCCCCGCACGAACCGTCCCGTCTTTTCAATTGCAGCTGGCTACCTTGATCGCGACGCTTGGACAGCGACGGCATTACGCGCATCACGTAACCTCGAATTGTTCCGATGTCACGCCCTACTGTGTCCAAGGCTCAGAGTATGTTTGCGCTGCATATGCAAGGCTGCACGTCTGGTATGGCTGACAGAAGTAGCCAGCTACCCCATCTTTGCAGCCACATTCGCCAATAACAGACCTGGCATTCTCGTAGTCGGCGGTGGTGGAGGCGTAAGTGCAATTTCTACACGAGCCGCACGCCAAATGTACGCTGACCGCGCATCTCAATTTAAAGGCAGGCCGATCTGGAGTAAAGAACCAAATCACCGCATTCGACTTCAGCTCGCGCGCACCCACCGTACAACCTATCGCGGAAATCGAAGCGAGCAAAGACGATTCAATAACGTGTCTGGACAACCTTTCAACAAAAGATGGCCTGATTCTGTTTGCCGGTAACAACAGCAGTGAAGAAAGCCGTTTAAATGGCCGGAATGAGCATTTGCGCGCCTTTGAGCTGCAATTACCGAAGAACAAAGGGCCAGGAGCAGAGAAGACAGACGGCAAACTAGAGTTTCTTAGCCAAACTACGCTCTTCACCACTCCTCAATCGGACGGCGCAAGGAAAGAGGGCTACCAGCGGATCATCAGATTATCGCCACCACAGCGTGCAGCCTCGAGTACGCCCAACAGGCGGATTGGAGCAATTGCTTCCAGTCTTGCTGGCGATGAAAACGAAGTAGTCATCTTCAGCGCAACATCCAACAAACCCACAAGCCAAAACATAATAACGCGAATCACGCTAACCAAAGAGCAAGAGGCGAATGATCTGGACATTTTCACGCAAGAACAAGGGCGGTTCCGGGTAGCCTATGTGACTAACCAAGAGGTGTTTGTGCAGAATGTGAACCATGATTTCGACAAGAATAAAGCTAGAGAAAAGAGCGAGCACACTCAAGTCTACATGATACCGCATGCTGAGAAAGGTACACGGAGCAAACTAAGATGTGTACGGTGGCTCTCACCAAAGCATCTACTACTCCTATCAAACAAGCCTAATCGGACCGGCGTTGAACTGTTGCTTTTGCATTTGTACGAGCAGGGGCCAGGCAGTATCGTTTTGCGCAAGACAATGCCAAAGCATGTCAAAGCTGCTACCGATATGGATGTCTGCCTCCTGGACGCAGACGACGAAGGTGCATATCAGATTGCGATAGCTGTAGGGGCGATCGATATCTCCTTGACGGTGTATACGATGGACTACCATGGCCCGGCTAGGGACTCATTGAGCTCATTTCATTCGTTTAACAAGTATGATAATGTGAGTAGGGATGTATCAGTCCAAAGAAAGTGTACTAATCGAGTTCAGGTACATGATGTGCAAATGACCAAAGTCATCTTTTCGCCATTTTACAAGCCCGACGTCTCTGCTGGCCGCCAGACGCCACCTCAGTATATCCGTCTAGCCAGCACTAGCCTTGGAAATACGATTAGCGTGGAAACGTTTCCACTCCAACATGTAGGATCACGTTATGTGCTACAGACGGCACGTTCAAGGAACATGTTCACGGCAGCAACTTATCTGGCCGTAGCCATGGTCGTTGCAGTATTAGCTCTGTTGATACAGTCACTTGTAGATCCGGAAGGCGACCTAACAAAGGGTATACTCCCGGTACGACTGCAGAAGGCAGCAAGCCAGCAGAAGACGTTTGGTGAAACGCTCCGCGAGAAACGCCACAACGCCATCCTCAACAATGCGGATTCACCGGTCGTCAAGACATCGCAGCGCATCGCCGATCTACTACACTTGCATCTCCCTCACGTCCTATCCGACACGGAACCAGCCAATGCACCTGAACCGAAAGCTTTGGTAATACACCACGACCATGAATCTGAAGGCACACTCAGTACAGAAGTGCACGCAGGGGACGAGGAAGTGTTGAAGAAGCATGTGGCGGCGAGAAAGTGGGATGAATTGAGTGAAAAGGAAAGGAGGATATGGAGAGAGAAGCTAAGTGAGGCGGGCATGTGGGCTGTGGGCGAGGGGGAAACAATCCTAAAGTCCATCTTCTTTGGACAGATTGGCGGCGTAATCGGACATGTCGCCGAGGGTGTGCTTGCGGGCTAGAGATGTGATTACGGGCGTTACAAGTTAGAAGGGCGGACAGGCAGGGGTGATACCATATGGAACTCTAACCTTACGCAAGGCGCGCGTTGAGTGGTTGTGTATCATAGTGAACGGACAGTGTCTCTGATAAGGGTGCGCGCACGTCCATGTGAGAATACGTGAGCGATTTTAATGTTAAGAGTGGCCGATAACGCTCTTTGGAAACTTGAATTGGCTTAGTAGGCCAGCTCTGACATGGCAATAATCGTCTTACAAGCATGACATAATATGATGAGGGGGTGCGCAATTGGGACTGGCATGTGCGAGCCAAGGGAGACTATCGTCAGGTGGTCTGTTTCTTGGGGCCAGCGGTGCAGTCGTGTATGCCGTCTCCGACTCGATGTGTTGACCGCGCCACCAGTGGGCTGTCATCCCATTTGCGCCTCCCCGGTGTGAAGGTTAGGGTTAGCTCCCGCGACTAGCGTGGTACGGTCCAAGCTCGCTAGGCCGGGTTCGTGACATGCGTCTTGCGTCGGGACCAGTAAGTTTGGCGACGACCAATTCGCCGTCAACGCCCCTCTAATACCATTCTCCTGTCCTTTCTATGGATGGAGTGAGCAGATACGCTCTTGCTGCGACAGGCTTCAGGTGAAGCAGTCAAGATGACGCAGCAAGGTCCCCTTTCGTCCGCGCTGGACCGCATAGTCCACGAACTACGCTCAAAGTGAGCCCGACAAGGCCAAATGAACGTGATGAGAAGCTGACGGGCAAAAGAAATGACGAAACACGACAGCGAGCAGCAAACACACTGCGACAGACGGTTGAAGCGGCGCACCGAGGTGAGCAGCAGAGCGATCGAGGGCCCCCGCCCAAGCTACAGGAAACTGATGTTGCGCAGAACTCGCGCCCAACGTCTTTACCAATTTCAACAATGAAGTTTACACCAAGATCTCCGGCCTCATTGTCACGGGCAGCGACTCGAACGAACGCATCGGCGGTATCCACGCCCTCAACGCCCTGATCGACTTCCGCGGCGACGATGCAGGACAGAAGACGACGCGCTTTGCTTCGTACCTGAGGGCCGTGATGCGGGGCCAGGATGTCACGGCCATGGTGGTAGCAGCCAAGGCTCTGGGACGACTGGCGAAGCCCGGCGGCACCCTCACGGCAGAGCTGGTCGAGGCAGAGGTCAAGGGCGCGTTGGAGTGGCTGCAGTTGGAGCGCCTGGAGAATAGACGCTTCGCTGCTGTCCTCATACTACGCGAGCTGGCGAAAAACTCTCCCACGCTCATGTACCAATGGATTGCACAAATCTTTGAAGTCATATGGGTTGCCCTCCGGGACCCCAAGGTCCTCATTCGAGAGTCTGCCGCCGAGGCAATCAGCGCATGCTTCGAGATCATCTCCCCACGCGACTCGCAAATGCGCCAGCTCTGGTTCGGCAAGGTCTACGACGAGATTCTCCGCGGATTCACCATCAACACCAATGAAGCGATCCATGGCTCGCTCCTTACCATGAAGGAGCTGCTCGACAAGAGCGCAATGTTTATGAATGACCAAAAGTACAAGGAGACTGTTGAGCAGGTACTCAAGTACCGGGAGCATCGCGATGCTCTGGTTCGAAGAGAAGTGGTCCTTATCATACCTATACTCGCTGGCTATTCACCAACCGAATTCGCCACAAAGTACCTGCATCAATGTATGCTACACCTCCAGGGTCTAATTAGGAAAGACCGCGACCGAGACAAGGCATTCGTAGCCATTGGTCAGATTGCGAATGCCGTCGGAGTTGCCATCTCACCTTATCTGGAGGGGATTCTAGGCTTCATACAGGAGGGCCTGATTGCCAAGTCCCGGAATAAGAGCGGTATCAACGAAGCGCCTATATTCCAATGTCTTAGTATGATATCAGCAGCGGTCGGCCAAGCCCTCACCAAGTCTGTTGAGCGACTACTGGACCCTATTTTCTCATGCGGGCTGAGCGATTCTCTCTTCCAAGCACTTGTAGACATGGCGCATTACGTACCGCCTTCGCGGCCGATGATTCAAGAAAAACTCCTTGATCTCCTCAGCCAGATCCTCGCCGGCCGACACTTCTTACCCCTAGGCAGCCCATATCAGGTATCTCAGCCTCCGCAAATATGGACACGTGACCACAAAGACCCACAAACCATCGCCCCAAGAGAAGCTGAGATTGCACTAGCCCTGCACACACTCGGCAGTTTCGACTTCACGGGCCATGTTCTGAACGAGTTTGTTCGCGATGTTGCGATCCGATACGTAGAGGCGGATAATCCCGAGATCCGCAAACGCGCCGCGTTAACTTGCTGCCAGCTCTTTGTCAAGGATCCTATTGTCCACCAGACAAGTACTCACGCGACCAAAGTAGTTGGAGACATCATCGAAAAACTCTTGACTGTCGGTGTGGGTGACGTTGATCCAGACATAAGGTGGGATGTCCTAATAGCCCTGGATGCTCGGTTCGACCGACATCTCGGCAAAGCGGACAATGTTCGTACTCTGTTCCTTGCACTGAACGATGAGGTATTCGGTATTCGAGAAGCTGCCATGTCCATCATTGGTCGACTCACAGCTGTGAATCCTGCTTATGTCTTCCCTTCACTCCGCAAAGTCCTTTTGCAGCTACTCACCGAGGTCAACTATGCCAACAGCCCGCGGAGTAAGGAAGAAAGTGCCAAGTTAATTAGTAGTCTTGTCGGTGCTGCTGACAGTCTCATCAAGCCACTGATCGACCCAATCGTCGAGGTCCTTTTGCCCAAGTGTAAGGATCCAAATCCAGAAGTCGCGTCAACGACACTCAAAGCCATTGGTGACCTCGCCACAGTCGGCGGCGAGGGCATGATCAAATACATCAAGGATCTGATGCCCGTCATCCTGGATTTCATGCAAGATCAGACGTCGGATGCTAAGCGCTTCTCTGCTCTGAAAGCTCTCGGGCAGCTAGCTACCAACGCTGGCTATGTTATAGAGCCATACAGAGACTACCCAGAGCTGATGAACATTCTCATGAGCATTGTGAAGATAGAACAGGAAGGTGAACTCCGAAGAGAAACTGTTAGGCTCATGGGCACCCTTGGAGCTCTAGACCCCGACGAGTATCAAAAGATCATGGAGCAGTCGCCCGACAAGCACCTTATCTTGGAAGCGCAGGCCATCACCGATGTCTCGCTCATCATGCAAGGCATCACGCCCTCAAACGAAGAGTATTACCCCACAATCGTCATCAGCACACTCATGGGTCTGTTGAAAGATCCATCACTGGTCCAGTACCACACGGCAATCGTAGAGGCTGTTATGAACATTTACGCAACAATGGGCTTGAAGTGTGTGTCTTTCCTTAACCAGGTTGTGCCAGGTTTCCTCCATGTCATAAAATCTACGCCAGCGGGACGGTCGGAGGGCTACTTCAACCAGCTCAGTCAACTCGTTCGGATCGTTCGCCAACACATTCGCCCTTACTTACCAAGTATCCTGGCAACGATTAAAGAGTACTGGAGTAGCAGTCCACAGCTCCAAGCCACCATTCTTTCACTGATCGAGGCCATTGCTCGCTCGTTGGAAGGCGAATTCAAGGTCTACTTGGCGGATGTACTACCACTCATGCTCAGTGTGCTTGACTCTGATCAGACTGGCAAGCGTTTACCTTCAGAGAGAGTACTACACGCGTTCCTCATCTTCGGCTCGAGCGCCGAAGAGTATATGCATCTCATCATTCCAGTCATGGTCAAGATGTTCGATAAGCCTGGCCAACCTATACAGATCCGGAGACATGCTATCGAAACTTTAGGGCGTCTTTCAAAGCAAGTCAATGTTTCCGAGTTCGCCGCACGTATCGTGCACCCTCTCTGTCGAGTGCTTTCTGGTAGCGAGCCAACACTGAAGCAGACTGCACTCGAGACGCTCTGTGCACTTATCTTTCAGCTCGGTCCAGACTACATCCACTTTGTACCTACTGTGAACAAGATCTTTATTGCGCACAAGGTACCTCATGAGAACTATGGGCGCATCGTTTCGAAGTTGCAGAAGGGTGAACCCTTACCCCAAGATCTCAGCCCAGATGAGCGTTACGGTGAAGATGACGAAGACTTGAATCCCGCGGAAATCCTCACCAAAAAGCTAGCGGTCAACCAGCAGCATCTCAAACAAGCATGGGAGGCCTCGAACAAAACGACCAAAGAGGATTGGATCGAGTGGATGCGACGATTCAGCGTGGAATTGCTGAGAGAATCACCACAACAAGCACTGCGCGCCTGCACACCACTCGGTAGCGTGTACAACCCAATCGCCAGAACTTTGTTCAACTCTGCATTTGTCTCGTGCTGGACAGAGCTGTATGATCAATACCAAGAGGAGCTTGTGCGTTCCATCGAGACTGCACTCACGTCGCCCAATATCCCGCCTGAGATATTGCAAGTCCTGCTGAACCTGGCAGAATTTATGGAACACGACGACAAGGCTCTACCAATCGACGTCCGGATACTTGGCATGTATGCCGGCAAATGTCACGCATTTGCCAAGGCACTACATTATAAGGAGCTCGAATTCAACGCGGAGCAGAATTCCAGCGCTGTGGAAGCCCTTATCAGTATCAACAACCAACTGCAGCAGACCGATGCTGCCTTCGGTATTTTGCGTAAGGCGCAAAATTACCATGACGTTGAGTTGAAAGAGACTTGGTTTGAGAAGTTGCAGAAGTGGGACGAAGCGCTCGCAGCGTACCAGAGGCGTGAGCTTGAAGAGCCAGACTCCTTTGACGTTACCATGGGCAAGATGCGCTGCTTGCACGCTCTGGGCGAATGGGATCTTCTTTCCAGCTTGTCAAAGGAGAAGTGGGCCAATGCGACACAAGAGTACCGCAAGGCGATAGCACCGCTTGCCGCAACGGCCGCATGGGGTCTGGGTAAGTTTGCTGACATGGATAATTACCTTGGTGTCATGAAGGAACAGTCGCCCGACCGTGCGTTCTTCGCATCGATTCTCAATATCCACAACAACCGGTTCGAAATCGCCGTGGAAGAGATTGCTAAAGCTCGCAAGGGTCTCGACACCGAGCTCAGTTCACTTTTGGGAGAGTCGTACCAGCGTGCTTATTTACCAATGATCCGCGTGCAGATGTTGGCGGAACTTGAGGAGATTATGCAGTACAAGCAAAACGAGGGAAACCATGAAAAGCAGAAGAGCATGCGAAAGACTTGGATGAAGCGACTCAGGGGGCTACAACCGAACCCGGAAGTTTGGCAGCGCATGATCAAGGTGCGACAGCTTGTCATCTCACCACAAGAAGGAACCGACATGTGGATAAAGTATACCAACCTTTGCCGCAAGAGCAATAGGATGAACCTCGCAAACAAGGCCTTGCAGAAACTACTGGATATCGAGAGTACAGGCGACAGTACTGTCGTCGAGTTTGTACGCAACAATGCCCACGCTATCTCACACCCGGTTGCGTATACTACGTACAAATACATGTGGGCAGATCAAAACAACAAGCAGGAGGCCCTTGATAGCATGAAGGAATTCACCGGACGACTGTCTGAGGACCTGGCTATGCGAACTAGGGCCGCAGCAAATCCAATGATGGGTCAGAACGGAATGAACGGCATGTCCAATGGCCAGCACATGTTCAACAACATGAATCCATTTGCTACCACCAATGGGCATAACGGCGTGAATGGTATTAATGGATCAGCCATGTTGAATGGATCAGCAGCAGGTGTCTCACCGAGCGAACTTGTCCAATGCCATCGTCTACTTGCCAAATGCTACCTCAAGCAGGGAGACTGGCAGCAAGAACTTCAGGACGGCGAATGGGAACACGAGTATGTGCACGAGATACTTGCCGCTTACGCCGCAGCCACACGTTACAACAAGGACTGGTATAAAGCATGGCATGCCTGGGCACTCGCCAACTTTGAAGTCATCAACTCGATCACGTCCAAGTCTGACCGGGAGGCTACTGAAGTGCCTAATAACATTATCCACGATCACGTCATCCCGGCTATTCAGGGCTTCTTCAAGTCTATCGCGCTGTCTTCAACTAGCTCGCTTCAGGATACACTCAGACTGCTTACGCTGTGGTTTGGTTATGGTGGAAGGGAGGGAGTCAATCGTACCATTACAGAAGGAACTAAATCGGTACCTATTGATACGTGGCTCGAGGTTATCCCGCAACTCCTCGCTAGGATTAATCAGCCAAACGCTGTGGTTAGACAGTCTATCCACCAGCTGCTTATCGAAGTTGGAAAGGCACATCCTCAAGCTTTGGTGTTCCCGTTGACAGTCTCGATGAAGTCCGATGTATCTCGACGCCAGCGATCGGCAAAGGAGCTCATGGAGGCAATGCGCGAGCATTCGCCAAAACTAGTCGAGCAAGCTGATCTTGTGAGCCACGAGCTCATTCGTATCGCCGTCCTATGGCACGAACAATGGCACGAGGGCCTCGAGGAAGCCAGCCGACTTTACTTCGGTGACCATAACATAGACGGAATGTTCGCTACACTCGCGCCCCTGCATGCCATGCTCGACAAGGGACCGGAGACATTGCGCGAGATCTCGTTTATCCAGTCTTTCGGCCGCGAACTCCAAGAGGCTCGCGACTGGTGTAATACGTTTAGGACATCGGGCGAAATTGGCGACCTCAACCAGGCGTGGGATCTCTACTACCAGGTGTTCCGCAAGATCGCTCGTCAACTGCCGTCCTTGATGACGCTTGAGTTGCAGTATGTCTCACCAAAACTCAAAGACGCGCACGACCTTGAGCTCGCTGTTCCCGGAACGTACCAAGTTGGCAAACCAGTCATTCGAATCATATCGTTTGATCCAGTCGCATCTGTCATCCAATCTAAGCAGCGACCCAGGAAATTGGAAATGCGCGGCAGCGACGGCAAGGCACATACGCATATCCTCAAGGGACACGAAGATATCCGCCAAGATGAACGTGTCATGCAACTCTTTGGCCTCTGCAACACACTTCTTTCCAACGACGTGGAGTCACGTAAGCGTCATCTCAACATCCAACGCTATGCCGCCGTTCCGCTTAGCACGCAGTCTGGTCTTCTTGGGTTTGTTCCTAACAGCGACACACTCCATGTTCTCATTCGCGAGTACCGCGATAGCAGGAAGATTCTTCTCAACATCGAACACCGCATCATGCTACAGATGGCGCCCGATTATGACTGCCTTACCCTTATGCAAAAGGTCGAAGTCTTTGGGTATGCGCTGGATAATACGACCGGTCAAGATCTTTACCGTGTCTTGTGGCTCAAGTCCAAGTCTTCGGAAGCCTGGCTTGATCGCCGTACCAATTACACGCGCTCGCTGGCAGTCATGTCAATGGTGGGCTATATTCTGGGTCTTGGAGATCGCCATCCCAGTAACTTGATGCTTGACCGAATTACCGGCAAGGTCATTCACATTGATTTCGGAGACTGCTTCGAAGTAGCCATGCACCGAGAGAAATATCCAGAACGTGTGCCGTTCCGGTTGACACGCATGTTGACGTATGCCATGGAAGTTAGTAACATCGAGGGCAGCTACCGGACAACTTGTGAACATGTCATGCGGGTACTGAGAAGTAACAAGGAGAGTGTCATGGCAGTGCTTGAAGCTGTAAGTTGTGCATTATCACGATGAGATGGACTATTGCTAACCGAAAAACAGTTTATACACGATCCTCTTCTGACGTGGCGCCTCAACCACCGTGATACTTCCCCAGTTGAACCAAACTACCCATCGGAACGCCGTCAATCCATAATGGGCGAAGCAGCGAACGTTCCGCCCGAACATCAAATGTCCAGCATCGTCGGTCGTCCCCGTCACCGGTCCTCAGTCGCGCCGCCCCAGAACAACGACGTCGATGCCAAGGAAGTGCAGAATGCGCGGGCATTGCAGGTGCTGAGCAGGGTCAAGGAGAAGCTCACAGGCCGAGATTTCGGAAAGGGCGAGGATCTCCCGACTGAGATACAGGTTGATAGGCTTATCAAAGAGGCAACGAATTTGGAGAATCTATGCCAGCATTACATAGGATGGTGTAGTTTCTGGTAAGCTTGAGCGGTGCTGCAATGCCGCAAGGAAGCAGTGGGCGGTAATACATGTATTGGTATGAGGAGTCATGTGTTCACTTTAGCAAAGGGACTTGTTAGGGGGAGGGGCTGGGTGGTGGTATCGGGTAGCATGATATGGAGTTGACCTTTTTATCTGGAAACATGCTCAATTGCAGGGTTCTTTGTAACACTAGGAAATGACGAAGCGGCATTGCAGAGGTGCTGTGGTGTTTCTGGTTTATTTGCTCCGAGATGAAATGGACTTGGCGAGCACCTGGGCAACATAAGATGAGTACTTAACATCCTAGTATATAAAAGCTACTGCAGGCGCCAGATAGGCTTGGTAGGAATGGAATAGCGGGGTTCACCGGTACTGTCGCTGTCAAGTACTTCATGTTACCCAGGTGCGAGTCCAACACAGTCTCTAATATCCGTCTTATTACCTGATTCAATTATTTCCCGGCCGCCTGCAGTGTATGCCCAAATAGGTGTGGGAACCTGCATGGTGGTCACCACCCAAGACGCAGGGACCTCCGGATCCGCATGTGCTGACATACAGATGGCTTGCCAATACCGTCCTTACCAGCAACCACAAGACAGACGAGAGATGACCATCGGCGCATGAAGATCTTGGTACACTTGGTCGCAGCCGTATACCCGGTTGATCTGCAACTAGATGAGCACGCGCTTGGGAAGCACCGAAAAGCCCCCCACATATGATGTCGTGCGCCCGTTGATGTGGGATCGCTACATCACAAGTTGCGGCTGCTTCGAAGCGCTAGCGGGGCACGACGGCCAACGTTGCTCGGGACACGTTGGGTAGGGATCAGCTTACGAATTTGCTGTCAGTAGTTGGGCTTGCAGGTACGGATGTGATTGTTAGGCAGCTCGGGTTCTTCTCATTCTAGAAGTCTCCTTGCCTCGTTGGGATACGCGTTGGGTATGAAGGGAAGGGGCCCTGGAGAAGGAGGGGGACCAGGGGGTTAATCCGGCCGCGGTGACCGGTCGGAGGCGTTGGCATGTCATGATAGCACCGAGCTTTATGCCGGATTACGGTATGGTGCAAATAGAGCAGTAGTTAGTTGGTAGGGAAAAAACGCTTTCTCGGAGTAAACGAACGTATCATCTTGATGACTGAGCTGGGAGAAAGTTTGTTTGTCCCCGCCAACGCCCACCGCGATTGTTAGGACACGTTCTTCGTTGCAGCAGCTTCGTCATCGGTGACGGTGATCAGAAACATGTGAAACTTTGCCAATTCTTTTCCTTTTAGCTTTAATAGCCCGAAGTTCCCGCTAGGCACATGTGGTGACTTCCTAGGATGCCGGATAGATAGCCGAGATGGTGTGGCCGCTATAGCAGGGCTGGCGAGGCGTGAGTGGTGGGAGCTGGAAGTTGCGGCAGATCGACGTTGGCGGTCGCCCTGGTCGAAAAACTGTTTGCCGAGCAGCGGCGGGCGGTGCAAGCTGCAAGCAGGCGTGAAGGGGGGTGGGCATCAGCCCGGGCATGGAAGTATACATACATAGCGTGGGCCTATCTCCGGCATCGAGTTTCATATCGCTTTCGTTCGATTGTTTTGTTGTTTACCCGTTTTTTCTTTGCTTGTACCTTCAGCACGGCAAGGAGATTTTCTGTCCCGTACTTTTTGCGAGGAATTAACGCGTTTCTTTTTCAAGCTGTGACATCACTGCCACCAAGAGATAGAATACCCAATTGTTCGCCCTGCATGTACCCTGCTGGCCTGACCTTGGCACCATGAACCGGAACAATCAGAACCTCACGATAGGCCGTCTGCCTACCGCAGACAGTTTTCCTACCTTTAACATCCAGGGACCGGAATCCCCGGCGTCGGAAGAGTCGATTTCGAGTGCGGAGGAGAGGCTGCAATGGCGGAGTCACTCCAACGTCGCCACCCCCCTTCCTCAATCAACTGACCAGAACCCCTTTGACGATCCCAATCTTGGCTTTGCAACATCACCGCTCAGCTATGCTGGCAGCGAAGCCCGAGCAAATGGCGTGAAGGAGCAAATTAAAGAGGAGGAAGAAGAGAGAGAGTACCACGGACCCGACAGCGAGAATGCCGACACAACCTCGACGATCAAGTCTGAGCAACCGCGCAACCCTAGAGCCCTGACTGCCGTCGCCAGCAGAGGCAGCACGAAACGCAGCGCTTACGATAGCCAGGATGCAGACGCGTACGAGAAGAGGAAGAAGCTGAGCTTCAAAGAACGCATACGCCATTTCACCTGGACCTGGTTTTGTCTTACCATGGCTACGGGAGGCATTGCGAATGTACTCTACTCGGTGCCTATCCGGTTTCGTGGCCTCTATGCGTTGGGATGCATCTTCTTTATCCTCAACATCGTTCTGTTTTTATTCAATGTCGCCATGATATCCTGCCGGTTTTACTTTTACCCACGCACCTTCAAGGCGTCGTTTTTGCATCCGACTGAGAGCTTATTTATACCGGCTGCGCTTGTTAGCTTTGGCATTATCTTGATCAATGTCAGCCAGTATGGTGTTGATATGGCTGGTGTGGGAGAGTGGTTAGAGAAGTGTATGGTTGTGTTGTTTTACATGGACTGCGGGCTTGCTGTTTGCTTCTCCATTGGCATCTACTTGCTCATGTAGGTTCTTCTGCTCTGATTCTACGGCGATTGGGTTGCTAACAATCATAGGTGGTCGACGACGACGTTTACAATCTCCCAGATGACGCCTATTTGGATCTTCCCTGCGTACCCGCTCCTCATCATCGGCCCTCATGCAGGAAATCTCGCGCCCAAGGTCAACGACCCAGCGATATCCCTCGCCATCATCCTGACCGGCTACGTCATCCAAGGCATTGGCTTTCTGGTTTCGCTGATGATATATGCTGCCTTTATCTACCGCCTCATGACACAAAAGCTTCCGAAGGAATCTCTCCGCCCGGGTATGTTCATCAGCGTCGGTCCCTCTGGATTCACCATCGCAGGAGTGGTGATGATGGGCCAAGAGCTTCCGAATACGGTGCCTAGCGACTTCATGGGCGAAGGAAACGGCGAGCTAGCAGGAAAGGTCGGCATGATATGCGCAAACTACCTTGGATTGTGGCTTTGGGGATTGGCCCTCTGGTTCTTCTTCGTGAGTGTCGGTGCGCATTGGTCATGCGCCAGGCGCGGCAAGATGGACTTTGCAATGACGTGGTACTCGTTCGTCTTCCCCAACACGGCCCTCACAACATCAACCTTTGCCATCGCTCGCGCTCTGAACGGCAACAAACCCATCGAATACATTGGCTGCGCAATGACGATTGCACTCATCATGATGTGGTTCTTCGTCATCATCATGAACGTCCGCGCCGTCATCATCAAGCAGATTCTGTGGCCAGAGAAGCAGGAAGATAGGACTGAGGGTGGCTGGAAACAACAGAGTGCCGAAGATCAACAGAGGCGACAAAGAGAAAGAGACTTGGCAGATGGCGGAGAGAGCTTGAGGGGTAGAGCCTGGAGCCGTGCGCGCAGACTACCGAGGAGGGAGACGTTTGGCAGGGATACTTATGCTACAGAAGGGGGCAATGGTGCACCGTTGCCGCAGTTGACGAGGGCGCGGACAGAGACTGCGGCGAGGAAGAGAGGCTGGAGTTTCCGAGGATCGGTGCGCTGAGTTATGTGAGTTTTGGACTGGTACAAAGCTGCGGAGAAAAAAAGGTGGCGTCTGGTACTTTTATGTTTGATATGTTGATACCCCTTGAGCGATTCGCGATAGACTGTGTCATTAGCGTGTATTTTAGTTGTAGGAAGGAGTCTGCTTTTCGGACGACAGGAGTTGATGTCTTTACTATGCTCTATATCATAGAAGTTTGTTTTATAGCTACCTTAAAGTTCAAGTTCCGATTTATATTGCCTGGTGATCTTCACCTGCAAACGGCCACTAGCGTGGTGGGGTTTACGTATGTTGCTAGATGACCGCCCCCACTTTAGCTTTCATCCTCCGCGTACATAGAAGAGCATCACCACCAACTGCACAATTGAGTATAGTATCTACCTCACGTCTGATTTAGTAAGCCTTGAGTAATATATCGGTGCAGCCTGTAGCAAAGGTGAGCATCAATTTTGCATCCCAATCCAGGTATAAGCTTGCTGTAAGCACAGCAACGCGACTTTTCCTTGTCGATCGCATCATTCCATTTCCAGTCATGTTTTTTTGGCTTTACGGTCGCTTATTCCAAGATCGAATATCAGCACATCGCCATTCTCAACATTCATTGAGCTTTTATACCTAGTTAGCAGAGCGACGCTGCTTAGTTTCATTCACGGTGACTGTGAGTCTCACTACACCTATTTCCCTTCAAAGAACCAGACTCAAAATGGTACATGAGCAGAAGAACCACATCGGCACCCAAGAGGAATCCCAAAATCAGTCGCCACACATCGCAGCGCCGCCGAAGGAAACGTCTGGATCTCAGAGCGACTAAGCAATTTCCAACTTTGGCGACATCATCTGCACTCCACCCGCAACTGATTCCGAGCCTACGACCAGCATGGCTACTCCATCAAACAGCGAGGAAACCTCTCAACCCATTCTCCCCAGTGCACCGCCAGCAGCCGACACATACGTTACTGTCACTGCCGCCAACAACAATGCCATCCCCGTGCTCGCAGATGGCAACGAGCCCAACATCAGCAAGCGCGAATACATCTACTTCCTACCCTACCCCCTCCCCCCAGACACCGAAATCCCGTACTCAATCCACTTACCCCAGAAGAACCCACTGAACCTGCCATCCCACCAATTCGAGCCCACCTCCACGCTCGTACTAACCAGCCCCAAACGCATCTTCGTCGACATCCGCATCTACAAGCCCTTCACTATGAACAACGCCCTCGAGCCCCTCCCCAACGTCGGCGAACCCCAACGTCTCGAATGGGCATTCGGTGGAACCTCAGCCTCCCGCCCCATCACCCTCGCATCAACAGGCCCCCAACATGGCAAATCCCAGAAGCGCATAGAACAGGACTCCTGGACCAACGTCACGCATTCTACATGGGCGCACTGGATCGATTCCCGCTTCGCAGTCGGCAACAAGAATATTCCTGTAGATGAGGGCGACATGTATCCCATTGCCAAGGATCTCACGCTCGAAGTCGGTCATGCATTCCACCCTGCGCTGGGGGCCGTCAAGACGCACGAGGAGATGTGGAGGGATGTCGATGCTGTGGCGACGAATGAAGCGGGTACGAAACTCTGCGTCGTGTTGCGTTGCCAGGCGGACCATGCGGGAGTGAGGGGTCTGGTGGTAAGGGTGGGTCAGTTCTGTCAGGGGATTATCATGCAGCGTGAGAGTACGACGGTGGAGCGTTGGGAGTGGGATGATAATCATCCTGGGGAGACGGAGAAGGAGAAGTGGCAGCGGACAGTTAGGATTGGGGGAGCGTTTTTGCCGTGTAGTGTGGCCCTTCGGGCGGAGGTGTTGGGCTTGGGTGCGGTTATTCGATTTCATGATTTTGAGTGGGTGGTGGAGGAATTGTGGGAGTGGAAGTAGGGGGTGGGGGATGTTGCTTTGTGGATGGCGATGAGACGGGATTTGTACAGTAGAATGTGACCTGATGACTGGGGATGATGGTAGCGCTACATAACTCCGGTACCAACGCCAAAAAATGAACCCGATAACAGTCCGAAGTACTCCAAGTCTATACACACCTCATCAGTAGTCATATCCCCACCCCCCTTGTAGTCCCCTTGCCAACCCTGAGCCAGTATGAATCGCCCTCGCAACCTGGAACCCTTGTGTCAAGATCCCCATGGCATTATCAATCTCCACATGTCCCGTCGTTCCCGGCATAGGTGGATCTTCAGGCCTCCGCATAACCCCCTCCATCATCTCCTCACTCGCCAAGCCCTGAAAGCGATCCAGCACCAACCGTCTAACCGCCACATGCCACTTCTCAAACCACTGATCTTCACTCATCGTTGTATACGTCTTATTACCCTCCTCATCGATGCTGGAAAATGGCCACTCTGCTTTCACAACCTCATACCGTCTGGTAGCGAAGAAGAGGGAAGGCCAGCTGAAGATCCACAGGAAAGTCAGGTAGAACAGCCAGCAGACCCATTTTTTCAAGCGCCAGGCGTTTATGCGGTTGGAGGTGTAGAAGTCTATGTTCCTCTCCTCAATGGGGAAGGTGATGCATATATGTCCCCGGTAACCCGTCGCACGGACCAGTCCTTCAAGCCGGTTCTTGAGCAGCGTCTCATCGAAACCAGTGACGAGGCGACGCAGACGAAAGATGCGCAGCATGCGCGGAGAAGCACAGTACCTATGACACCATTCTTTCAAACTGGGTTTATTGCCGCCGCTGATTTCAATGTCTTGTTTGAAGCCCGGGGCTCTGCTTTTCAGGATCGTGCCGCGGTGAGTTTTCTCCGTGTTGTCGACCGTGGTGAGAGACATTGTTGATGTGTCTTCATCGTTGAAGTTCTTGCGAAGGTATAGCGACATATTGATGGCGAGGCGGAAGTCGGTGATGAGTCTAGTTTCCTTCTTATCGCCATGCTTGATGGTTTCTTTGTGTGTGCCCATTATGTATATCAGCGGGATGGGCGCTGTGTTGGCATACTTCCGGATTTCGTATTCGAGGGCCTCGGGACTGGTGTCGTAGATGGGGTCGATGACGTTCAGTGTCTCGACTACCACGGGCTTGCCGTTCCTGAAGCCGGGGTTGTTGTGGTCGGTCCGTGTGGTGGGCGGAGTGACATGGCGGATAGGTATGAGGGGTGGTGTTGCGGTGTGTGCTTCGCTATCCGAGTACGAAGGAGGGAGACCAGATATTTCGGGCGCATCGTCGTAGGCGTAGTCGTCGGGTGTTGTGTGGAGAGATACGGCATCGGGGTCGTCGCGGTAGCGGGGAGGGGGGTCGGTACTTCTGCCCATTGTGATGTGGATGAATGTGTGAGAAGAGAGAAAGAGAACGAAGTTATGAAATACAAGAAAAACAAAAGAGAGGCGATCAGGCGTTCAGGGGACCGGTGAGACACTTAACGCCATATTCAGGCAACCACTTGGCTATTGGCCTGTGGATATTTAGGATGGCACAAATGCGTCGTACTCATGGGTGAAATCATGCAAGTTAGTGCCACGAACATTGCTGCATTAATTCAGCATATCTGCTGGACTTTCTCCTTCTACGCGTCTGAAGAGTGCACAAGATCGCGCGAGAGTCGATGAGCGGGGCAGTGCCGCGCGCTGTCACGCTAAATTTAAGCTTAACTCCGAGCCCAAAATTTTGGAGCTCGGCGCGACAGCTAGCGACCGTGGATGCGACGTTACTCTGCACGATCTGAAATCTCCTTCACTTCTTGGACGATATAGCGTCGCAAGCCTAACCGTGGCTTCCATTACCATCTTAGTACGCCGTATATGTGGACCACGAGTCTTTCTGACCCTTCCCCGCAGAGCATGCGCCTTCGGTAGCTCTTTCCCACGCGCCTTCCATACTTCACCCACTATGGCCTCCGCCGATGTTCCCATGACTGACGCGCTCGCCAAGACGATTGATGCAACACCGCAAGCCGGGCAACAAATAAGCCATGCGGGCAAAGAATACACCACCATAAAGGAAGGGTTGGCGCATATCCTCGTGCCTCAGGGCGTGCCCACCTCGACCGACCCCAAATTGTCCAAGGAAGATACGCAGAAGCAACAAGTCTTCTACAACCCGATACAGCAATTCAACCGCGATTTGAGCGTACTGGCGATCAAGACATTTGGTCAGGATTCAATACAGCGGAAGTCCAAGAAGCACGAACAGTTCAAGGAGAGAAATGCGCGGAAGAAGCAGCGGATGCAGGCAAGTCGCGCAGCCAAGGATGTCGCAGACGGTTCGAACGACGTGACCGAGGTGAACCAAACAGCTGCAGTGCCAGGTGTGGAAGAGGTGACGTCCAAGAAGAGGAAGCTGGACGACGTCGAGATGGAGGACGACGCAGCTCCCCCGAAGAAGCAGCGAGTCACCGAAAACGGCGAGAAGGAGGCAGAGGACGAGGTGGACATAAATGGGGGAAGGACACCCTGGAAGCCAGCCTTCAGTATCTTGGATGCGCTATCTGCGACTGGCCTTCGTGCTCTTCGGTACGCCCAAGAGATACCGTTTGCGACTGCCGTCACAGCGAACGACATGTCGCCGAATGCTGTAGAGTCCATTAAACTCAACGTGAAGCACAACAAACTCGAAGAAACCATAACGGCAAACACGGGCAATGCTATAGCTTACATGTACAGCTTCTGTGACAAGAAAGGATACGACGTCATCGATCTAGATCCCTACGGTACTGCAGCCCCGTTCATCGATGCGGCCATACAAGCAATCAACGACGATGGGATGCTGTGTGTAACCTGTACCGACTCTGCCATCTTCGCCTCGCACGGATACCTCGAAAAGACATACTCACAGTATGGTGGCCTGCCTTTCAAAGGTGAGCCGTGCCATGAGGGTGGACTACGCCTGATCCTACATGCCATCGCATCTTCAGCTGCTCGCTATGGCATGGCCATAGAGCCGCTTCTCTCCCTCTCCATCGACTACTACATCCGAGTCTTTGTACGAGTACGAAAAGCACCAAACGACGTCAAACTGCTCGCCGGCAAAACCATGCTCGTCTACCACTGCGAAAGTGGCTGCGGCGCATGGTCTACTCAGTTCCTCGCACGCAACAAGGTTACGAAGAACAAGAACGGTGATCCCATGTATAAACATGGCTTTGCTCAGGGGCCGTCCGCGGACCAGCACTGCGAGCACTGCGGTCATAAGACCCACCTGTCAGGACCAATGTACGGCGGCCCGTTGCATAACGTTGGTTTTATCGAAAGAGTACTAGCGCAACTGAATGATGTTGACCGCGAGACGTATCCGACAATGGATCGCATACAAGGAATGCTCCATACAGCTTTGGAGGAGATTACGTTTGGCACCAAGCTGGAGAAGTCAAACGGAGCGCAACAGACCCAAGTACTGGATGCCCTGATCCCCAAGTCAGATCCGGCAGAGATAGACCATCATCCATTTTTCTTCATACCCAGTTCGGTAGCCAAGGTGGTCCACTGTTCTGCACCACCGTTAGCAGCACTACGTGGCGCGCTACGACATGCGGGCTTCAAAGTAACGATGAGCCATTGCAAGCCTGGCTCCATCAAAACCGACGCTTCTTGGAGTGACATCTGGCACATTATGCTCGAATGGGTGCGGCAGAGAGCGCCGCTCAAGAATGCGCTCAAGACTGGGAGCCCGGGCCACGCCATAATGGCAAAGGCAAGCGCGAGCGGTCACACCAGGACAACTGCCGCTGCAGAACCAGCACAAGTACCGGTCGATCCGGCGACAGAGGCGCAAGGTACGGGGGAATCGGCGACAGCAACGGCAAAGGATTTGCCAGCTTATCTCAACACCAAATACTACGTCAACTTTGACGAAAAGCTTGGCAAGGATCATGACAGAGGCAAGTACGTCCGGTACCAGCTCGCACCAAGGGAGAACTGGGGCCCGATGTCGCGCGCCAAATGATTGAATCATGAACAATACATCCTTGCTCCCATGTTATCGTCAATGTGTTCAGTTATGCATTGTTTGACGCACATCTCTCCAATAATCATCTCCCATGCGCCCAGCTCTCCGTCAAAACTCGGCGGAAGTTGCGCACATCTAACGTCATCGACCATGTGCTTAGCTAACGCGACAAAGATTGCCCAAGCCCCATCGGAAAAAGCCATCTCATCTCATTTGCCCATCTTGCAGACGCACGTTGTTGTTTTTCCGAGGAAGCGATACATATGCCTGGCTTGGACAGCGCTGCCATTGCCGCATCGGTTATCAGTCAAGCGGAGTTGTGCCTGCTTCTGTACCTGCAGAGGCCTGGGCAAACAATGCGGGTAGGAATTGGGATAAAGACAGGCATATCCACGCAGCCACGCGAGACTGCCGTTCCGCGGAGGCGAGTAGTCGAGAAACTGACGGATTTCTCAGCAACAAAAGTTGACCGGGTGTATGCTTAAGCGTTACACTACTCCCGAACCGTCCTGGTAGACCTTGCTCAAGCCTTGGAAGCAACCCGGTTTGTTTACTGTAGTGGTCGATCGATTGCGGGGCGGGAGCACTAGCGGCTCAAAACTTAAACAACTCCACCATGTCATCACGTCGTCACGTCGTGCACGGGGCGAATATGGAAAACACGCCCCTGCACAGCACGCGTTCACGCAGCGCCGAGACAACATCGGGTGCCATCGAAAAGCATTGAGCAAGCAATTTTCAGCAGCGATACGTCTGATTCGTCCGTGCCAGCGTTCCGATGCAAATCCCGAGAATCCCATGTCGTGGCCGACTTTACCATGGCTGCGGTCCTCACTGCCGCATCCGTTCAGTCATGAAATCATAGCATCTTAGCCCTAATGGGACGCTTGACTGGTGTCATCGACTCGAAATTAATGGCAATAGCGTGTATACGCCATGCGGTCACCAGCTGAACAGTCGTATATAACCACGGCAGGCGTCCGTCCTTTCTACTGCACAACAACTCGAACCGACAACTCGAATTCAAGATGTTGACCAAGAGCCTCCTCACCACTTCGGTCCTTGTAGCCTTTGCTGCCGCTGCTCCTCAGTACAGCGCCGCGCCCCAAGAGACTGGTGATGGGCCAGCAGGCTACACCAACGCGGATGCCAGCTTCTCCGTGACCTTCACGCCAGCTGCGACTCCCGCTTCTGTCTTCGGTCCTGACTCCCAGGTTCCCGTAAGTATCCTCAATTGCTGTGATAAAACTTCACTAACAATCTCAAAGGCTATTCCCACAGAAGCTGGCTCAGCTCCTCCCCGGAGGAGCTCTGATGTAACTGGAGCCACCAGCCATGGACCATACTCTGGTACACCCACGACTACTGGAGCCGCTAAGGCGCCCACTACCATTGGCACCGCCATTGCTCCTCTGCCGCCGAACCCAACGGCTACCTACTACAACACCAATGGCCTGCCTCAGAACCCCATGCCCATTCCCTACACACCAGCTGGCGGTCTTGGCACCAACGGTACCGAGCCTCGCTACATGGTCAACAGCGACTTCGACTACGAGTCCATCACCCTTGGTCTCTACCAGGAGTGGATCGAGCTCGACTTGTTTAACAACGGTCTTGCCGTCTTCTCTACTCAGGACTTCCTTGACGCTGGTCTGACTGCTGAGGACCGCGCCTACATTGCCTTCATGGCAACCCAGGAGAGTGGCCATGCTACTCTCCTCACCAACATGCTCGGCGAGACTGCTCCTCCCCAGTGCACTTACAACTACCCATACCGCACTGTCCGCGAGTTCATCGACTTCAACATCAAGGTCACTCGCTTCGGTGAGTCTGGTGTTTGGGGGTTCCTTGCCCACATGGACTCTCGCGAGGTTGCCACTCTCCTCTCTCAGTCCATCGCTACCGAGGCCCGCCAACAGATCTCTTTCCGTCAGATGATGGGTCTTCATCCCATGCCCGTCTGGTTCGAGACTGGCATTCCTCAGTCATGGCAATGGACCTACCTTGCTCCCTACATCAGCTCCTGCCCCGAGAACACCACTCGTCTCGCATGGCAGAACTTCCCCGCTTTGTTCATCGACAACCAGCCCAACCCCAACCGCTTCTCTCCCAACGACACCAAGCCCCACGAGGTTGCCGGTGGCCGCGTCGCTGACCCTGCCGACTCCACCATCCCCGCTGATGAGAGCTGTGTGAACATCAATGGCACTGAGCACCCCGGCTACTCTTGCGGCCCAGCCATCGCGCGCAACCGCTCTGAGCCTCTGTCTTTCCCCGGAAAGTTGGTCAACCTCACCTGGGAGAACCCCGGTCTTGCTGTCGGCCCCAATAACTCCTACATCACCGACACCACTGCTGGCGCCCCTGCCTTCGTCGCTTGGGTCTCGCAGCTAAACCTTACTTACACTCCTCTCGAGATCACCGGTGAGAACACTGGTTTCACCTACCAGCCCGCCGGTGAGGTCTACGAGGGTGACCCAGCCGTTAACGGTACCATGTTCGTTGCTCTTACTGACGCCAACCCTTACCTCACTCCCTTCAACTTGAGCATGATCAACCCTCACGTTGTCGCTCTTGGTCTTTACTCATCTGGTTAAGTCTGTCGCTAGCGCAGCACAGAACTTGGATTCCATGCTACTGTAGTGTGTCGCAATAGTTGTACATTTAGTGAATGAGGCCTATGAGCCATGTAATTAGGGGAAGGAGCAGACTGTTGTATGATAACGATAGTTGAGGCGTGGATATGAGACGTAGCTGTTAATGCGTAATGATACCAATTACTATTTGCTTGTTGAGTGCTATCGGATGTCTGCTTGTTTGTTCCCATCTTGGCTCAAGTGATGCGTCCGTGCGCACTTTTGGCATACAAAAGGCTTTTGCCCGGATGTCCTACACTCATCATCCACTGCTTTTTACATTCCCAACTTTAAATTTTACATTAAAAAACTACCCCGGGCTTTAAATGCTTTCCCTCGGTTTCTAAAATAGATAGAACGTATGCCATTATGGCGTTCGTTGCTTCTGCTTTCCCGCTCAAAAAATCACCGGCTACGCCATATTGCTTCATTCACCTTCACTCGATACTCCACGATCTTAAAACAGCGTGCAGAGGCTTTTATGAGGGCGTCTTTTGCGTCCTTCTCAATAAACATACCTGAGCGATTTCCATGGATAAATAAAAACTACCATGGCACATAACCATGTGTTGCAAGCTTCCAAGCGCTTCTCTTTCATTGAAAGCTTTTCAAAAACCCATGAACTTATCCAACGATGTTGCTTTGCGCCTTATTCTTCTGTTCAGAATTTTGAAGAATCTAAAAAATTGCTACGACAAGAAACATGTTGCTCTTCTTTCTGCGAGAAAAGAAAACCAAAGAGTCAGGAACGCATGTTGCGTCGAGAGGGCTGGGGTGGTGTATATAAGTCCACCTCTTCTTTTGCTGTTCCTTTACTTCTTAAGCATAATTGAAATTTGTTTATACAAAAAGATATGGGTCGAAGACATGTATCTTTCCCGCCACATTTCCTGCATCTAATGAAAACATTGAAAACCCGGATAGTCGAGTAGTTGTGTGTTCTAAAAATCGGAACAACGCTTGCATGTGAGACAAGGCCTTGTTGAAAAGATTGCGCAACAGTCAAGGTTCATGACTCTCTCCGTCTTCTTCTATACGCCTATAAATCTTCAAAATACCGTCCAACATCCCTATGGACTGCGCCTTTATAAAAGTGTAAATAACAGCGCCCTATGAGTGTTTCTGAGTCTGTCGAAGAACAGACTATATATTGTGGATGGGGCCGCGCTCGATATTCATCTTTCCTATTATCTCCTTCAGCTTATTAGAAACTTATAAAAAGGAGGGCAGTACTCGCATGTGCTGGTTTGTCCCAAAAATCCCAAACAGGCCTCGTGTGGAAACTGGGTCTTTGTGTCAAAAAAATCAACTGATCTACGGATATGTGTTTGTACTGTCTCTCCGTCTCTTCCTGGGGGATTTTCTGAAAATCCCAGTCCGAGCTCATGATGAACGGCCTGTCTGAGAAGGTTAAAAACCGTGGTACTCGTGACCATGGATGCCGTGGTGCGGACTTAAAAAAGTACACATCAACTTACGGGTGACGCTGGGAGACTATGGGTTGAAATAATTATATATTTTGTCGATATTTCTCTGTACTCCTTCTTTTCTACAACACAATTCTGACTATCAAAACACTGAAGAATCCCTACAGACATCCCTGATGATTTTGCTCCTTCTTTTGTCTAAAAACAACTTTACATACCGAATGTTCTAAAAAATCGTCGACGCAAGCCAAAATATCTTTGCGCTTGTGGAAAATCCGTGGGCTGTGAGCTTATGGCGTGTATGGCATCCTCTGGCCTAAAAAGGTATTAAATTGCGTCTGGCCGGATACAAAAGTGTAAACAAAAAGTGGTATGTCTTTTCCTTCCTCTCACTGGCTCCTGCAGTCATGGGTGTTTCATACTAAATCGTTCGACTCTACCTATGCATGAGATCGTTGGCGTCAGAATTTAAACCTGATTTCTAACACGAGAATTGACTTCTTCCGTACTCCTAAAAAAACAATCCGGATGTTGCATGGGGAATTGTCGCCCACTGCGGACTAAATTATTTTTTCCTGCTCTTGTCGGCCTGCTTACTCGGTATCCACACTTGAAAATATCTTCTCTAAAAAAGAGGAATGAACTGCCATGACTACCCTGTCTGTTACTATTCTGATTTTACGAAATCATACAAAATAAAGTGTCAAAATGTGCGATGTGTGCCAAGATTGCGATTTCGAAAGTGTGCATGAGCAAGTGGAGGATTGAAGAAAATACCAGGAAGGTTCACGTAAACCTAAACTTCAGGTTGTTTCCGATAGGATGCTGGTATAATTCCGAATAGTGCGTCATTGAAGACTTATATACTGCTCAAAAGGCTGGTGCAAACTGTGTATGAAAATACGCTACAGTACCAGTCTTGTGAGAAGCCTTGTTCTATCCGAGATTAAGTTGAGATACAATAAATGCAGTCAGACACTTCTATTACCATGTAAGACTTTCTTTCTCGTTGCGACTCCTCGGGGGGATTTGCCGATGTGATTTCAAAGCCCTGCCGCGCGTTGACATCCATCGAGAAACACCTTCCTCTAGCTATGGTGAACGCTCGCGGCTAAGGTCTTCGTATGACCTAATGTCTCGCTCGAAAGCAAGGCTAGTTTCAATTTCGTCAACACCACTTAGCAACTCGTACTTTCTCCTCTCTGGGATCTCAAAACGATGTACATCGTGCTGTGCCAAGTGTATCGTCTGTTCTTGGATGGCCGCCCACTTTCTTCTTCTTCTCTTCATCTCGACTGTAAATAGCATCTGGAATAGGTAGCTGGAATACAGTACCTACAGACCGTTCACAGCTACATACAGGACTGGCATCGACCGTTTCTATTCGTTCCTACGTGCACACACATATGCATGGACACACAGCACCTATGAAAGAATATAGTCTAGGGCAGAAACCACTGTGATGGCTTTCCCTACTCTTTTTTTACCACTTTCTGTTATCTTGGAATACCACGCGAGGCTTGAAGATAACTCGAGAAGATTGTCACTGTACAGTCCTGAAGCAGGAACGAATAGAATCCTACACCCAGTACGTTAAAGCTCGTTTCGGGATTCAGCGACGTGTATCATACTGTTCTTTGGAAACTCCAAGGCTCTGAAGCACGGCATTGGTGACTCGGACCGAATCTGTGAACGCATCTTCAGACCAATCGACTTCGTCCCTAAGCACGTATTAGAGACTAGATCTAAAGTACTGGTGAAACCTACAGCTTATTAACCAGAACCACCATCTTGTGTGACGCCATGCCGTTCAATTGATCACCAATCTCTTGCAGCTGCTTGTCTGTCTCATGAGGCATAATGATGAGAAGGAGACCGTCAGCGTTAGATAAATTTTCTTTTATTGATTTAGCAGGGAATTCTGTGCCTAGACAATGTACCTAGATTGAAGCACGTACCCGTTACGGTAATCTTGTTATTGGGTGTGTAGAAGTAAAGTTTTTCGTTCCTCGCCTTGATCTCGTTGAAGGCTCTGGCGTATCCGTTGTTGCGCCCTTTCTCGAGTCTCTCCAGAGTTGGCATATCGATACCTCCACACTAAGTCTTCGTAAGTAATTAAACTATCTTCTAATGCGGCGCTATACCTTATAGATGAGATTGCCGATAGTCGTCGCTTTCCCGGCACCATGGCTTCCTAGAACAGCCAGGATTTTGCCTGCCTCTGACATTGTGATGTTTTATATCCTGTGAGGTGACGGAAGGTTCTGTCATCCACGCGTTCCCTTAGCAGACGTGAGTGTCGTCAGGCAAATGGGGTTGGCTTTTGTTGCTCGAGAACTAAGCCACGTACGTAGCACAACCCTGCTCTGCCACGTGATCTTCCAAATTTCGTCGAAATATCTTGGTAGGCACTACCATGTTACGATGAACGGTACGAACCTTAAACACAATGTTGTCCCAACACCTTCGTTAAGCGTCAGTCTAAGCTCAAAGTAAATCCCAACCGAAATCATGACTGTAGAAAGGCCATATGTGAGGGTCCTAGGGTTATTAAGAAAAGGTCATGGTCATGCTTATGCAAAACACAATTCCACTTGCCATGAAATCCAGACTGGATGGCTGGTCGGTCGCATCAGCATCCAGGGACAAGACAGTGCGGCTATAGGAGGTGGTGACCGGAATGTGTCGCAGCACACTAGAGATCTATAATAGTTACACTTCAGATATAATTTTTTTCGCTAGAGAACTAACTAGTAAGTTGCTTTATACAAATCAAGGTAATATCTCTTTACCTCAAACTTTAGTTGTTACATCGCTTTTTAGTCCACTGTAGCAGTCGTCCTGTATTTTGGTGCAGAATTAGTAGATAGTTATTGCATGATTAGTAACGCTTCCTATAGCTTCCGCTAGAATATCCACTATAAATAAATGTAGTACACACGAATATAGCTTATTTAGAGCTTTCATCTAGTTATATAATTCCACTCAAAATTTTCGAGTATTATATAACTAGAAGTATTTAATGAAATTAAGATTTTATCGAAATAAAACATTAGCCCCCTTCCTCAAGGGTATGCGAGCTCCATATGCGGGTGACTCGGTATATCTCGCTTACAGTGGTTCTCACCAAGATGCAACCCATAAAGGGCTCAAACAGCGAGAGAAGACAGCAGAAAGCAAGGGAAAGAGTATCTGGAAAGTCCCGTATCTTCCACTGGATCCCAAGGACATCTGTGCTACATACAAGAGTATCATTTAGGTGAACTTGCAGAGCGGAAAGGGAGGCGCCGCGTGGATACTAGAGACGAGTGCCGGTCTCGACTTACCGCTTGGTTTATGACAAGACTTCTCGGTCGTGATGAAAGCCGCTTCTGACCAGTTAGGCCGTGTTCTCACGCCGGAAGATCTACAACAACTATTCTTGCGCAATTACAAGGTGCTTGGACGGGATGACTATGTGTGTAAACACAGCGCTACATCCACTACCGATGGCGACATTGATGTTCGCGCGACGATTGTCGATGACGGGATTTTTCGTTATACTGATGGCAAGGGACCATCGGTATCGGCTGCGTTGTCTAATGCCCTCGCTGTCAGGACTGGCCTGCAAATTTCTTTTGAGGTATACCATTACAAATGGGTGGAGAATGAGCAGGAGCAGGATATGAAGATTGCAATGTGCAACCTGAACCAAGGGAAGTTCACGTCGTGGGGTGCAAAGCTTGGCTCAACGCTGGATGCTGAGCTGCTAGCTTGTCTTTCTGCTCTGCCGGTAGGTACTTATTTCGATCACTGCAGAAGCTAGAGGGTAGCGCCCAGAGCGCAATGATTTTTTTCCATAACCAGAAGATGGGCTGAAGGTATTCCATTGGCCTAGGTTGTCCTTTTTGACGGTGGTGGTGGTAGTGGCTGCGAGGGCAAGCACGTGGTCACCGAAAGGTGTAGACACGGAGGAATATGACTTCCTTTGGTACCATCACTGCGAGTATATTGGTCGGTCGTTAAAAAGGCTGAGTGGATGAAGAATTGTCGTGTATATGAAAAGTTGGTGGTAGAAACCTGAGAGGATACGGGAATAAACGTCGATGAAACCCTGCACTAAAGACGTGCCCGCATGCTAAGGAAATGGTCTGCCCCTTGATGGAGATATAGGTAGAAGGTGACGAACGCGGCTCTGCGGAAGGATCGATGATCGTGGGGTATTAGCGTATCTCCACCCGGCGCGAGAACCACAATTATGAAAGCTCTGCCTGGAACGGGCGGCATCGGCATTGGCGTTGAATGAATAAGCATGCTAACATCCCAGATCATTGTTAAATATAGTTTCCCATCTCAATTGCAAAAGCATAGGTATCACCCGGAGATTCCGCAAATACACCTGCATCAATACCATTACCCCAACACACAGCACATCACCCCATCATGGCAACCGATGACGTACAAATCCCGCAGCACGTGGGTCTTGCTGAAGCACCCCGCGAAGTCGAAGCCATCAAAGCCCAAGAGAAGGAATCAATCTTGCCGTACTGGGATTCCAGCGTTGCGTTTAAGCTCGGGTACAACATCCGCACGAGGCTACTGACTTTCGAGCGACCGGCTGTGGTGAACATCTCCACGATCAGCACACCAGGCCACGTGCTCTTCCACTCTGTACATGCTCACGCTTCATCCCTTCCAGAGTTGACGCTAACAACCAAACGCAGGTAACACACTCCGGCACAGCTCTAGACAACGACTTCTGGGTCTCCCGCAAACGCGCAGCCGTCATCCGCTTCAACGCCAGTACATGGCGTCTGCAAAACCAATTTGAAGGTGATGAAGAGAAGTTCAAGGCCAAGATGGGCCTGGGCGAAACAGCGAAAGACTATGCGATCCATGGCGGCGGTGTACCTATCTTCATTAAGAATTGTGACGGACCTGTTGCGGTGGTTGTGGTTAGTGGGTTGAAGCAGTGGGATGATCATCAGGTTGTGATTGAGGAGTTGGGCAAGTTGTGCAAGGATATGGAGAGTGGGAATGGCCGGACGCCTGTTTAGGTATAGCGGGTTGGTGAGTTATTGTGTATAAAAGATGGTCTTTGGGGCGTGGGCTCTGTGTCTTGTATTGTCATCGAGTTGGCGGTACATTAAAAACCATTCGTGGAAATCTATGGAATGTACTAAAATAAAGCCTTCCAAAAGTTCATGGATTCTTTGCGAGTTCCAAAAACTAGTTAACATGCTTCTGATGTGAATCTAAAAGAAGAAGCAACACTCGAATGGAGTCGACTCCTTCCTCTTTTCCTACTCCCCTCCCCACCAGAACCACCTTTTCCTCAATTTACAAAAACAGACGTAGAACAAGGTGATGTTTTTCTCTTCTCCTTTAGCTCTCACCCCCTAAAAATCCCACACCATCATTGCAACGCTGCCTTCCTCAATTACTAAAAAAACAGATGTTAGAAAACTCCAGCGCACAATCCCACGAGCGAGACCTCCCTAAATCTTCCAAACAGCTATTCATGTATCCAAAACTTCCATATCCGCTGCGCATGACTCCCAAAATCAACAGGGGACACCCTCTATGTCTCTGTGCTTCTACGCCTCTTTGAGTACAAACATCCTTCTCCTCTCCCTTTCTTCCTTCTCTTTTACTTCACACATCCCTTCTTTTACAAAAAAAACCACTAAAATGCAAAATCTAATCCGTACATATCTTCTCTCTCCCGCTTTCTGAAAAAAATAGTATACGAAGCAAACCATGTTCCTCCTCTTTCCCTCCTTTCCTCATCTTTGAACCCTGCAAAACCGTCCTCTGGCTTTTCAAAAAACCATGAGACAATAAATGAATGTGTTAGCGTGGAATAGGCAGCCGCACTGGAATATGGAAACGATTGAAAAAGAGATGCCACATCCTCATGTCTCTCGACTCTTCTACCTTTCCCAAAATGATGCACAAACTGGACCTTTGTTTCCCCGATCTCTAAAATTTTAAAATGACAAGGTGTATTTCACATGTTCTTCCAAAAGTATAATTCAACACTCCTATGTGTGGGTGTGCAGCGGGCAAGCAGTCATATTTCCCCCTTCTCCTGTCCTTCTCAAAAACAACAGCAGAACTCCACCATTTTCCCACCCCTTCCCCCAGCTCTTGGTATTTAAAAGGAAATTTGCGACATGTATATGTTCTTCCAAAAGTGGCACTATAAAGATCGCATGTGCAGGTTGTTGGTGTGGATCGCGCCAACAAACAGCTCAATTATTGTGAACATCAAGGAGATGTGTGTGGTATGAACGGTTGGCTGGGTTTGGCGATGTGACTAAAAATAAGTTCACTTGTCCTGGATATTTCTAAAAAGTGGATGAGAACGCGGTATGGACCCACTGTGTGCCTGTGTCTTCTGGGGTGTCAAAAACACACTTTGGACTAGTTGATGCTGTGGTCGGTTTGAGCGTGGCCGTGCGTCAGGTTGGGTATATAAACTTCGAATGGGCTCCGTGTTTTCTTTTTCATCGAATGCTATAAACGAAATTGGTATATCTAAAAGCTTCTGTGGATGAGTGGCATGTTGGCGGTCTGCCTTTTCCCAAAATTGATGTCTTCGCTTGAGAAAAAGTCGGTTCTTTTTCTGTATATGACCGAGGCGCTGGAATCTAAGATCTCCAATTCTTTAAACTTTTGCAGGAAAACATGATTTGAATCCGCTCGTCAGAGATGATTCACAAAGATCACCACTGTTAAAGCGAAAACCAAAAACTTCCCGATCAGATTGAATGTGGCGCGATTACGGAGAACCAAAAGTCAGAAAATCTAGTATCATCATCGTAAAGAATATATAAGTCATTGCTCTACCAATAGTACATGAAGAGAACCCACAGAGAAACTTTTAAATCCCAATCCAAGGGTGCCATCTTCTCCAAGAAAGTACCGGATCAAGCAGCTCGTAGGGTATCCGCTAGAAACTGACAAAACCAAAACTCCAAAACGCGCGCTGAACTATCATGATGATCTGGATCTTAACCCTCCTCTCTGTCCATCTGATCACGTCCTCTCCTTGCACCTCCGCCGCGGCCACCTCGACCGCCACCCCTGCCTCCACGTCCACCCTTGCCCCTCTGCTCGTGAATGTCTTTCATCTCCCTAATTGCTACTCTCTGTGCTTCACTGACACGGTCCATATATACCATTGCCTCGTCCTTGTCAAAGGTCTGTTCAGGAATCTTCTTGCCCAAGGCATGCTCGATGCGCAGCCAGATCTCGAGATCGTACTGTGTGACGAACGATACTGCTTTACCCGACTTTCCAGCTCTTGCTGTTCGGCCGACGCGGTGGACGTAGGTTTGGGAGTCACTGGGGAGGTCAAAGTTGACAATAAGGTCCACCGCGGGTATATCGAGACCACGGGCTGCTACATCGGTGGCTACGAGGATGTCTCGGCTCTTGGATTTGAACTTATTGAGTGCACCTAGACGTGCAGACTGCGAAAGCTGACCGTGGAGAGGAATGGCGCCGAAGCCGAGAGCGCGGAGGAGGACTGCAATACGCTGGGTTTCGTTGACGGTGCGGGTGAAGATGATGGTCGGGTGGCCGATGTTGTCGTTGAGCAGGTGGACAAGATACAGATCCTTGTACTTGTGCGGTATGAAGGCGTATCGCTGTAGTAGTGTCGAAACGACCTGGTGGGACGAGCTGCTGATGCTCACCCGGACTGGGTTCTGCAGAGCTGCGCGTTGAAGACTCTCTACTTTGGACGACATGGTAGCAGAGAAGAGATAGGTGTGTCGTCCTTCTCTGGGCAGTACTTTCAGAATCTTATCCAAGACAGGACCGAAGTCGAGGTCGAGCAGGCGATCGGCTTCATCGAGAACCATGTATTTGAGGTGCTTGAGCGAGAAGCCCTTTGTGTTTTCGAGGTGATCAAGTAGACGACCTGTAGTTTGTTAGTAGGACGCATTATGCCCTGTATGTACCAAAACTCACCAGGCGTAGCAACAACAATGTGTGGCCGCTTGGACAGGGCGATGGCTTGTGGCACCATATCCATGCCTCCTACAAGGGTGGCACATTTGACGTTGATAATGCTGCCCAGGGCATCCACCTGTTGTGCAATCTGATATGCCAATTCTCGTGTAGGTGCCAGAATCAAGCCAAAGAGTGGTTGTGGCTTCTCCAACAGCGATTGAAGAATGGGCAGAACGAATGCGGCCGTCTTTCCGGAACCAGTTTCAGCGAGACCGATGACATCGCGGCCTTCGAGAGCGAGGGGTATAGCTTGCGTCTGAATCGGGGTTGGGTTCTTGAACTTGAGGTTCTCGCAGGCATCGCAGAGTTCTTCTCGTACACCCAGGTCGGCAAATGTTTTCTTCACTTCATCTGCGCCGGTTGTTGCGGGCTCGGCTTCTTCCTCAGCGTCAGGTGCACTCGATTTGTCCTGATCCTTTTCGGCACCTCCATCTTCCTCATCTTCGTTCACCTCTTCGTCGTCATCGCTGGACTCGGGTTCGGGCGGCGGTGCAGGCTTCGCCGCAATCTTCTCTGAGGATCGCGCCTTCTTCGACGACGACGCACCGGTCGCACTCGACCCGACTTCTTTGAGCTTTCTCTTTGCAAGACCGGGCATTTCGGTGTAAAGAATGAATGGTGAGAGGCGTGCGACAACTTTTGGCTGATACCGACTGGATTGCGAAATCTTGGCGGACCGAGGCTAGCAGACCCACAGAAAAGTTTCGCGACCCCATGCGACTGGAGCTGGCTTCAACAGACGATCACGACGACTTTCTACAACACGAGTGCCATTCTTTCGCACGCACCAACATTGGGAAGAATTTCGTCGCACATTTCAGCGCAAATACCTGATTCGACCTTTAAATACAAACGGAAACTTTAAGCCGTCACTATGGCCCGTGGAAGAGGAACCGCGAGGAAGAAGCAGTCTGCAAAGGACAAGGAGCTGGCCAAGAAGCCCCAGGCAGGCCCCAAGTCCATGGTAATTCGCATTGGCGCTCAAGAAGTTGGAAAGTCGGTCAGCGACCTGGTCAATGATGTTAGGCATTGCCTTGAACCAGACACAGCTATCCGCCTCAAAGAGCGACGGGCGAACAAGCTCAAGGACTACCTGGTCATGTGCGGACCGCTTGGAGTCTCACATTTGCTTCTATTTTCTCGCTCAGAATCTGGAAACACAAATCTTCGCCTCTGTCGAACGCCGCGCGGTCCGACTCTCCATTTCCGAGTAGAGAACTACAGTCTCTGCAAAGACATTATCCATTCGATGAGACGCCCGCGAGCTGGGGCTCAAGACTACCTCGTAAGGTTTCCCTATAATATTTGTACTATCTTTCTACATAGTATAGAGGCTAATCTTATAGGTTGCTCCGCTGCTTGTTATGAACAACTTCTTAACAACCGATACGCAGAGGGAAAGTATGGGCGAAAAGGCACCGCCGAAGCATCTGGAGAAGCTCGTGACAGACATGTTCCAGGGCCTCTTCCCTCCTATCCAACCCCACACCACACCCCTCCATTCGATCAAGCGCGTGCTCCTCCTCAACCGCGAACCTCCTTCAGACGACACAGGCTCCGTCACAATAAGCCTAAGACACTATGCTATCACTACAAAGGTCACAGGCGTGCCCAAGGCGATCCGAAGGCTATACGCGGCAGAGAAGTTGATAGGCAGCAAGGAAAAGAAGAAGAGCGCACTACCTAATCTTGGAAAGCTAGAGGACGTCGCAGACTATATGCTGGATCCCTCAGCGGCAGGATATACATCCGCCTCCGACACGGAACAGGATACGGACGCCGAGGTGGAAGTCACAGCACCCGTACGGCAAAAGGTCCTGTCGCGTCGCGAAAAGGAGAAGCTCAAGGCTGGCGACGAGACGTCTCACGCACGAGCTCGCGGCTCCAAGCCCCGTGTCGAGAAGCGCGCCGTCAAACTCGTCGAGCTCGGCCCTCGCATGAAGCTTCGCCTCACAAAGGTCGAGGAGGATGTGTGTGGCGGTAGGATCCTGTGGCATGAGTTCATCACAAAGACCAAGGCAGAACAACAGGAACTAGAGAAGAAGTGGGCACAGAGGAACAAGGAGAAGGAGGAGAGGCGGCGCATACAAAAGGAGAATGTGGAAAAGAAGAGGAAAGAAAAGGCTGCTGCAAGGGGCGAGAACCCAGAAGAGGGCGAAGGAGACGATGATGAGGACGAGGAGATGGATGATCTGGACGATTATGATATGGATGATGATGTCTGGCAGGACGCGGCAGATGCTGGTGAAGATGGCGAAGACGAGGAAATGGAGGAGTGATGCGATTTGATCTAAAAGTTATAATGATACCCCATTCGACGCAATGAAATATGCCTGGGAAACTTCACAATACGTGTTCCAACATAGGCTAGGGTATCTACACCATCAAGCTCCTTTTGGCTTCTTGATCATAACCTTCTCCCCGTCAGCGCTCAGTGCCCACCCCACCCCATCTTCCACCAACTCTTCCCACCTCCGATCCGTACACCTCTCCACAAACCTTCTATCAGCACTCAAATAACTTTTGCCCAGACACTTCAACGCATGCACCCTTACGCCCCCATCAGCCCACTCCATAACACTCCTCTGATACCCATCCACCGCTCTCCTCACCCGCCAAAACCCCACGTAATCATCCGCCACCAGACACTTGAGCACCTTCTCCACCCTCCAATCCTTATACCCGTATGCCAATTTCGTTGCCCGCGCGCCCGAGAAATCAGACTGCCGACACGCCTGATCGAGAATCAAGAGGCCTACAAACTCGTGCAGTGTCGACGGCGACAGCGGGTTCCGGGGATGAATTGTATTGAGTAGCGAGAGTAGGGATGGTAGATATGAGTTCCAGTCATGACACAGGACGGACACGTGGATGGCGAAGGTGTATGCGCGGAGGGTGAAGGCGTCACTCCGACTCGACGCGGTTATTGCTTCACGGAGTTTACGCAACGAAGCCAGTACCGTTGCCAACTCTGTTATCGAGGGTGCAAACGCTTTCTGCGGTATAGGATGTATGTTGCTAGTATTTGTGGACGCTGTAGCGAGGGGTGGTCGACTGGCGGCTTGGTGTTCCGGAGGCGCGTGCTTGGATAGCGAGAGCGAGGAGAACGAGGATGTGAGTTTACTTGTTTCGTTGGCCTTTGTATCTGCGGCTGTGGCGTCTGAGGGGACGCTGACGGAGGCGAAGAGACGGTCGAGTTCTTCGCGGTTGAGGGCGCAGAGTTTCATGTAGCGTTCGATGATTCGGTTGAAGTATACTTCTTGGGTTTTGAAGTCGTTCAGCCTGGGGGATCAGTGATTTGATAGGCTATCCGAGATCGAGTTGTTGGTACCGTGTCTCGCCCTTTGAGGGCAGCCCGTATGTCTCCAGGACATCTTCGCGGACAGGCTTGAGGCGGTTCCATGCCCCGGAGGCGGCGCGACGGCTGCTGGGACGGGCGGGGTCTGAGGACTTCATCGCGCTGGTAGGTAGAGGCAGGGAGGGAGGTGAAGCTCAAGTTATGTCAAACGCGATTATCATGGCTGTATCTGGCACCGAGGACAATCGCGACCCATGCTGGGTTTGTAGAAGCAGTTGCGCAGGGGGGTTAGAAGGTGGGATGGAGGGGCACACTTGAGCACGCTGCCGCACTACTTCCACCCCGAGCTCTCTCCGCCAAACTGACGTGATGCGACATTCAGAATACCGAAGCGTTGCGATCTTCCCAATACACGTATGATAGAGTTACGAAACGCGTGCTGTCCTCGCAAGGTCCACCAGATGTGGCATAGTCTGGTAGGGGTCCTAGAAGGTACCTAGGTATTCGAGAAGCCGCTGCATGACATGTGAACTCCAGATTTCCTCTACATGAACATTCACATCTCCGCATTGCTATATATCTTCTTATTCATCCTCTGTCTTTAGTACAACGAGAACATGGATACCGCAAAAGAGGCAGCTTCGACAGCCGCAACCAAAGGGAAAGAGCTGGAGCAAAAGGTCGGGGAAAAGTTGATATTGCTATGGCATGAAATCTCGCCATGGCAGCAAGACAATCACTACATCCGATCCGGTTACCGCGCTCAATCAAATTCCTACGCCAAATCATGGAAAAGCCTTGGTTATCTGCACAACGAAACTGTCAATATCTACACTCATCTTATCGGAGCCCTTCTAGCCGCCATCTCCGGTGTAGTTCTCTATCAAACTCTTGAGCCTCGTTACGAAACGGCCACTCGCGAAGACATCTACGCGTTTGGCTGTTACTTCTCTGGAGCAATTGCTTGCCTGGGCATGAGCGGAACCTATCACACCATACAGAATCATTCACACGAAGTCGCCGTATGGGGCAACAAGCTGGATTATCTGGGCATCGTCTTCTTGATCTGGGGAAGCTTCGTACCGGTCCTATACTATGGTTTCGGAGAGCAGCCAGAGCTGAGGAAGACTTATTGGACAATGATCACGACTCTGGCAGCCGGCACATCCATTGTATCGACGCATCCCAAGTTCCGCACACCCGCTCTGAGGCCGTTTCGAGCATTGATGTTCGTGCTCATGGGTCTCTCGGCTGTGTTTCCTGTAGTTCATGGCATTCGCTTATATGGAGTCGAGCATATGCGGGAGAGTATTGGGCTGGATTGGGTCGTTTTGCAGGGGGTCCTGTATATCGCTGGTGCCGCCATCTACGCTGCTAGAGTACCTGAGAAGTGGAGTCCAGGGAAGTACGATATTTGGGGCTCAAGTCACCAGATCTTCCATGTTCTGGTCGTACTAGCAGCAGCAAGTCACCTCATGGGCTTGGTGAAGGCATTCGACTTTGCGCACAGCCAAAAGATGGGTGGCATGAAGAATGTTCTAGAAG